GCATAAACGGGGGCACAGCAATCGGAAACCATTAGGGACTTTCCTTCGTTCTCCGGATTTTACCTTAGGAATGAAGGAAAGGCCCGAGTGGCTCTGAGGTAGGAAACCTTGTCAGTGTTATCGTAAATAGTCAATACACATGTGAGTTTGTTGATCACGTGTGTCACTGTTTACTGTATGTCTGTTGATAGTGTCCACGTGAGCCAAGTGATGTCACTTTAAATCTTGATGTTAGTAGCCTGATACAGAGTCAATAAATCGTCTCCAAATGTTGGTTATGTAATAAGACACTGGCATTGTGAAATACTTTTTATCCCTGTACCGCCTAGCACTACACAGGGGCAGGAAATATATGTCCTTCCAGTAGTCATTTCAGTGCACAACGAGCAAAATTTATTCTCATGAAATACTGATCATTGCTAAAACAAATATTATCCTTTTATTTTGAATTTTGTTCATAATATTGTTGAAATTCTCCACATGGAAAGTATCACAAAATAAAATGTAGTCTTGAGGTTATTTGTTTAGCACTGATCTTTTGATTACACCAAGCAAACCAAGCTGCAACAATATCGGCATGAACAAGAGAGGGGGACGACTATATAAATTTTGTTGCATTGTAGTCCTCTGTCCTTCCATCATCTTGTTCGGTTTCTATATCCCACACTAATCACTGGAACTTCATGCTCAGGGTATGGGTTTGTCTCGGGGAGGCAGTGTCATGTATCAAATGAAAGTCACTCTGACCTACAGTTTTTAACATTTGACCTATATCAAAGAAAAAGTTTGTCCAGTTTCTAACTCCTGCATAATTAAGTCACTGGAACCTCATGATAGAAGTGTGTGATCACGAAGGTGAGGTGGTGCATCATGTATTAAAGTAGGTCACTCTGACCTACATTTTGACTTTTGACCTACATGAAAGAAAAAGTTAGCTCTGAGTTCTTTTGCCTTTACACTTCTAGCAAATATAACTTCTTACTTGGAGCATGTGTTCAATTGTACTGCATTCTTGGCTTATAATTTCACATTCGTTTGGGAACCTAATTCTCCAAACTGTCTTGTTTGTGTTTGTTTTGCACCTGCTACCCTGGTGACAACCAGAGTGGTCCAGACTGTTTTCATTGTGGCTGGATCTCCTTCAGAATGTCGGACACTAGTGGACATAAGTGGTAACAGTCTCCATCATATCCTGTCAGAGAGGAGACCCCTTCTTGTAAACTGGACCAGTTGATGTTGATTTCAATCATTTTTTCAAAGCCTTTATGGCATGCCATAAGTCATTTTGATCAACACTGCCTGACGTTTCTCCTACATGTTTGTTGATGGATAAATTTCTGTCATGTTAGTAAACCATCTGTCCTTATATCCTTTTCCATAATATTTTCATCAAAATATGTTTGTATCAAATTTTTCATGTCCTTGAGACACTGGGTTGTCTCGTGTCATTACATGTAGTTTGGTACCCTATTACCCTCTATACAAAGTCTTTTTATGCCAGACATGGAATGCATTGGTCATTTAACCGAAATATACCTTAATCAAAAGCATTGTTTATATTTTAACCATAATTTCTTCGGAAACTCTATTCTTGTATCTACAGAAATATTTCATTCTTTTGTCTTTTGTTATGTATCCTAGACCCGTTCCTTATGTAAGTCATTAGTATTGATTTTTGCAACATTCCACAGTATTCAGTACCATGAAACATTTTACATGCTAGATATTGTCCAGTAAATATGGAGAAGATGCATGGCAATGGAATGGTGTTTGTCTTTGGTGCAGGAAAGATGCATATGCTGCATGGCTCTTCAGAGTTACATTTATATCTTCAGATTTCCTTCACAAATTTCTGAATGGTCTCAAGCAACACAAAGTCTTCTCAAAGAAGATTCTGCCATCAGAAATTAATTTTCTGATTAACACCCAGCTTTTCAGCCTATTTAAAAGTACACAAGTTTGGCATTTCACCTACTCTCCTTTGGTCTTCATCTTTGAAGAGGTTGTCTAATCTATTCATTGTGTTATGATGCTATTGATTAAAATAGATGTAAGAATCTAACATTAATGTTTCTAAGGTGTACTTGGACACAAAGGCAATAGGGCCTATACAACTCCTCTGAAACTGATTTACATGTATTTGAACTAAAGGAGAAGTGTTTCAAATATTTATATTTTTCCCTTATTAGGCCCTGCCGCTGTGCTCCAATACAGAATTGGTTTTTCTTTATCAAAGGATGATTCAAACCAAATTTGGAAAAATAATCTTCATTAATTAGAAAAAGAATTTTAAAACTATTCCTCTATTTTCCCTTTTGGGCTTCATCCCTCATTGTCTTTCATCATATAGGTAAGATAGATATTGAAAAAGATACTTGTAATTGGGTGACAAAGGAAAGGCAGTATGACTTTTTGTTTAAAGATTAAGACACACTTTGGTGACTAAAACACACACTCTAACACTTTACACAAAGATTTTTATTATAATGTATCTGTATAAATCCATATAAAGCTTGTCTTCCTCTCGATCTTTACCTGAGATTTACCTGTGTTCAACACAATACATTTCTACACATGTGATGAATGATAGTTTGAAAACATTGAAATGTTGTTGCTTAACATGATAAATCTGTAAAATTTCAATAACCTGAAGTGTTTTACTAATGTTGACAATTCAGCACAACAGGAAGGCTATTAACTGACTTTTTTGTGGAATAAAGAGACTCAAGTAATTTAAATGGAGAGAGACGCACCTTGCACTGGTAATACATATTATATATACAGAGCATCAAGACTATTGTGTGTTGTTTAGAGGATAAATTCCATAATTTCATTATTTTTCCAAATTCGTAAGGTATTATTAGGTTTTTAAAAGGCACGCCCAGCTACATGTTTTTTTGTGAAAAGGTCACTAGCAAGTCCACTTTCAACTGGTATAAAAACAAGAATGATAAATGATTGGTGAAGCATATTATAGTCTAAGGAAACACAACATACTTCTCAAATTGTAATGTATAATAAATCATTGTGATATCATGAAATGAAATAAAGTAGTTCCATACTTAAGTTTCGTACAAGACAATTCAAATGAATTATAAGAATTCTCAATTTCAAGAAAATTTCAATTCATGTTAGATAAAACTTATGAGGTAGATTTCATACTGTCATTTCTTAAATAAAAGGATTAGTGATATTTTTTAGTCTTCCCCATCAGTTTGCTACGGAATTTATAAAATATGATTGTAATTTTGAAAAATACTTTGATATATTGAATGGTAAAACAAGAATTTCACTTTGTATTTAGAAAAATCAACCATAAATTTACAGTGAAAACTGAGAGGTGGAATAATGTACGATACCAAAATAAACTTCTCTTCATTGTGATAAAAATGACATAGATAGTCACCAGCTGAACATGAAAAATATCATTACATCAATCAAAATGCAATCAAGTTTAAAGAAGAATACATTCCAGTCATAATAGAAACTTAAAATAAATATGAAGTGAGGATAGTAATTTTTTTTAATACTTGGAGGTAATGGCTTTCTCTGAATTTCATATGGCTAAAGAGGAAAGTGTTGCTTTGTTTTACACATATCTGACATACTTATGTAAAGTAACTGAAATATTATCATGATATAATCAAGCATTTGAAAGCTATCAATAATCAATAATTTGAAATATGATAAATTACATGATATTTAAATAAAAAAAAAATCAAAATATATTTTTTGGCATTGATATTTTACACAAAGTATCAATAACTTTCAAAATAGAAAATGAAAAATGCAAGAAATATCAGTTGCTGAATACCAACAGGTAAGTTTTATGAGTAAATTCACTTGTTGGAACTCACTATATTTTGAGGGAAAAGACTACAATCACTTTCAAAACAAATTTCCCTGTAGGGATATTAAAAATGTTGGCATTCAGAGACACACCTGGTCTTATTGCAAGATAAACAAATCTACGTAAATATGTGGTTTTAATATAGGCAAGAAAGTCAGGAACATACAACAGGCTTAAAATACGGATGACAAGCTTACATTTTTTCAATGGGAAAATTAAGTATATGCCATAAAATATTGTAAAAGACAACATGTAACTTCTTGTGTCTTGAAATAAATTTGAAATCTTCCAGGTACTGAAAACCAAATGATGTTAAAGACAGATTATATACAGTCGTTGCTTACAAGTCAGAACCTATGACCACAATGGTTAATTTCATTTCTTGAGAAAACCAATGATATTTTAGGTACACCATAAATATCAACATCCTGATCTGAAACCATGAAGACACAGGAAGAATTTAAATATATCAATAAGATCAAATATTTCATTGACTTTGCTGACGTTTGAAAAACTGTTAGAAAGATACTATTTATTTAGAACAAGTAACTGGTTAAATAATGAAAAGACATCAAATTACCAGCTATAATATTCAAATAATTTAGCTTAAGTGCGCCAAAATATAAAACTCCTGTTTGTAATCAAACTTAAATGTCAAATCAAATATTTAAAATTTGCTTATCAATCATATCTATAAATCAAGAAAACTATGATTTTAAAAATTATTTTTGCATGATTTTTTTTCTGTTTTTTTAAAACTAGACTTTAAGAAAAAATTGCAAAGTGAAAAATGAAAAAATATCACAAGTTTATTAAGCAGTATCTTTGAATAAACATATTTTATGCATGTACTGCTTTTCCAAACTTGTAAAAGATTAAACAAACACAGGCATGTATGAGATATTATGTTTGCATTTACAGAGTATCCATTTAGAACACTTGAGATATAGGATAAGATACTGCAAAAGATGTGTATTTTCAAAGTAGCCTTTGCTTGCTTTAACTTGTAAATTAGTCATAGAGAAATGCTATTTATGATTCTTCCTTCTCGTCTTTCTTTTCTTGTTTGACTTTGACCTTTGATGCTTTAATAGATGCCTTGCCTATAGCACATATCTGCTGATTTAGACAAGTAGAACATTTTGGATTGCTGGCTGTACAAATCTGCTGACCGAAGCCCACCAACAGAAGATCAATGTTGCCCCAATACTCCCTACAAAAGAGTACATTCTTATATCAATTAACAAAATAACACAACAAAAATCAAGGATCAACAACTTGTTATCAATAAACACATAAATGATTAGTAAATTGTAATGCCCTAAATCTTTCGGTGATCATCACATTGAAAAGACCATCCTTCCAGATCATGATATTGACAGGATTACTTGAAGAAACAAGTCAATGACAGATAGTCACAACTTTCAACTTTAAAACTGATTTTGGCAGAAATTCATCTTTCTTCTTTTTTAATTTTCATCTCTTTCTTGATCTTGACCCCCATTTTTTTCACAGTAGCCCTGCCGACAGCACAGATCTGTTGGTTGAGACAGGAAGTACATTTTGGTCTGACAGGCAGGCAGGTCTGCTGGCCAAAGCCTACCAACAGGTGGTTGATGGTCTTCCAATGTTCTCTGTGGAAAAACAACACAGCAAGCAACTGTAACTAAACAGGATATACACTGGCTCAGCTCAGGACATACACAGATTAAGCTGTACCAAAACCGAACATACACTGATTCAACTGAGACTATACAAAACATACATTCAGCTTTAACTGAACAGGGCAACCAGACTCAGTTGAGACTATACAAAACATACACTCAGCTTTAACTGAACAGGACAACCAGACTCAGTTGAGACTATACAAAACATACACTCAGCTATAATTGAACAAGACAAACAGACTCAGCTAGAAATAAACAGGACATACACTCACTCAGCTATAACTTAATAGGACAAACACAGACCCAACCATACCAAACAGGACATACACTGATTCAACTGTAACTAAGCATGATCTTCAGTGAGTCAATTTACACTAACAGCATTATGTAAAACATTGATCATTTAATTACCATGTTCAGTGCATTAACAGATGTATGTCTGAATTAACGTATTTAGTTAATATCCATCATATTTAACACATAACCTGTAACGTTCTAAATACAGTGTACCTTATATTTCAACATCTATATGACCTTTGCTGTTGCAAGGATATTAAGTCCACCAATCTAATGCAGAAGTAAACCTATGTCTGGTTTAATTTTTTGAGTTTTGAACTCCAAAATCGATTATAATTATATACAGGTGTGATATGTTTTTCAATTGCAATCCCCTTTAGTCAAGCATTGTAAACTTGAACATTTTCGACTTCAGGAAAAATCCAGAACTGATTTCAAAAAACTTCCATGGCTAAACACACATGAAAATTGTAAATTATATGGTCCCCGAGCCCCAATAGCCAGAGGGGCGGGGCCAAAAATGGCCAAATTGATAGAAACTTCAAAAGTCTTATTCTCAAATCCCAGGTATGGTAGCATCAAGTAATCTTCATGGATGGAAAGGCCTTTAGATGCTTTTACAAAATTTTGAATTTCATCACCCCAGGGTCTCACATTTACCCCTGGGAAGGGGGTAAATTTTACTATAGTTTATATGGGTCAAATAGACTGAAATTTCAAAAATCTTCTTTTCAACACCCAGATAATGCAGAACAAAATACTCTTTACAGGCTGTAAATTCCATGACCCCAGGGTCTCGCATTCCTCTTGGGGAGGGAAAAATTGACTATATATTGGAAAATTACATTTTTGTGCATACCCGGTAATTTGTTTATTTTCTTTCAGAAATAGCTAAAACTTGGTTGGAAATAATTGTTTTCAGTATAAGCTGACGGTTTGATGACTGACCCCCTTGGGCTGATGGGTAGGGCCAAAAATGGGTCAAATTGACTGAAATTTTAAAGACGTTCTACTGTTCTTGGAAAGAAGATTTTATACAGGAGAATTCAAATCATGAATATTCATTTCTTTTCATTCAAACTTGGTTAGAAGCCTTTGTATTGGACAGCGGTTTATATTTGCACTGTGTGTACAATATAGTGTAAGTTTAATTACTTTTTTTAAACAAAATCATGTTACTAGAAGCATTGTGACTCAGGTGGCCATCAAGACCTTTGGGCCACTTGTTTCACTGATGTTGACCTCCAAGTAAGAAAGACACTCAACTACGCATAAGGGGTATTTTTAATTTTTGATTTATAATTCATAGGTGCTGCCAAATAGTCATTCAAATCATTTCAAAATAGAATCATCTCAAAAAAAATGTATGTTCGATTGTACCATCTACCTTGTTCCACAAATAAAGATGCCTGCCTCAACCCCTGTGATTGTAATTGTAGGAGATAACAAATGAAAATGCTATCTTACCTTGGTAACCACTCCTCCAATGCTTTTCGTGTCTGTTCTGGATCTTTTGTAGGCTTCTTTACCCAACCTAGCCAGTTACAGATCCTGTGTACATGTGTGTCAACACCTATGCCCACCACCTGGTCCCAGGCACATTTCATGGTAAGATAGGCCATTTTGGGTCCTACCCCTGGAAGTTTGCACAAGTCTGCTACAGTATCAGGAATGTCACCGTTGTATTCATCTCGAAGAATGACACTAGTTTTCTTTATGTAAATCACCTTTTTCTGAAAATTGAAAAAAATACTCCATATAAATCAATCCATCCAAAAAAACAGAAACAGCTTTCCTTACCTATGTAGAAGATTTTAAAAATAAGTTCTGTCACTTTACACACTTTCCAAAATTTAAAGAGTTACTTCCCTTCTCAACATTTCTTTATGGAAACTTTTCCATCATTTGAGCATAAAACGTTAGAGTAAGAAGAAACTTGCTTCAAAATTGGCAATATGGAAACTTACAAGATTCTTCACACCCCTACCTGAATCCTTAACAATTTTTTTGTTTCCCATCATTCTAAATGCCTTCATATCATGAAATACATACCTGCTACTTACATGCCTACTTCCTAAAAACTAACTCATGACTTACCTTCCAGAAACCTACAGGGTATATCAGTTTTCCAAGTTTTTCATCAGATGTTTTGAGGATATTGTCAACAGTACAGCCATGTGAGCGAAGCTTAGACATTGCTGCAGATGTCACCTGATCTTTAGTCTGACTGGATAGCATAAGTGAAAGCAGTACTTGATAACGATACACCTGTAAGATAATTTAGAGTGTATAAGTGAAAGCTTGATAACAATACACCTGTATGATAAATTTGACAATATAATAAAACAGTACTTAAAAGTGATACACCTGTAAGATTATTTAGATAGTATAAGTGACAGCGATACTTGATAGCAATACATCTGTATGATAAGAAAGGCAGTTTAAGTGACACTAGAATTTAAAAATGATTTACCTGTAATACATGCATAATTTAGATAATATTCATATAAGTCAATGTTAGTGATAAAGAACACTTTCAATTATATGATTTAGACAGTATAAGTGGCAGCAGTACTTCGTGAGAGCAGTACACACGACATTCAGTTGAAGTATTATGATTTCATACCCGACACCCTTTGAATATAACCTAGACAGTACAGTGGTAATGTAAATCTGTCATACAATGCAAAATCATCCAGAAGTGACGGTTGTCATTGTTTATAAACACTTGTAAAGTAGACGCCTAGCCAAAAAATTTATTATCATCTTCAGATGTAGGTGCACTCTCCACGGCATCACTGAACTACATCGACTTACACATATACAACCTTAACACTTTGTGTCTTTAATCCTTCTTATGAAAATACTAGATTCTCTACTGATGAAAGCTTTGACAGTGTATACCAACCTCAGGCTTTGAATCTTTATCACTAATTTCATCACAACCCATGGAGTCTACTGGTGCACTCTTGTCCTTTCTCATTTCAATAATATTTTCAAGATGTGTTTTCCAGAGTGGTGGCTCCCATTTTGTTTTCTTTTGGTCGCTATCATCATAAGAAGTCTGAAAATCAGTATCTGTTGGCTCAGATTTTATGGGGCCATTTTCATATTGGATTGTCTGTTTGCCTCTTTTCCTTGTTTTAGATCCTTTCTTTGTAGTTCTGGTATCTTTGTCCAAATTAGGTTCAACACTGTCCACAGACGGCTCTTGTTTAATCTCCAGTGTTTCTCCAACATTCGTTTCCGACTTCACGCAGATGTTATCACATTTATTAAACGGCTCCGTTCTTCTTTGGTCGAAAGCATCGAAGGTTTGGGCATAGTCATCGTCTCGAGGCTCTTCTTTGACTTTCAACAGTGTTTCTGTAGGAAATGACGGGTGTATTTTTGGGGGATTACAAACAGTTGGTCTGTTCAATGCTAATTTTGATCTGGTTACTCTACCACGTTTGAAATATGGAGATTCAGCCATTTTCAATAATCCTAATGTCATGTAAGTATATCGGTTATATGTTTCACTCCACAACTGACGTAAAATGTTCCTATCTACAAGAATGAAGTTTCTAGGCATTGGTTACATATGTACAGCATCGCACATTTTGTTTATGTAACAGGTCATTTTCCCGCGAAATCTAAGAGGCGTTCCGAATGGTACTTTCATTTTCGCTAATATCTTGGGTGGGGTGATTTATGTACGTTGTTCCCGGCCCAGCCCCGGCCCAATTCCCGTACAAGAAAAGTAAGAAATAATTAATATCTGAAGATAAAAAAAATCTTATAAATCTCAAACGGTCCGCGATCATAACTAATGCGAAATTAGATGTGAAATATGCCTCTCTTGTGGAGAAAACTGATGTATTTACAATCAGTCATGTATAAATCTGTTTGGAATTTCAAAAAATCTTAAATCAAACCGTATGGTCAGAGACATATATAATACTGTCTATATGTCTCTGGTATGGTAGCTGTGATTTGCGACAAATCGGAAAATTTCACAGTTGCGTGCGGCGTACAAGCTTTCGCACCCTGAATACAAACAAATCGTCAATTAAAAACCCATTCGGTAATTACGTTATTTCATTCAAACTGTCAGAGTCTTACGATATATTTAAGTGGAACTGTGTTTTTAAAAAATGAGAAATTATTAGATTTTTTGTTCTAGAGATATAAATTATTTCTTACTTTCCTGGTACGGGTATCGGTATTGGGAACGGCGTACACGAACTCACCCCTACCTATGTCTTGACTTTCTCGTGCGATACAAACGCTTTGTAGATAGAATTTCGTCTCTACTTTCGGTTTGAAAGTATCTGATAATTGAATTACAACTATAGCATAAATCAGATAGTTGAAAGGATATGATTTTTAATGCTATGATATATAAACAATCAAATTCCGAACAGGATGTAACGATCACTAACACTGGATTGTTTCCCATGACATAGTTCTTGGTTGGAGGCTTCTTCGATGAGGTGAAGGCCGTCTGACCACAAAACAAGAAGCATGGCGGCCTCAGCAGGACAGAAATGCCCAATGGTTATTTTGGCAGGGAATTCTCATCCGGAACTTGCGCAACTGATCGCAAGGTGTGTGAGGATACATACTTACAGTTAAATGCGTGTTTGTTTTAAGTTAGTCATAATCTGCCATGTTGTACAAAAAACAAAATGCCTTTTAATCATATCAATAAACTAGGACACCAAACGTATATTGAGAGTTTCGACGATCACATTCACAAAAGCTCATTCTGATTGTCATGGCATGCAATCATAATCAACCTTGAGATGTTGACTAATTGACTCATATTCTTTTATGGGATATATGCATGTTTAATATTTAAAATTTCTATTTCTAGAATTCATTTAAACCAATAGACCGAAAATTTCTGCCTCTAAATGATCATTTAATGTCAGTATTCCCATTTATTTTGCCGTTAGTGATGTTTACATTTTTAGCCCAACATCATCAGATGGTAGCTATTCAAATTGCAATACGCCCGTATTCTGTCATCTGTTCATCCATAAACAATTTTTGTTAAAGCTATTTCTTTAGTACTGGATGGATCTTTCTCAAATTTCATGTGAATGCTCCCAATAGTCCCTTGTTGTGCCCAGCTAATTTGGTACTGATCAGAAAAACAAAATGGCTAACAGGCAGTCATCTTTGATTTTTTCAATGATGTTTGTTATCGCTATTTCTTGAAAAGTACCCAATGGATCTTTCTCAAATTTCATATGTAGGTTCCTGATTATCTCTTGTTGTGCTCATTTAAGTAAGGGGCAGATCAGAAAAAGACAATGGCAAACAGGCAGCTGTCTTGGATTGTCACTTTGAAAAGTTGTTGTAATGACCATTTCTTGAGAACTACAGAAAAGATCTTTCCCAAATTTAATGTGTAGTCTGTCCTTGATCTCTAGTTGTGCCTGTTTGATTTTGATACTGATCAGACACAGTTTTGGGCTAAAAGTAACCAAGTTTTATTCATTATGTAATATATAACATTACAAAATATATATCTGTGGACAACTCAGTCTACAAATAATGAAATACTGGTCTTTTGCTAAGAGAAAATTACAAACTAATTACTACAACATGAAAGGCTGAATCTAAAGGGATGGTGAGTTTCATTCAGTATCTTAAAACCATGTCAGTGCTGGAGGCCTGGACCTGGTTAATCCACAGTTCTTTGGAGATTGTGACTGAGTAGGTCAGTGCATGTGTAACCTACAAACCTGTTAGGTTGTTAATGGCTGGAACCTGTCAAGGTGAGGAGGTGATTGGCTGACCATATAAATCCCCTTCTAAGACAAGAGGGGTCCCCAAGGTTCCATTGCCCCAAATGTGACATGCCATGATTGGAACACTGATCCCAGGATGACCAACTTGATAGTTGGGACAGCCAGAAAGGAATGATGATCCATCCCACCTCATTAATGTATTAATTACTTAATACCTATGAGAAAATGGCCAACAGGTGGCCATTTTGGATTTCGCCTAGTAAAGATTGTTATCACTATTTCTTGAAAAGTACTTCATGGATCTCTCTCAGATTTCATATGTAGGTTTTCCCTTTGTCCCTAGTTATGCCCATTTAATTTTGGAACTGATCAGCGAGACAAAATGGTCATCAGGTGGCCATCTTAGATATGACAGGTAAAGATTATCGTTGCTAGTTAAGCAGAGGAATGTTCAAAATATGTTATCTTTAAGAGCAAAAACAGAGAAGAGAAGAAAAATGAGGGAAAAGATCCAACTTTCAAATTAGAAATAAAGATGAAACTATGGTGGGCACCAAGACCTCTTTGGGATCTCTTGTTATTGACTATGCTTATTTTAGACACAGAAAGGACCTGTTCATAAAAGTCGTAGAAATGTATAAAATGCTGGAATATCCGGACTAAACAGTATCAGGCTGTTTTGGATAGTACTGGACTGTACAGGGGAGGTGCCAGGATTTTATTAGTAAAACATCTTAAATTCTAAGTGTAAGTGGAAAGGGGAAAAACCCAACAGAATGGCTTAGAAATAGCTAACTATAAGGTCTGAAAAGGTAAATGAGGCAAACAAACTTGTTTTGCTTTGAAGATTTTTGGATATATTTGCTGGAATCGTCATATAATTCACTGCATCCATGATGGATGTGTTTCTAACACTTATATGAACAGGTCATTTCTGTCTCTAAAATGAACATAGTCAATGAAAATATAGATACCAAAAACAGCATAAAAAATAATACATATTTATATATATGTGAGTGATATGTACTCTAGAATCAGATTTATCACACCCATCAGATGGACTGTATAAACCTATGATCTTATCAAAACATTGTGTTTAAATGTGTTACAGTATTTAGACAGGGCCATGTTATAAACCAAATATAAAATCCTTAGTATGAAAATTATTGAAACATTTACAATAGTAGCTAAGTAATAATGCTAAAATTCAGGTGTTATTTTCTGTATGTTGCAGCCGATTGGGAGTACGACTTGGGGATATGACAGTTTACCACAAATCTAACAGAGGTAATAAGTGCACATACACAAAATAGTAAAACAATAAATACTTTTTTTTAACAAAAAACTGCTGTAAGCTGTGTTCCTGAAATAATTCCTATTTGCTGACCACATTCTTCTTCCATTGGTTCTGTAATATAAATTACTTGTTGGTATTGAATTTTGAGTACTAAATAAGGAAAAGTAAATGGCTCAATTTGCATTGTCAAACAGCAATGTTTTTTTTTTTTTTAATGATATTGTAGTAAACTTAATGAAAGATGGATCATCATTATCATCATCATCATCATCATCATTAGGATCTTCTTCTTGTAAACTAAATGATATAAGTGGGACTTAATTAATAATGTAAATTACCAGTATTAGCAAACTGAATCAAGGGTATATATAACAAGACATCTGTATTTGGACACTAGAAGAAAATAATAAGATATATATAGCTTGCACTCTGTAATGTCGTTATTATGCTTGTTTTCTTTAAAGAAACCAATGTTGAAATTAAAGAATCTGTTCGAGGAAAAGATGTTTACATCATCCAGACTGGTACCAAGTAAGTCCCAATTTTACAGTAGAGTTTTTGGGTTACATAAATACATTGTACAGGTGTACATGTGTACCGTACTACAATGACCATGCTGTAATCATTTTTGTATAATTCTTTTTGTATTTGATAGTTTGACAGCTGTTTATCCTACTCTCTCAGCATCAAATATTGGATTTCTGTTTTTTTGTTACATACATTTATATTGTAGGGATGTAAACAATGATGTGATGGAGCTTCTCATAATCTCGTATGCCTGTAAGACTAGCTGTGCCAGTACCATTGTGGGTGTCGTTCCATATATACCCTACTCAAAACAGAGCAAAATGCGAAAGCGTGGATCTGTGGTATGCAAACTTATGGCTACCATGTTTGGAAAAGCAGGTAAACAGCTGAAGATGACTATTGGTGATGATGAGAGGATGTACAAGCACTTTATCTGAAGTGAATGTTATGAATATGTATGTTGTTTGAGGTGAAATTAGTGAGTAATTTGTCTTAGATTTACTTGGACTTAGGTTAACATAGGTTAACCTCATATTCTTCCAGGTTTTATCAGTGTGTACTATGTCAGAGGTAAATTTTGTGTGTACTAATTCTAAGGTATAGTTAAGGTGTATTTTGTCTGAGTCTAGGTTAGTGTGTTGCTTCAAGATTGTGTGTACATTGTCCAAGGTTTACTTTGTAGTATACTTAATCACACAATAACATTGTGAATTATTTTGTCAGATGTTTACTTTGTGATAAGCTTCATCTCAAGTTTACTTAATAACCTACTTTTTTATATAATGATGTACTTAATCTGGGTTTTACATTTTGATATACTTTATCAGAAATTTGCTTTGTGATTTAATCAGTGTCAGGTTTAATGTATGATGTATGTAGTCACATGATCACATGATATACTTTGTCTCAGGTTTAACACATATCATTACGATGGATCTTCATCAGAAGGAAATCCAGGGCTTTTTTGACATCCCAGTTGAGAACCTTAGAGCCTCACCTTTCCTCATCGACTATATAGAACAGTCTGTAAGTGATCTGGCCAGCTAAATACCACTACTTTTATCATTGAAATGTTATTGTACTGTAAAATCTTTTATTGTTGGAAGGTGTTTATTTCTTTATTATCTTTAAGGTACAATGTATCCAAACACCCACATGACCATGAGATGATAGACATTTAATTTTGAGCCTCACAAAAACAGGATTTTACAGTAGTTTTCTCCCTTTGACCGTCTTATCCCAAGGAAGAATATTTAAGGATGAAAATATCATATTTAAGTGACTTTTGAGAAGTGTACAAGATATGATATTTTCATTTTGTGTTTTGTATTGCATCAATATTTAATCATGAAAAACAGTGTATATTCGGGAGGGAGGGGACATAAATTTTAAGGTCTTTAAAGTCTTGTGGTCTATTGCTATCGCTTTTGTCTGACATAATGTTTTTTGTGCATCTGTAAACTTTTAACATTTTCAACTTCTAAAAAATCCCTTCACCAATTACAACAAAATTTTGCAGAAACCTTCCCTGGCAAGAGTTGAACCAAAATGGTGAATGATATGGTCCTCCACACTTGAATGCCTGTGGGGTGGGGGAGGGCCAGAAGTGACAGGTTGACTCAAATTTCAAAAATCTTCTTCTCAACACCCAGAAAATAAAATGCAATTCATTGATGGAAGCGTCTTAAGGTGCTTAACCAAAATTGTGAATTTCATAGCCCCAGGATTTTACCCCTGTGAGGAGGGGGTAAAGTTGACTAAAGTTTATGTAGGAAAAGTACATTTCGAGCATAATTTGTTTATTTTTCCATTGGAAATATTTCAAACTTTGTTAGAATTATAAACAAAGGATAACGACTTGACAGTATGCACATATTGATCCTAGCTGACCTCCAGGGGCTGATGGATTGGCCCGAAAAGGGTCAAATTGACTCCCGATTTCAAAAATCTTTTTTCATGTGAAGTTTACTTCAGTTTTTATAGGAAATACAGTAATATAGGAAAAATATAGGAAAATTGCATTTTTGAACTATATGAAGACTGTTTTGATGGTATGTTTATACTGACACTGGCTGACCACCAAAAACATATCACTTGTCTTACTATCATCAATATCATAGTTTCTTTTCACGACACTTGCAAGCTAATACTTTACTATTATCACTGTCACATTTTGTTTTTTGTGACACATGGAAGCTAATTACCCTACAACTTTTATACCTGATATGGCTTAACTCAGGTGACCATCAAGATTGCTATTTGTGAATTTTGCATTTAAAATTACAATGTACCACATTAACAAACTAGAAAGGCGAAATGCATGATTCTTGTTTGAAATGTTTGTTTTACCACTTTATCAGTATGTCGTTTTTTCCAACTTTCTTTTCTCTAGCCATATTAATAGGCAATTTATTTATATTTCATCAGAACAATTGTATTGCAAGCAATATTTATGTATCTTAAAATTGTTCTTTAAAGATACCAGATTACAGAAATGCCATAATAGTTGCTAGAAATCCGAATTCTGTGAAGCGTGCTACATCTTATGCTGAACGGTTACACCTGGGAATAGCTGTTATACATGGAGATGATAAAGTCACAGAAACAGACTCCGAGGATGGACGCAATTCCCCACCGTTGCAAAGACAGGCACACCATAAAATGGAATTTGGTCTTGAAATATTACCAGGTAATTCTATAAGATTCTATTGTGTCCTAGAGAGTAGGGTTGAAAATGAATCTGCATAATTTTGGCTAAACAATGTATTATTTCTGACCATGATTTGCCAGGAAAAACTCAGAAAAAAGACAGGATTTTCTGTGACAGATACCATTTCTCAAATTTCATTTGTAGATGCCCTATAGTCCCTGGTTATGCCCCTTGATTTTAGGATTGATCAGAAAAACAAAATGGCAGACAGGCGGCCATTTTTTATTTGACAATGAAAGATTATTATTCCATTTTCTTCAGAAGTTTAAGATGGATTTTTTTAAAGTTCCTCTTGGTCCATACCGGTGCTGTATTCATTATTGGATGTACCAAAAAAATCAAATAGCTGACAAGTGACCATGTCCATTTATAGATAAAGGTTATTGTTGCTAAATCTTGGGAGGAATAAACAAATTCCTCTAAATTGGAAAGGGTAGTATTCCTCATACTGAAAGCATGGAAAATTTCCTGAAATAGAGACTAAGCAGCATATTTTACTGAACATATTTTCAAATTATGCCATCATGAAAAAGAATTATCAATCAAAACTCGCCATTGTTATATTTTATTCGTGTCATCTCCATGTATGTCATATATTTTACCCTATCCCTTTTTTGAATTATGAGGAAAAGGGCTGTCCAAAATTTCTCAATTTTTTAAAGAGACATCACAATACAAACATTAATTTTGCTATTAATTGTACACGCCTTTTATACTCTCAATTACGTTTATATATGGTAAATGTTATTTGATAACTATAAGTCAATTCAGAATTAGGAAATAAATGACATTAATTGCCAACATTGTTGCGAATGATTCCGGCGGGAAGCCTTTTAATGCTTTCAGGCGACCATGCTTTTCGCCATGCATTATCATATATGATTAAAAAATTTCCATAAACAGACTGTTGTTCAACAGATAGGGATTTCCTTTTTATCTTTATACCATGATGCCACTTTAGAATAAGCCAAAAATTCCCCTTTTTCCACTGTGGGTATTATTTCACAAATTCTAGATTAACTCATGATTAAGAGCAAAAACGGAGGAAAGAAGAGAAAAGAAAGGGAAAGCTAAAGAGCTAATAAAAATCTGATGATAATGGATGACAAGATTCCTCTAGGATCTCTTGTTATCATCCAGTTTTCTCATCTGTGCAATGCCTGTAGCAGTATTGGAAATTTCTTGGGTTAGCAATGTTACATCATTGTTGATCCATTGTAACATCACACACATAAATAAATGGTACATAAAGAATATCACAAGAGTTCCAATAAAGGGAGAAAATTGTTCACTTGTTTTTCAACATATATTTACAATATGTTTTTTATTTACAGTGTTGTTGCCTAAAGAGAAACCACCTTTAAATGTAGTAGGAGATGTTGGAGGAAGAATAGCTATAATAGTGGTGAGTAGGTTTGCTGTATCTAGCCAGTCATAACACTACCATGTTTTGCCACAAATAGGTACCATACTCCTCACTAGTAAAAAGAAGATTGACGAAAAGAGTTTATTTGCAGTAAAATACAGTTTATTGATAGCCTTTATTGCGCTAATGTGTACCTGGTATACATAATGGATGAAACTGCTGTTCATGTGTGATTTGTACATTGTACATTTCTAAACAAGAAGTTCTATATTTTTTCCTAACAGGATGACATGATAGATGATGTGAAATCCTATGTTAACATTGCCGAGGTGCTGAAGGACCGGGGGGCATACAAGGTATATGTAATGGCTACACATGGTCTGCTCTCCTCAGATGCTCCCCGCTTACTGGATGATTCCTGTATAGATGAGGTAATTAAACTTTTCTTGGAGATAAAAATCTTTTCCTTGATATAAGATTTGAAACAACATAAGGAAGTAGCATTAACTTATACACAGCCTCACTGCTCTTTCTCACACTATGTAATACACAGCCTCATTGCTCTTTCTCACCCAAACTATGTAATACACAGCCTTACTGCTCTTTCTCACCAAAACTATGTAATACACAGCCTTACTGCTCTTTCTCACACTAACTATGTAATACACAGCCTCACTGCTCTTTCTCACCCAAACTATGTAATACACAGCCTCATTGCTCTTTCTCACCCAAACTATGTAATACACAGCCTTACTGCTCTTTCTCACCCAAACTATGTAATACACAGCCTTACTGCTCTTTCTCACCCAAACTATGTAATACACAGCCTCACTGCTCTTTCTCACCCAAACTATGTAATACACAGCCTCATTGCTCTTTCTCACCCAAACTATGTAATACACAGCCTTACTGCTCTTTCTCACACTAACTATGTAATACACAGCCTCACTGCTCTTTCTCACACTAACTATGTAATACACATCCTCATTGCTCTATCTCATACTAACTATGTAAAACAGAGCCTTACTGCTCTTTCTCACACTATGTAATACACAGCCTTACTGCTCTTTCTCACCCAAACTATGTAATACACAGCCTTACTGCTCTTTCTCACACTAACTATGTAATACACATCCTCATTGCTCTTTCTCACCCAAACTATGTAATACACATCCTCACTGCTCTTTCTCACACTATGTAAAACAGAGCCTCACAGCCCTTTCTCACACTAACTATGTAATACACAGCCTCACAGCCCTTTCTCACACTAACTATGTAATACACAGCCTCACTGCTCTTTCTCACACTAACTATGTATTACACAGCCTCATTGCTTTATCTCATACTAACTATGTATTACACAGCCTCACTGCTCTTTCTCACACTAACTATGTAATACACATCCTCATTGCTCTATCTCATACTAACTATGTAAAACAGAGCCTTACTGCTCTTTCTCACACTATGTAATACACAGCCTTACTGCTCTTTCTCACCCAAACTATGTAATACACAGCCTTACTGCTCTTTCTCACACTAACTATGTAATACACATCCTCATTGCTCTTTCTCACCCAAACTATGTAATACACATCCTCACTGCTCTTTCTCACACTATGTAAAACAGAGCCTCACAGCCCTTTCTCACACTAACTATGTAATACACAGCCTCACTGCTCTTTCTCACACTAACTATGTATTACACAGCCTCATTGCTTTATCTCATACTAACTATGTATTACACAGCCTCACTGCTCTTTCTCACACTAACTATGTATTACACAGCCTCATTGCTCTATCTCATACTAACTATGTATTACACAGCCTCACTGCTCTTTCTCACACTAACTATGTATTACACAGCCTCATTGCTTTATCTCATACTAACTATGTATTACACAGCCTCATTGCTCTATCTCATACTAACTATGTAATACACATCCTCACTGCTCTTTCTCACACTAACTATGTATTACACAGCCTCATTGCTTTATCTCACACTAACTATGTATTACACAGCCTCATTGCTTTATCTCATACTAACTATGTATTACACAGCCTCACAGCCCTTTCTCACACTAACTATTTAATACACAGCCTCACTGCTCTTTCTCACACTAACTATGTATTACACAGCCTCACAGCCCTTTCTCACACTAACTATGTATTACACAGCCTCACAGCCCTTTCTCACACTAACTATATGATACACAGCCACACTGCTCTTTCTCACACTAACTATGTATTACACAGCCTCATTGCTTTATCTCATACTAACTATGTAATACACATCCTCACTGCTCTTTCTCACACTATGTAAAACAGAGCCTCACAGCCCTTTCTCACACTAACTATGTAATACACAGCCTTACTGCTCTTTCTCACACTAACTATGTATTACACAGCCTCATTGCTTTATCTCATACTAACTATGTATTACACAGCCTCATTGCTCTTTCTCACACTAACTATTTAATACACAGCCTCACTGCTCTTTCTCACACTAACTATGTATTACACAGCCTCACAGCCCTTTCTCACACTAACTATGTATTACACAGCCTCACAGCCCTTTCTCACACTAACTATATGATACACAGCCACACTGCTCTTTCTCACACTAACTATGTAATACACAGCCACACTGCTCTTTCTCACACTAACTATGTATTACACAGCCTCACAGCCCTTTCTCACACTAACTATATGATACACAGCCACACTGCCCTTTCTCACACTAACTATGTATTACACAGCCTCACTGCTCTTTCTCACACTAACTATGTATTACACAGCCTCATTGCTTTATCTCATACTAACTATGTATTACACAGCCTCATTGCTCTTTCTCACTCTAACTATTTAATACACAGCCTCACTGCTCTTTCTCACACTAACTATGTATTACACAGCCTCATTGCTTTATCTCATACTAACTATGTATTACACAGCCTCATTGCTCTTTCTCACACTAACTATTTAATACACAGCCTCACTGCTCTTTCTCACACTAACTATGTATTACACAGCCTCACAGCCCTTTCTCACACTAACTATGTATTACACAGCCTCACAGCCCTTTCTCACACTAACTATATGATACACAGCCTCACAGCCCTTTCTCACACTAACTATATGATACACAGCCACACTGCCCTTTCTCACACTAACTATGTATTACACAGCCTCACTGCTCTTTCTCACACTAACTATGTATTACACAGCCTCATTGCTTTATCTCATACTAACTATGTATTACACAGCCTCATTGCTCTTTCTCACTCTAACTATTTAATACACAGCCTCACTGCTCTTTCTCACACTAACTATGTATTACACAGCCTCATTGCTTTATCTCATACTAACTATGTATTACACAGCCTCATTGCTCTTTCTCACACTAACTATTTAATACACAGCCTCACTGCTCTTTCTCACACTAACTATGTATTACACAGCCTCACAGCCCTTTCTCACACTAACTATGTATTACACAGCCTCACAGCCCTTTCTCACACTAACTATATGATACACAGCCACACTGCTCTTTCTCACACTAACTATGTATTACACAGCCTCATTGCTCTATCTCACACTAACTATGTAATACACAGCCTCACTGCTCTTTCTCACACTAACTATGTATTACACAGCCTCATTGCTCTATCTCATACTAACTATGTATTACACAGCCTCACAGCCCTTTCTCACACTAACTATATGATACACAGCCACACTGCTCTTTCTCACACTAACTATGTATTACACAGCCTCATTGCTCTATCTCACACTAACTATGTAATACACAGCCTCACTGCTCTTTCTCACACTAACTATGTATTACACAGCCTCATTGCTCTATCTCATACTAACTATGTATTACACAGCCTCACAGCCCTTTCTCACACTAACTATATGATACACAGCCACACTGCTCTTTCTCACACTAACTATGTATTACACAGCCTCATTGCTCTATCTCACACTAACTATGTAATACACAGCCTCACTGCTCTTTCTCACACTAACTATATATTTCTCACACTAGCTATATACAGCCTTACTGCTCTTTCTCTAGTTTACCATATTTTTTAACGGATTGGAATACTTTGTTTGTCTAATGTATGAAAATGCTTCAAAATAGTGATATTGACTGTGTATCTGTCTAACACAAGATCAAATTTGTGTAAAACAAATTGAGAAAATTGAGCAAAATTGATAAAAGAAATCATCTTATCTTGGATGAGATAACCTGTTGTATACATATGATATTTAGACAATTGATGATTACAGGTGGTGGTAACCAATACAGTGCCCCACGAGATCCAAAAGATGCAGTGTCATAAGATTCGGACTGTGGACATCAGTGTGATGCTGGTTGAAGCCATTCGTCGGATACACAACAACGAGTCCATGTCTTACTTGTTCCGCAATATAGGCATGGAAGACTGATATCTCTCTCACTGCTCTCTCCCACACTAACTTTACCACAGAGTAAATCACTCATATTTCTCTATCTTGATAAGCCTATAATTCCATCCATCAATTTCTGGTAGATTCTGGGTAATCTTTATGGTTTCTTGGCTGGAGTCCTTCACTGAGTTTCAAACAAATCTTGGATTCTTCCAGTGGTTGTTCATATATCATTTGCTACTTTTTATGGTCTCTAACAGAGGCTGGGATTTTCTAGTCATGTCACTTATCAGGCACAGAAATAATTTAAGACATTTATAATAATACATATGAGGAAATATAAGTGATTTACATAACTTACTAATAGGTAATCATTGCACCACTGACTTGTGGTTCTGTGATGAGCTGTAATCGAGAGAGGTAACCGTTAGTAACGGATGACACAGGTCACCAAATCAACTGATGATACTGAACCTGTCTTTGTATAGAAATATAAAACATCTAAACAATGTTAACTGCTAAAGATTTGTTCCTTTTGCAAAGAGTATGATAATGTATCCATCCAAACTTGTGGGATGATTTCCACAGTAACCACATGTCCAAAAGTTGGTGACCTCAGTCCCATTCCTTATTGGTTGATATGGAGAGCATGTTGTTTAATTATTCTGTTTGTTCATTCCTTATTTGGGTATGTAAAAATATGAATTAAAAATTACATATATTATTGACACAAGCTAGCTCTAGAGAGTCATAGTTTGCTTGCTTTGATGTACATGTACTGTAATTTGTAGAGCCACGTACCTAAGACATATATATAGTGTGCACATTACATTAAAGATACATGCGTTTAAGGTGAAAGTGAAGATGCATGTACATAATAAAAAAAGATAACTTACCAGTAATAAGGAGGTGCAAGGGTATATTGTGAAAATTATGACATGGAATATTGTACTGTGAAAGCTGGCCCTCATTTTATCATCAGATAGGGAAACATGGCTGTAAGTTCATCATCAGGCACAGAAACCTGGTAATAAATTAATCACCAGGCAAGGAAACCTGGCCGTCAGCTATTCATCAGACAGGGAAATCTGGTCATAAGTTAATCATCAGACAGGGAAATCTGGTCATAAGTTAATCATCAGACAGGAGAATCTGGTCATAAGTTTATCATCAGACAGGGAAATCTGGTCATAAGTTAATCATCAGACAGGGAAACCTGGTCATAAGTTATCATCAGACAGGGAAACCTGGTCATAAGTTATCATCAGACAGGGAAACCTGGTCATAAGTTAATCATCAGACAGGGAAATCTGGTCATAAGTTTATCATCAGACAGGGAAATCTGGTCATAAGTTAATCATCAGACAGGAAAACCTGGTCATAAGTTTATCATCAGACAGGAAAACCTGGTCATAAGTTTATCATCAGACAGGAAAACCTGTTATAAGTTATCATCAGACAGGAAATCCTGGTCATAAGTTAATCATCAGATAGGGAAACCTGGTCATAAGTTAATCATCAGACAGGAAAAGTTAATCATCAGACAGGGAAACCTGGTCATAAGTTAATCATCAGATAGGGAAACCTGGTCATAAGTTAATCATCAGACAGGGAAACCTGGTCATAAGTTAATCATCAGACAGGAAAACCTGGTCATAAGTTAATCATCAGATAGGTAGACCTGGCTGTCAGTTAATCATCAGACAGGTAGACCTGGCTGTCAGTTAATTATCAGACAGGTAGACCTGGCTGTCAGTTAATCATCAGACAGGTAGACCTGGCTGTCAGTTAATCATAAGACAGGTAGACCTGGCTGTCAGTTAATCATCAGACGGGGAAACCTGTCTATCAGTTGATCATCAGACAGGTAGACCTGGCTGTCAGTTAATCATCAGACAGGTAGACCTGGCTGTCAGTTAATCATCAGACAGGTAGACCTGGCAGTCAGTTAATCATCAGACAGGGAAACCTGGATGTATGTTAATTGTTAAGTAAGGAATCCAGCAATCATTATCAAACTTACAAATCTCTAGACCTGTTTTCCCTACAAGAAATTTCATATTTCAAATCTTCCATTTTTTTCTAAGGTTAATATACTTTGTGATAGGCTATCTATTCATAGGTATACTTACAGCTTTAAAGGTGTCTAAGTACTTGGTCTCTTTAATGAGGGGTATCTTTATACATGTACATATGCATAGAAGTATGTTGTATATTTATACTTCATTACTTGGTCTCTCTATGGTGGTATGCCTACAATGTATGCCTGTTCTTTATGATTTGGTCTCTCTGTGGAGGTACGCCTACAATATATGTCTGTTCTTCATACTTTGGTCTCTCTGTGGAGGTACGCCTGTACATCGTATACTTGTACGTCATACTTTGGTCTCTCTGTGGAGGTACGCCTGTACATTGTATACTTGTATGCCATGAATTGATCTCTCGGTGGAGGTACACCTGTACATTGTATACTTGTACTTCATACTTTGGTCTCTCTATGGAGGTACCCCTGTACATTTTATACTTGTATGCCATGAATTGATCTCTCTGTGGAGGTACGCCTGTACATAATATACTTGTACTTCCTGGTTTGATCTCTCTGTGAAGGTACACCTGTACATTGTATACTTGTATGCCATGAATTGATCTCTCTGTGGAGGTACCCCTGTACATTTTATACTTGTACACCATGATTCAGTCTCTCTGTGGAGGTACACCTGTACATTGTATACTTGTACTTCCTGGTTTGGTCTCTCTGTTGAGGTACGCCTGTACATTGTATACTTGTACTTCCTGGTTTGGTCTCTCTGTTGAGGTATGTTGTATTCATTGGTTTCTTTGGCAGTATACATGTATTTCTTACCTTTGTCTCTCTACAGAAATAATCTACTAAGATGTTTGTGTTGAAGTTTATGTTGTGTTGTGGGGCAATTCATATTCTCACCGAGATATTAGGGTATTCACCATGTTTCACAGGTTAAGCCAGTGCCATCAGAGTGTTTCAGAATAGATATGATATTTTGGAATGGATATTTTTTGTATAAGAGTAGATATTAAAATATTTTGGTTGCAGAAATATTTTTGTATATTCCACAATCTTTGTCTAAGAAGAAGCATAGTACATGTATAATGGTAGTGAGATATATATAACATTCTTGCAATGTGGTGACTACATCAATGTATATCAAATAAGACTTTTGAAATTTTATTGTCAATTGAATAATTTTTTTTTCAATAAATCTGTCATTCTTTTTTTTATATATAATTCTTGGCATCTGCAAGCATAGTATCTTGTGATTTGGTTTATTTATGCTTTGAACTTTTTTTCATTTGCAAATATTTTCTATTGCATCTACGATATGAATACTTGAATGACTATAGAGCAGTTATGTAAACAAATTCTAAGTTCTTTTTACCATAATATGACACTATCAAAAGATGATATAACATCATCACACTTTTTCACTGTACATATATTTGTAGATTGTGTGATAAAACAGGGTTTTAAATCTAGTTTGTTTCCATAAGCAATTTTTTTAACTTGAAACTTGCATTTTTGTTTTGGTTTGCAGAGGCTCCCTGTAATGAAATGTTCCCAAGATGTTATCAGTCTCATTTCATGTTTATAAGATAATCAATATATCTATATATTCGATTTCACAAATATATTAGATTTGAATGAAGAGAAGACATTGGCCTGACCTTATTTTGCAGAAAGATAATTTTGTATCAGTAGAAATGGCTGTCCTGAACCAACTCTCATTGTAAGACATGTTAGGAGTAATCTTGAACTCTATAATAAATCTTAACAACAAAACAGGAACTACAATGTGAAATGACCATAACTTCCCATATCTGTTTGTCCTTCATCAGAGGTGAGTTCTAAACCATTCATCCTGGGTAATCTCGATGTGTTAACAGCAATGTAACAACAAAGATTGATGTATATTTTATAGAGGTCATTGGTCACTTGGATTTTATTTAACACCAGAGATGTATATTTTGTAGCGGTCAGTGCTCGGCTTACAAGAGTGATGTATATTTTGTAATGGTCAATGCCCGGCTTTACAAGAGAGATGTATATTTTGTAGTGGTCAGTGCCTGGCTTTACAAGAGAGATGTATATTTTGTAGTGGTCAGTGCCCGGCTTTACAAGAAAGATGTATATTTGTAGTGGTCAATGCTTGGCTTTACAAGAAAGATGTATATTTTGTAATGGTCAGTGCCCGGCTTTACAAGAGTGATGTATATTTTGTAAGGGTCAGTTAAAATTTTATTTCCTGTTATTTGGCTTGGTTTGATTGCATGAATCTTGCATTTCACTTCAAATGCATCACTTGCTTTGAAGTTTAGAGTGATTAGAATTTTTTTCTACCATATTATTATAACATAAGCAGCAACAAGTAGAAAGGCTAAGTAAAAGATGGATGCAATTTTGATTTCATGAAAATCAGAATATTTCTGTTCATTTCAGATTGGAAAATGTCATTGTAGCAGATAAGTAAAAAAATGAGGCAGTGAATGATGGGCTGCTTGTAACTTCTATAAATACTCTTCAAGTGATTCAGATTTGCACTTTTTTGAAGTCTATGATGAATGTAAAGACTAAACTTTAGACAATCTATTTGCATGATATGATTTCTTCAATAATATTGATGAATCAAAGGAAATTTTAATAGATTTTTTTATGATTTTCACAGAAACACACGACTAAGAACTTAAGCAGGACTTACAGATGAAGAGGTTGATGGTTGAAGGTTGTCACTGTTTGTCTGACCTCTACATAGTACAAACTTAGTCTCTAGTCTATGCAAGGATCTAAACCAAGTGCTGTTCTGGTTACAAATTACTTTGACCTCTTGAGAATACATGCATGGTTTTGATAAATGTTCATTTCTTAGGAATACATACATTTCATAGTATGTTGCTGGAATCCCATGTAACATACAGTAAAACTGATTACTTGTACAGTTTTCACAGTGAAAGTAAAACATCTAGCAACACGACAATCAGTTATTAAAGCCTTGAGCAATCATGGCCTACTTTATGCATTTCTGCGTAATCCTTGTTAGGCATTATTGAAATATTTTTTTTAATCTGTTCATATATTAGAATTTAGTTTAAAATGTCAGTATTTGTAGCATTAGAAATTACTGAATGAAGAAAAGAAGGTTGCATGAAAATAAAGTGACTTGCAATGGTGCACTGGGCCCGTCACTGAAAATCTAAGTGGAAACTTCGGAACTCACAGACTCTTTAAAAAAAATTGGCAGAATGTAATTTAGGATGTGTTGTCAATTTGTCCGTTACTTGATTTTTTTAAATCTAAACTAATATGGCTACTAGTTCTGGATTTTTTTTTCATGGGAAGCTTTAGCTGTTGAACTATTGTCTTTTGTTTGTTTGTTTGTGTTCAGCTTTTTAAACTTGAATGCAGAACTCTATCAGATTTTAGCTCAAATGGTTTATTTTCCATCCTTCCATCCATTTGTCTTTTTTTTTTTTTTCACTCAACACATGCCTTATATACAAAACATACCTGGGATGGAGTGCTGTCAAATTCTTTATGTAAATGACCCTCAAGGTCACAGGGGTCTAGTTTGATGAAAAAAAAATTAAAGAAGAAACATAATCTGAACATACAAATGGTTTATGATGATGATGACAAAGGTAGAGTTTGTAGATCTGCAGTACAATTATGTTTAGGACAAGTTTAACTTTAAAGGATTGCTAGAGTTTGTTTGTCCAGATTATTGCCCCATGATTTCTTCATAGTGGCTAGTGGCTGCCTCTCTAAGCAATATATGGGAAGCCCTAACTGTGCAGAGCAATTAGGGTGAAGGCAGTAAAAACTGGTCTGTTTCTCAGCTTAAACACCACAATAGGTAGGTAGCATAGAACCACACACCATTGATCCTCATCTGAGGTTATATAGGTCAATACTGAAAACTGATCAGCCTGATTGCTACACTATAAGCATAATCTGTAATAATAGACGATTTGGAAAGTGTTACCGCCTTTTCTTTTGATTTTTTTCCTCAGTGGTATTTTTGTCTACATTTGAATGTGTTTGACTGTTCTCTTAGAAAATTGGTTTTCATGGTTTATGCAGTTGCAACCTCCCAATTTTGATTTGATGATAAGATTTTATTCTCTATCTCATTACATATCTCTATTTATTTATGCATTTTGACACAAAATTATTTGTCACTTTAGCACAGGACGGGTGTTTATTTTACAGATCTGTGGTACTCTTTATGGTTAATTGCATTGTAAAGGATGCCCATAGTTGTTGAATAGTTTGCTTAAAGCTATGATGAAGGATGTCCAAAGCTATCATCAGGATTCAAGTTATTCTTTTCGATTCCTCACAAAATCAAAGGATTTCCGAGGGTATGATGGAAAATGATCTTAGTTTTATTAAAAGATATTTTTTGTTTTGATATTCTCCACAATTTTGTGATTTTTTTTTTGCAGCATGGCAAAATTATCTTGAAACAAGTAACCACTAACAGTGTCATACCCTAGAAATAACCTCTTATATTTATTTACAGAGCTTGGCAAAAGTTCCAACCTTTCATAGGAAAATCTCATTTTATTTCACTGCTCTAGAATGTTTTTTTCATGGTAATTTGCAATGTCTACTAACTTAGTTTGATAGTTTACAACAATGTCATCTTGTGCTGGTTGATTTCTATGTACAGGTAATTTCTAGCACTTTTAAAAAGATATAATTGAAACTACTGGTGTCACAGTGCAGATCTAACTGAAGTATATGCTTCAAACATTTGCATTAAGCATACCATAATTAACAAGCAAAGACAGATGTATATAGGATATATTGTAAACAAAGACAGATCTGTATAGTATATACTGTAGACAAAGACAGATCTGTATAGTATATACTGTAGACAACGACAGATCTGTATAGTATATACTGTAGACAAAGACAGATCTGTATAGTATATACTGTAGACAAAGACAGATCTGTATGGTATATACTGTAGACAAAGACAGATCTGTATGGTATATACTGTAGACAAAGACAGATCTGTATGGTATATACTGTAGACAAAGACAGATCTGTATAGTATATACTGTAGACAAAGACAGATCTGTATAGTATATACTGTTAACAACAGATCTGTATAGTATATACTGTAGACAAAGACAGATCTGTATAGTATATACTGTAGACAAAGACAGATCTGTATAGTATATACTGTAGACAAAGACAGATCTGTATAGTATATACTGTAGACAAAGACAGTATGGTATATATAGATCTGTATATATATACTGTAGACAAAGACAGATCTGTATTGTATATACTGTAGACAAAGACAGATCTGTATAGTATATACTGTAGACAAAGACAGATCTGTATAGTATATACTGTAGACAAAGACAGATCTGTATAGTATATACTGTTAACAACAGATCTGTATAGTATATACTGTAGACAAAGACAGATCTGTATAGAATATACTGTTAACAACAGATCTGTATAGAATATATTGTTAAAATAAATCAATCGTTATCACTTAATCTACCATTTAATATGACCTGGAGCATTTCTCATTACCTATACCATTTCGAAATCGATTGTGACATCATAACATGAACAATGCCTCCATTTGATTTTGTCCTCCATCTTTTTACTTTATAACCTCTCAGAATGTAATTTTTCTGAGTAGTGTGATGAAAGGTATTTTAAAATTTGTTTTCATTTCGCATGAGATTTTCGTAGTCTCATATGACATAAAAATTCATATAAGATCCTGTATGTACAGGGACACAGAAGAAGAGTATTAGAATATGTACTACAGACAACAGAGATGACATTGATGTAACTAGAGGATACGGATTCATATTTTGAAATTATAGAATGTTTTAGTCATTCACGGAGAGACTTTGTTTTTAGTCAGCATTTTGTTTCTGGTAGTCAGGGGATATTGTGTAAGAGGTCTGAATTAGTCTAATTCTTTTACTAATCAGCAGAAAGACAGTGTCACCAACCTCGTCAAATAATCTGATCATGGCGTTCAAAATCAAGGGTGACTGGGTGTTTTGTATTGTCATCAGCTAAAAACACCTTATTGTCCATTGTTATATAGTTATTACATTCGTTGGCATTGAGATAGTGCTTTGCCAGGGTTGATCCAAAAAGAAAATTTTAAATATTGATCAAAAGAAATATAAGACTATTCTAGAATTTTTTAACATCAATATCAGATTAACCTGAAGAAATTGGCAAGTTGGTGATACTGCACAAAGGAAATACTGACGTTTTGAACACTTGTACTAATGTCCCTCCTGTTTCAAGCTTTTATCATATTTACACTAGCTGTGATCCTATGTTTACAAGGATAATTGTTTGCTAATTCATATGTTGCAGTCAATTTAAATGTGTTACGGTAGAATACATGTTTTAATATTACCAGACTTGAATTACAGGGGTGCCTATGTTTATTGTTGTTTTGTTGATTGTGATGATGTACCAATGTTACTTTTGTGTTATGTGTAGAGATCATTGTTGTGAATACCTCGATAATGAAAGATGTTTATTCATTGCCAGTCTGAATATGATATTTATCATATTTGAACAGAAATATTTTCAAACAATGAACAGTTTTTGGGATAACGTTCGTTGATGTTAATGTGGAGTCTTAATCAGGATGAATAATAATGACTTTGCTGTCAGTATTTGTTTATAGGATGTACATACCAACCATAACAGATTTGTCAGTTTGTGTTGATTAACAAATTATATCCATGATCATGAAATATTCTTTTGATACCAATTTCTAATTTGATATGAAATGAATATTTGGATGCATCTGTCGTAAATAAGGAGAAATAGTCCATATTCAAAATATGTACTGATATGATATCAAGCAATATTTTGACAAAAACTTTCAAAATTAAACACTGAATTTGAGATATCTGAAGTTCTTCAAGGACTTGGGACCTAAGCTATATGTAATGTAGTACAGAACTTTGGTACATTGTACAGAGTTGTAACAAATGTTGTTCAGTATAATGATGAAGATTACACATTGAATGGTATGGCATTAATATAATGAGAGAATGAAATAAAAGCCATTGTTGTTCTTTGTAGTTTTCTCTTGTTCTTTAAAGCAAATGCTGTTCTTTGAGGCACATCTACTGTAAGTATGCATTTTGATTGTTTGCCCCATGAACAGCCAGGGTCATCTTGAGGCAGATCTCCTTGCAAAAGCTGGTGGTTAACTTACTGATCAACAAACGTGAGGCATGCCATCCAGAACAATGGGTTTGAAGTGTCTCACCCAAAGACAACCACAACAACACAGACCAATCCCTTTCTCAGCTTCCTGTGAAACATATTGCCCTGGGTTGGGAGTGTTGAACCACACACCTTAGGGATTTACCTGAGGTTGCATATGAAATATTCTATCCACTTCTGGGTTTAAATAATTGACTAATATGCAGGCCACAGCTGTGTTTACACAATGCCTGGGTTCTGCTTGCTGAGTATATATTTGGTTTTATATATTTTTTTGTTTTTGATCAAGTCCACAGATTATTTTTCCTGAACTTCCATAGCTGCTGCATTAAACTTGTTAAGGTATTTTTAACAGAAAGTTTTAATGTGATAGGCTTTTTACTATTTGTATTAAGTCCACAGATAGCCCTGATTTTAATACAGGTCCTAACCATTTTCCATCCTTGATACTCCAGGGGTTACAATCACTTTCGCTCTCTGCACCCATGAAATATGTTATGGAAAAATCAAAAGTTCCATGTGCAACACTTAGTGGACACAAAAAGACTGCCTGTAGTTTGATCCTTTGATGTACATCAGACGAATTACAAGGTTGCATAACGGTAGAGAATTGTAATGACTTTGAAGTTGGATTTCTCTCCTTTATAATCTTCAAAAGGAGCATATCAGCCTGTAATTGGTCTTCTTTTTTTCTCCTGGAGCCAATGAAATTACTTCATTTGTGCCTTCAGTTTTGCTATGAAATTTTCCAGGGGTGTGGAGAGCGAAAGTGATTGTAATGCCTGGAATATTGAGGTTTACCATATTCAAGATGGCGTCCATTTGGAAAGAAGTTGACCCAGACAAGAGAGTCACTCAGGAGTTGTATTTGGTTCTCTTATAGACCCAGCCACATTTAAGTGGACCACCTTAGCAGCCTTATTCAAAAGCATGTTGCCACTTAGAACCACATAACAGAAAGTAGACAGGACTGAATTGTTAGGTCCACAGATTTTTAAGTGAAATTGGGACCCTAGCCATATTCTAGATCACTGTCTTAACTGTCCTCAGCGATCCATGTGACAAGCTATATACAACATTTATATCAAAATTGCTGATTTTTTTTCTCCAATTAAAAAAAAAATACCCAGCAGCAACTGGCTGCTTATATCAACCATCAGAAGTTGTTAACAGAATAAGAAAATGGTTGGATAACCAACACCACACCACAGTTCACTATAATAGCTCGGTGACTGATAAGTTACCGAAATCTACACAATGATATTGAAGTAAATCAATGACTAATGCTTTAACAATAAATTTTATTGTGTTAAACAAGAACATTGTTCAATACTTGTACAAATTATCACAGATCTAATCAAAGAAGAAAGTAGATATATTTCACAGAACAAGTACAAAGAGAGACAAAATATGAAATTAGGACAACAGGTTTTGTTATCTTGTTAAATGATTGCCTGGACACAGTTTGCAAAACAATAACAACTGCAAACACAGGACAGCAATAACAGCTGATGCACAAGAAAAGACTGGTCCCAAAACACTTAATTTGGATTTACTTAATAATTTAAATCTTGCATGCTGGTAGTCATTAATGGTTGGAGTATGATAATACCACTAATTAGAGGTGATTTTAAACCTCTTGATGTTCACATATTGCCTGTCATTACATAGTGATGTCACTAAATGAAGTGTACATTGAAATTTAAGTTAGTGATGTAAATGAAAGATGTATGCACAAAAATAGGCCCCACTGCTTCATCGAAACTGCTGGAAACAACATTCTAAATATCTACGCAAACAACACACTACATGTCTAGATTCCCACTGGGCCTCACCCCTACTGCCCCCAGGTGCCCAGACCCACTGCTTATAATGGTTCAGTCCAAATTTGGTCACAATTCACTAAGTTATTTATGACTAGTGGAAATTTGTAGAAAAAGTTGATGTCACTTAAAGATGTGTACACAGTTATGTCACTTAAAGATGTATACACAGTGATGTCACTTAAAGATGTGTACACAATGATGTCACTTAAAGATGTGTACACAATTGGTGAACATGGTGATGAGTTTCCTCCAATAGTTGCCAAGACCTTTGATACCTGTGGAGGGATCACACTGATATGCCAGGTGGCCAGTGTAAGGGTCCCACACACAAGTCTGGCCTCTGTAGTCTGTGGCAACAATTCGGTCATCCAGCTGTCCAACACACTTCACTCTGTAATCACAATATAAAGATGTGAATTCACCCATATCAATAGAATATATTATACAGTCTAAAGCAGATACATCTATCGTAACTCAGGATGAATTTACTATAACTCACCTCTCCCAACTAGACATTATTTTATAGTAAGATAAATCTGTTATAACTCGCCCCTACCACCTAGAGACATTATATAGCATGATAAATCTACTATACTCACCCTACCATCTAGAGACAATATACAGCATGATAAATCTACTATAACTCGCCCCTCCCACCTAGAGACATTATATAGTAAGATAAATCTATTTTAAGTCACCCCTCCCACTTAGAGACAATATATAGCATGATAAATCTACTATAACTTGCCCCTCCCACCTAGAGACATTATATAGTAAGATAAATCTATTTTAAGTCACCCCTCCCACTTAGAGACAATATATAGCATGATAAATCTACTATAACTCGCCCCTCCCACCTAGAGACAATATATAGTAAGATAAATCTATTTTAAGTCACCCCTCCCACTTAGAGACAATATATAGCATGATAAATCTACTATAACTCACTACTCCTACATAATGAATGATGATAGTATATATATTTACTATACTCACCCCTCCCACATAATGGCAGAATAGTGGACCAATTCTTTGCTTATTTCTGTCTCTGGGTTTATCACCAATAGAACACCAGCATCATCAGATTTCTTGTCATTAAGCAAAGACAGCAAAAAATACTCCTGGTAAAGTAATACACTTAATGAACTGGATGCTATATATGTAATACACTTATTAATCTGCAATAGCTATTTTAGCATTGAGTTTTTTCCAGCACTACAACTTAATAAGCCATATGTCTATTACTGGTATATCCACATTTTTACTCATCACTCTGTTAATTCAGAGATAATGCTGACAAAAAAATCCATGGCAAACTACAATTTGAAATAAATGAATATCTCATTACTGTAAATTACTCGAAATAATAGCATGAATGGAAATTGATGCTGGCTAATATACTGACCTGCTGCCATTGTACTGAGACTAATGTGGAGTCCTCAGGCCAGGTCATTGAAAGTTCAAGTGTCCATACCAGTGTCCCTGTTTCAATATTCCTGGAATAAAGTGATATGAAAATAACAAGAGATTCATAGAGTCTGTTTTGCTCACCTGGATTGGGCTGGCTAATATTGCTTTATCCAAATTAAAAGAAAAGGAATTCTAAAGATTTATATATATTTCTTAATTTAGCCCTACCCCTCTGCCCCAGGGGTCAGATAAACCATTAATACAAAAGTCTCTTACACCAAAGGACGCATCAGATCAAATTGGAACAGAATCCTACCATTGCTTCAGAAAAAGGATTTTAGAGAAATTGCTCTATTTCTTCCTATGGTATGTGCATCGCCTATCCTTTGGGGCCATGGCCTACTGTTTATATCAAAGTGATTCCCCTTCACATATCATGCTTCAGGACAAATTGGGACAGAATCCTAGCATTCCTACAGAAGAAGAATTTTAAAGAATTGGCTGCATTTTCCCCATTGGGCCCACCCTCCTGCACCAGGAGGCTGAGACCCACTGCTTATACAAAGTTGATTTCCCTTCAACCAAGGATGATCAGACCAAAGTGGGACAGATTCCAGGTCTTTCTAGAGAAGAAGAATTTTGAAGTTATTCTGTTTCTTGAATTTGGCCCTTCTTCTCAAGTCCCAGGGGTTGTGACCCATCATTTATACAAATTTGAGACCTGTTCACCTAGGGATGCTTTAGAATAAACTGAGATAGAATTCAGATATTCCTACAGAAGACAGATTTTAAAGGATTTGTCCCAGGTAACCAATACCCACCATTTATACAAAATATTTATTTCCCTTTACCAAAGGTAGCTTCAAAAGAAATTGGCACAGAATCTTGGTATGCATTCAGGAGAAGAATTTGCTCTACTTCCCCTATTCAGCCCTGTCCCTCAGGTCCACCATTTATACAAAATCTCCTTCCCTCAATGTTGCTGCTGACCAAATTTGATCAAAATCTCTCTCAGTCCCAGATAAGTAATGTTTTTGAGAAATTAACGCATGATAAGCATCACTTTGGACCAAGTGAGCTAAAATTTGTCAATTCTATATCTGCAGACAAATTCTATATCCCATTCTGCCTGATAAGATACATTTGCAGAACAAAGTTAATCCTTCACTGTCTGATACGATATAGATTGCAGGCTAAAATAGTAGTAATACTGATGGGGGAATGATTGAGAGAATGACAGTGTAGTCACCTCTGTTAGTACTGATGGGGGACCGAGAGGAAGAATGACAGTGTAGTCACCTCTGTTAGTACTGGTGGTGGACTGAGAGAGAGAATGACAGTGTAGACACCTCTGTTAGTACTGATGGGGTAATGAGAGGGAGAATGACAGTGTAGTCACCTTTGTTAGTACTGATGGGGGAATGAGAGAGAGAATTACAGTGTAGTCACCTCTGTTAGTACTGGTGGTGGACTGAGAAAGAGAATGACAGTGTAGACACCTCTGTTAGTACTGATGGGGGAATGAGAGGGAGAATGACCGTGTAGTCACCTCTGTTAGTACTGGTGGGGGAATGAGAGAGAGAATGACAGTGTAGTCACCTCTGTTAGTACTGATTGAAGACTGAGAGGCAGAATGACAGTGTAGTCACCTCTGTTAGTACTGATGGGGGAATGAGAGAGAGAATGACAGTGTAGACACCTCTGTTAGTACTGATGGGGTAATGAGAGAGAGAATGACAGTGTAGTCACATCTGTTAGTACTGGTGGGGGACTGAGAAAGAGAATGACAGTGTAGACACCTCTGTTAGTACTGATGGGGGAATGAGAGGGAGAATGACCGTGTAGTCACCTCTGTTAGTACTGATTGGAGACTAAGAGGGAGAATGACAGTGTAGTCACCTTTAGTTTTATCACTGATACATTGCTTTTCACATTACTAAATTCTTATAAGTTTAAAGCATAAAGTTATAGGCATACCATAGCACTAATGTGTTATTGGAGGACCAGAGAGCTAATGCTGATGGGAGATTTTCCACCAGCATCAAACGCTTCGGTGTAGTCAAACTGTCTGAGCAGTGGTCAAATTCCTGTTGTGATATCAGCTGACCATCACTGTCCACCAAATATTTGACCACTTTAGTAGTATCATGGTCAGTGTGGCCCACGGCTAAAGCTTCTACATTGAGGCAGCAGGCAGTTACACTAAAACATGGTAAACATATTGATGCCATATCATAACATCAATTAAAGACATGTACAAGAAAATAAACATTTCATGAGTATATCATAGATTAGATATTTCAAAACAAGAACAATTGCAGATGTACCCCTTCACATTATAAAAATACTGCATCATTTAATGCTGATTTATGTGCAACATCACCATAAATTATTTGCAGGGTTGTAATTGTTTAAAAAGACTGGTTGAACCTCAGGTCTACAGATCCATATTTACCTGTTTCCCAGTAGACAGCGTAACACAAAAGGAAAGTATACAGATATACTTGTGTTTAACCTGCACCTCAGGTCTACAGATCCATATTTACCTGTTTCCCAGTAGACAGCGTAACACAAAAGGGAAGTATACAGATACTCTTGGGTTAAACCTGAACCTCAGGTCTACGGATCCATATTTACCTGTTTCCCAGTAGACAGTGTTACACAAAAGGAAAGTATACAGATACACTTGGGTTTAACCTGAACCTCAGGTCTACGGATCCATATTTACCTATTTCCTGTTAAACACTGCACTAGCTCTGCTTTGTCTTTTCTGGCGTTGAAGTGAACCACATGAACAGAGCATTCAGTACCACGCAGTACAACCACAAAGTAACAGAAATTGTCCCTAAACACAGCAGGGTATGTATAGCATTCCACAGAACTGTAGTCCTGGAATAAAGAAGTGGGTTACTGTACATATAGTTCTATACAACACAGGGTACAATGTAGGTATAATTCTCCACAGATCTGTAATCCTAGAATAAAGAAGTGGGTTACTGTACATATAGTTCTATACAACACATGGTACAATGTAGGTGTAGCTCTCCATAAATTTGTAGTCTTCAGTTAAGGAAGGGAGTTAATTTAGATATCAGTCAAACATAATAAGCCATCTACAACATTGTCTTTGCTCAGTATGTAGAGAACAGGACTTTCTCCCTGTTGCTCTATAATTATGCATATGATAGGCCAGGATTGTCTTCAGATGGGGACTCCTTGAAGCAGCTTACTGAACGTCATGTAGAAGGCCTATAGCATGCTTTCAAGAACATCTGGGGTAAAGTGTCTTACTGAAGGATTCCACCTCTAGCTTCCTGAGAAGTACCAACTGTCCTGACAAGTGATCATCACATCACACACCTCAGATCTTCACTTGTGGCTGCATTAGTCTGACAATGATTCTGTCTGAGCTATGGTAGACCCCACTTTAGATTATAAGTACCTGTTCAAGCTGCCATGTGTTAACACAGATGTATGTGTTTCCCCTCTGGTTCCATAGACTCATTGTTGATTGGCCAATACATAATAATACATCAGTCCTGCGACGAATGATCTGTATACAACAAGCAGCAACACACCTCAGGGACTCATTCTGTGATAACTGCAACAATAAATACATTTTCATTTACAATAAAAACTGATGTTGTTGGGCTTCATCCTAGGAATATTCCGGACAAATCTGACCCCTGTTGCCCTGAATATGAAGCAAGGTAATTTATTTTTGCAAAACATTGTCAGGCTTCATCCTAAGGATATACCAGCCAAATAGCATGCCTCTAGGCCTTTCAGTCCATGAGAAGAAGTTGTTTAAATTTGACCCATGAGATTGAACATAGGTTAAGGTCATTTCTTTTCGCAAATTTAGTCAGGTTTCATCTCGGGAACATACAAGCCAAATATCAAAACATTTGGTCCATTAAGCCAACAAAGTGACCAGGGACTCACATAGATATATTCCACTACTCACTATCTTTTTTCTCCTGATCTTAAATCTATTGAGGTGTTAATCAATTAAAAGTATAATGTGAATATGAACTAAATCTGTCAATGGGTCCCTGAGATATCATGTACACAATATTGTTTGCAAACTGGCACTTATAAGTAATTGTCTTGGTCTTAATATAGACTGACAATTATCTCAGATTATCAAAGAAATCTGAATAAGGAGAGTTAAAAGAATTATAACAGCATTACCAAAACATAATGCTGCCTTCTATAAGGATACTTCAATGTGCTCATCCCAATATAATTTAAAACCTTGATAAGCTAAAGTGATTGAGGCACCTCACTCACTAGCTTTACATGAGATTGACTTCACATAGTTGATAAGCCTAATTTCTATCAGCTTGTTTTTCATATCAGTGTGGAGTCCATGTATGCTTGACTACTTCTCCTTGTTTGATATGTAATTACCCTGATACAGCTGAGGTGTTGGAGGACTTCCCCTTTTCTGATTTGTAATTACCTGGATACAGCCGTGGAGTTTGTGGACTTTCTTTTTGTCTGATATGTGATTACCTTGATACAGCCAAAGTATTGGGGGACCTTTCCCTTTTTCTGATTTGTGATTACTCTACATAGCCAAAGTATGGGGGACCTTTCCCTGGTCTGATTTGTGATTACTCTATATAGCCAAAGTATTGGGGGACCTTTCCCTGGTCTGATTTGTGATTACTCTATATAGCCAAAGTATTGGGGGACCTTTCCCTGGTCTGATTTGTGATTACTCTATATAGCCAAAGTGTTGGGGAACCTTTCCCTGGTCTAATTTGTGATTACTCTACATAGCCAAAGTATTGGGGGACCTTTCCCTGGTCTGATTTGTGATTACTCTATATAGCCAAAGTGTTGGGGAACCTTTCCCTGGTCTAATTTGTGATTACTCTATATAGCCATGGGTGACCTTTCTCTGGTCTGATTTGTGATTACTCTATATAGCCAAAGTATTGGGGGATCTTTCCCTGGTCTGATTTGTGATTACTCTACATAGCCAAAGTATTGGGGGACCTTTCCCTGGTCTAATTTGTGATTACTCTATATAGCCAAAGTGTTCGGGGACCTTTCCCTGGTCTGATTTGTGATTACTCTATATAGCCAAAGTGTTGGGGGACCTTTCCCTGGTCTGATTTGTGATTACTCTATATAGCCAAAGTGTTCGGGGACCTTTCCCTTTATCTGATTTGTGATTACTCTACATAGCCAAAGTATTGGGGGACCTTTCCCTGGTCTGATTTGTGATTACTCTATATAGCCAATGTATTGGGGGATCTTTCCCTGATCTATTTGTGATTACCTGTATACAGCCGAGGTGTTTGAGCCTCTCGCCTTTATTTACTCTGTAAGGGTTGTTGATCTGGCTATCCTGTGAGCCACAATCTCTAGAAGAGGAAGAATCCTTAGTTTCCAGGCTGTTTGGTGGAGAGGTAAATAAGGCAGGTGACATGGTAATAGATTCTTCACTGTAGCTTTCTGTTCCACGCTTGGGTGTTTCTAGGCTCTTAAAACAATTCCTTGACAATGTGACTTCATTGTTAAATACTGAACTGTCCGAGTTCACAGACAGTTCTTTTTTACACAAATGATCTAAATCTGTTTTAAGACAGTCTTTGCTGTGTTCCTGGTTGGCATGGTCACATGGGCAGAGACCTGGACAGTCCACTGATACTGGTACAAGAGGTGATTCTTTAGTGATAGGTTCAATTTTGTTACCATTTACATCTCCTGTATAGGAATAAGGTAAAAACACTCCAGGAGTAGATTTATCATGATGATGAGATAACAAAAAATCTTCACTACTCTCCAATTCCTTAGCTTTAAAACTGTTCTTAATTTTCAGTTCTGTAAGATGATTGGTTGACTTTACCCTACTATCCATGGGAAAAAAATCCAGCGGAGTTTCCATGAAATTTGATCCTGATTCTGCAATTGGAGGTTCAAATCTCTGATTTCCCTGATGAGTGTTTTCAAATTTCACCTCTGTCATTGGATTTAAACGCTTCTGCATCATTCTTCCAAACTGATCCTCTGGAAGACTAAAATAACTCCAATCTTTCTGTCGCCGATTTTCGTCAATGAAGTACTGGAATATTGAAGACAGCATTGAAGGGAGATTATGAGTTTTACCATGTCGGGTAGAGTAGTCTACCCCTGATCGATAGCTCTGCTGTATTAACCGCAGAGTTTCATACTCCTCACTATTTTGGGAAGATCCCGAGATATCTATTTCCTTTTCCAATTCAATATCCAGAATTCTTCCAATTGTCCTTCGCCTTCTTTTCACACACTTACTCTTGACTCTGCTTTTTTCTGACCCTAGTTTTGTTTCCTTCAGCTTCCCAACAGGGTGTTTTTGCTTCAATGGGTTAATTTGTTCTATTTGTTTTAATGCAACATCTTTCTTCTCATCTTTGAACATAGAACAGTCAGTAGTATTTGTTGATTTTCTACCAATGTTCTGTTGTGTTTTCTGCACACATTCAGGGTCCTGAGAAAGGTTAACTGAATGGTCTTTGTTTAATATTGATGTATCCACCATGCACTTTGATGTGTTCCTTCTCCGTTTAAGTGATAAAGACCTCTTACTTTGTTGTTCATTACTAGACATTGATTCACTTGAAGAATTCCAGTTTAAGGTTTCGTCAGTTTCTTTTCTTGGAATCTCAGTTATTGAATTGATACTATAACTACTACTTACAGCAGAGACCCCATCATCCTGTCTTCTGTTGTCAAAGAAACATTTGCCACTTTCTTCAGATATTTGCTTATCAGGTTGTAAACACTTATTTGTGTGAACAGAAACTATTTCCACATTTCCATCTTTGTCAGAATTGTCAGTGCTAACAAGATGTCTTTTCTGCATAAAATTGTCAGAACAGTCAGCCAGTTCAATGGCAGTTGTTTCTGATTGTCCCTGACAAATATCATTTTGGATTGTTGATACTCCAGTAGATCTGTGAGTCTCTCCAATAATGGACTGCTTAGTATTACATGCTGCTCCTGGTTCAACTGACAAGTCTGAACATTTGGCTATTGTGTAGTAGCCAGGGTTGGTCAGTCCCACTAAAACAGTACTGTGGCTTGACCTTTGACAAGGAGACTTATTGGTTTGGCATGTATCAGAAGAGACTTGAGGAAGACAAGTGTCAGAGGTCACGTGAAGCATATCAGTCTTCCCTTCTAGTACCTCTTGTTCTCTTAACCGCCTTTTTACATACTCCTTGGCAGAGGCTGCTCGAGCACATTTCTGTGGAAGAAACAAATGAAGAATATAGTCCATGTCCCTTGTTTGATTGTAATCACAATGTTTTTAATAATCAGCTGGTTATCAGGATAAATAATCAATACTATAAAAAATCTTTAGTTGAACAAGCTCAGAGTTGACTGAACTTTAAGAAATTATGAACTTCATCTCTTCATTTGTCTTTCCTTCAATAAGAATGTCAAAATACAATACAAAATAGATATAATATCAAATGAAATTAAGTTTTGAATAAATCATGATAGTAACTAGTAACTGTTTAGTAATTATGAATGGTCATCCCCTCTACAACAGCATGTACTGTGACTTGACTTTAGACAGCATTTTACTGACTAAAAATGTGTGATATTAATATAATTTGTCATGCTCTTACCTGAGTTAAATTCATCTTTTAATAAAATTGTCTGATATATCCATTACATCACAAAGTACTTCAAACTAATCAAATATTATATCCAGTAAGTAAAAAGATTAATATATATGTATGCAGATTTTTTTTCTATCACTATTACTATGAGACTTAGATAATCTATTTTCATGGGCAGTTTTTACATGTGTATGTTATATGCAAGGTTATTCATATCTATCTTACAGTGTTGATCCAATACCTTAAGTTTTTTCTCTTTTCTTGCTAGTTCCTTCTTCATATGCACAAGCTTTGCCAATAACTGAAATAAAAATAAAACAAGAATAATAACGAGTTTGTATTGAACAATTTTAGTAATTGTTGTTCTAGTCCAATTTTTATAGAATTAAATTTGGGACGGGGTCATTCCTAACAATTCAAATTAACTTAAGTATTGCAACTTCTGAAAAATTATATTATGAATTAATATTTCAAACCACACAGATGTCCATCTACTGCTGGTAACTATATCATACCTAAACACAAATCTGAAAAGTTTAGAAATTCCTTCCTATATACTGGACCAACTTTGTGGAATCAGTTTCCAGAAAATATCTCCAATTTACCAACCTAGATCCACATTTTTATGCCAGTCTTATTTCAGCCCTAAGATAATATGGTACCTTTATGAATGTTGCCAATTAATTGTTTTAATTATCAGTCCTGTATCCCTTACAAAACCTCGCTAATTTAGTCCTTTTATTATATTATTAGTCACTCTATAACCGTTTTCACTATGTGCCTTTATCATTACATTTGTTTTATTGATGTACATCTTAGTCCTTCATGATTATGCTAGTTTACTGTGATATTTGTGATTTTTATACCATATGTGATGTTGTAATCTTAATGTTGTATATATTGTACATTTTACTGTCGACCACTTGTTAGAAGAGTCTTGTACTCAAAGTGTTATCGACTCTTAAATAAAGTCATTTATTATTATTATTATAAGTCTGAACATCCAAATTATACAGATTGTAAATTCCCTAACTCTTGGAGAAAGTTGAGGATGTCTTGCTCCTTATGCACATGTGCCCAAAGGATATATTTGGAATTATTACATTTCTTTGAAAGGAGGAGGAATATGAAAGGTAGATTTTACAGCTCTTTGGTCTAACTTTAAGCAAACAAACTAAGTTTTGATGAAATTAAAAAAAAAAATAAAAATGAAGCAAACAAGATCTTGGGTTACCCCTCTGTGTCCAGTTGCTTTACTGGGATTTAAATCTTGCAGTACTGTTTGTATACATCTGGAATAATTACAAAATCTGGCATAAATAGGACGTACTAAGGACAAGATTAAATGTCACAATTCAGTTTGGGATTGATGTTTTATGGGGTATATTATCCTTTAAGAGATCAAAGTTCGCATATCTGATTAACAACTCCATTTTATTGGCTCAACATCGGTAGTGTGGAGGATAGACAGACAATGTCTCACTATATCCCACTTTGCTTGTTGTATACAAGGCCATTTTGTGGAATCATGATATACATACCGTTATAAATGTATACATGTATTTAATATTCAGACCAATACTACTTTATTATTCTGACACTCTCTCCCAAAATATATACTTAGATAAATTGAAGGCCGATTATCAGCTGTGTCGATTTAACCATAAATCTTGTGTCCAGGCGATGGCAGTTCAACAGCAATATATTATTGGTATGGAATATAGATCTATTGAAACGAACTTGCACAAGATATAGAAATTTACAGTAGGACTGTTTTAAAAGTTTACCTCTGCTTGGTTACAACTCATCATTCCAGAATACTGTCTACACCGGTACTGATGGCATCAGGAGATCATTTATCACAGATCAAAACACCCGCCATCCGCCACCATCTGTAAATAGTAAATGGTCATTTTCCAATTTCCTGTAAACTACTTCCGGTTGCGTGAGCATTTCAGAATGAAAATGGATGAAAATGGATAGGAAGATGAACATGTTTACATATTCAAGATGAGATAGCGAGACACTAAAAAATTCGCTTCGTTGTATCATCACCGATGGTTCCTTTAATGATAATTTTGTTTTACAATGGACCAAAGTTAGGGACATTCACCATGCAGATAACGTGGTAATTGGCTAAAATATGAGTAGTGGTGTCAGTTCCCCCAACATTAGCATAGTTCCAGGCTCGCCAAAACCGTACGACTACCTGCTCAAGTTTCTCTTGGTTGGAGACAGTGATGTCGGGAAGGAAGAGCTGCTTGGGGGAATGGATGATGGAGCTACAGAGTCTCCATACGGATTCTCTAGTTGTGGTAATATATATGGTGTCAATAATTCGGTGGTGGTTTTGAACTTTGCCATATTTGGTCGCTTGAGTTTGTCATTTGACTTATAAGATAAAAAGAGATGAATCGATTTCTATATCACACTCCTCAACAACCAAAAGCTTCTGTAAAAGAATCGTTGTCAGCATTGAGAGAGAAGAATTTGCATTATATTGTAACTGTTGTAGAAATTTAAGTCATAGATATAATAAATGTGATCATAAAGTTTGCCTGAGCAGGGTGACTAATAGTATGTAAGTTAATTACTGGCCTCCTTCTCGGTCAAGGCTTGATATCAACATGGTACAATGCCTTGTTATCGAGCAAGCCTGATACAACATTCATGTCTTTTACTTATATACCAACATCTTTTTTTTTTTAATCGTAGCCAGGTGATAATTACTAATTCCTTGCTTTTTTTATAGCATTTACGAGGAGAAAATTTCACATTGCATTGCCAGAGTTGCTGTAGCCTAAGATACAATCCTTAAATATGCTTTTTGTACCGAGCAAAATCAATACCAATGATTTCAAATGTGTATGTTGATATCAAAATGATGCATGTATGATAACAGCAATAACAAATCTTACCAAAGGAGAAGAGCTTTTCCATGAATGTTGGCCAGAATCCTGTGGGGAAAAAAGAAGGAAATGTGTCAATACATTGTATTATGTAATGTTGTCTCAAAATCGGACTCGGCATGTATGACCTGTATGACCAGGTATGGATTTAAAAATCATTTATATATTTTGTTTTGTCACAGGTATCGATTACAAAACTACAACCATATTATTGGATGGAAGGCGTGTGAAGTTACAGTTATGGTAAGATTATATTATTAGTGGTTGATTTTATTCTATGTAATTTTTAGTTACCATCTTTCATTATTTAAATAGCTATTGATTATCAGTTGCTTCATATATAGAAATTATCATTGTGAGGGGCACCAGTGTTCTGCTGTAGTCTCTAATTTCATACTTATTTTGGTAAATATCTTATATTACCTTATATTGTGTGAAAGACCCTATATACAATTTTTCCATGCCCACAATTCTACAAACTATTTGACATTACTATAATAGGAGATACTTTCACATATATAAGGATTGAACACCATATTTACAATTTTTTCTGATATTCTTACCTGTAATGATTTATTTTCAGGGACACTTCAGGCCAAGGACGATTCTGCACCATATTCAGGTCTTACTCCAGAGGAGCCCAGGTGAGAAATGTGATCTCTGTAGTCAGTGGTACATGCTATGGCATCATCACGTTATAGCTCATTATTACCTTCTAAGTTATAACAATATCACTCAAAGGTATTATTTAAGTTTGCAAGTAAATGCTTTTTTACCTGTTGCTACACTAAGACTATCTTGTTTAGGGTTAATATCCTTCCCATTGTAATGACGTTTTGGATGGGATATAGTTTTCAATTGCATACACTCACATTTTGCTATCACTTTGTTGATTTGACTTATTTCTGAACAGACTGTAAAGAAAAATCATGTATAAATCAGGTGTGAAAATCTTATGAGTGGTAATATGTTCAAGGTTTCAGCAAGGTCACTGTTACTATTTATAGTATCATTTTTTGTACCCATTCTTTATAATCACTTTGATTTGATCAACCTTCATACCTTCGAAGTCAAAATAACTACATATTTTACTGTATATAGAAAATCTCTCAACTTTCACTTTATTTTCCATCAGATTATAAAAATGTTCACAGAGTTATTTATTGTCACAGTTCTAGCTTAATTATTATGACAAATTTTCCATGGTAAAATGTTGCTTGCTCTGTTTTAGATACATCACAGTGATATAATCTTAACTTCGGAAATAATCTGTGTGATTCAGATAATGGTAACACAAGGATATTTGTCAGTTTGTTAATCTCTGTTGATATTGCTATAAGTTAGTTCATGTGTACACATTTTGTATTTACAGGGCATTCTGCTGGTTTATGACATTACCAATAAGTGGTCATTTGATGGCATTGACCGTTGGATCAAGGAAATTGACCAGGTAGTGTCTTAACTTGCACAGCATCCTCTATGACATAAGATATGTTTTGTTTTATAATATGAATGATATAGGTCAGGTCTTAAGATAAAAATATTCCTGCAAATGTTTTGGATTTTCAATCATCAAAAACTGTAGTTGACCTAATAAGCCCGTATTTTCTTCATAAATGCAATTCATTGATATTAATTTATTTTGTCTTATAAGTGTTGTAGTCTGTTGTTATTGATTTCAAATATGGAAAAAACATACCTTGGGTACTGTGAAGGAAGATGAAAAATATCATATAACATAGATTTAAGGTACTTGACCTCTAGGTTCATGGGATGAAGCCTAACCTAAAACTGCGGAAAGAAATTATACAAACCCATATTCAATGTCAGAGGGGTCAAATTTGTCAAAACTCGGAAAACAACATCATATAATTTACCAAAATGTCTAGCATCATGGTATTTGATTGGTAGATTCAAGGAGGGAAGTCCAATTAAGATGCAAATAGAAATTTATCTTCTAGGAAAAATATATTTAATGATTGATGAGGATTAGCCTTTAGTGCTATAAGCTAACTAGTTTTAAAGTTGGTTTGAGTAAATGTGATTTAGACCAATTTTGGATATCAGTGATGTGAAATGTAATTATATTAAGCACTGAATATCAGATAAGCAATGCAGTCCCATTGGTTTCAATTGTCATGGCATGCAGGTGAGTACATTTTTTTCAACATTGTACTCTCTGGGAAACTATCTTGAGGCTTTATATCAAAGTTTAGAACAGAATGCAGATCTTTATAAATTTGTATTAATTTATTTAACTTGTTGTTGAAGCCAGATTTCAATGAAAGAAAAAACTGTCTCTGATGATGACTGATAATCATTTTCCAGCATGCACCCGGTGTTCCCAAGATTTTAGTTGGCAACCGTCTCCACCTTGCATTCAAACGACAAGTGAGTGAAGCAACAGCAGAAGCATATGCTTTGAAAAATGACATGGCTTTTTTTGAAGTGAGCCCTTTGTGTGACTTCAATGTGACAGAATCTTTTGCAGAACTATCTCGTCTGGCTTTAAAACGGAATGGCATGAGTCGTACTTGGGGGCCAAGCAAAGGTGTGTACATTTATTGCATGAGTGATCTGGCCTCTAAGGTCTGTAAACAGCATGAATATTTATGATGAATTGAACATCATTTGTTGATGATGAAATCCTGTTTAAAATAATTTGTTGTATTATCAGGATGGTGAAAACATTTTTATTGACTAAAAATAATACAAAGTTTTGAAAGAAATCGTTTAATATTTGGATTTTTTAAGTGTAGAACTAGATTGACTAATCTCCATTTCAATGCTTTGTATTTGAGGCTTTGTGGTTCAGATTGGTAGATTGCAAACCAATGTTATTTTATCAAATGAATTAGTTATTTGGAACATCTTGTTATATTGGATAATAAAATGTAAAAGACATGATTGATGATGAAAAACAATTATTTTAGGTAAGAGGAAAGGGTTTATATTTAAACCAAAAGGTTTCGGCATTCTCCAGTTAATTTACCTTCAACAAAAAGAGGAAAAAATAGTTTTGATCTTATACATAATTATTCTAAGGAAGGTGGCATGAATTTTTAGTTAATAAATGATGAATTGGTAATTATTTCAATTTGAATTAATTGATTATTGCTAGCAAACCAATCACAACACTATTCCAAGTTGTTCTATTTATTTTTTAGTATTGAGCCTTCAGGAGATAGCATGTCACACGATTGTTGCAAGGACAACCATATATGGCATTGATCAACTTCCATTACCACAGACATTGAAATCATATCTGAAGTCTTACGCACTCACCAACAAAACGAGAGCAAGAATGCAGAGTTTCATCCACCGTGATAAATCAAAGAAAAATAAGTATCTCAATCCCACAGACTCACCTCCCGCCAACTGTCGACGCAGCTGCTGCATCAGCTAACACACAGGGATATATGGTGTTGTCTAGAACTGCTAAAAGTTCTAGACATGGACACCAAAATCTGACAAAATTTTAGTTTCTGGAAAATTTGTGTTTTTCCAATTTATGTGATCTTATATTCTGTTTCATGTGCTGGTTAAATTGAAAATAAGATCAGGTAACTGTTTGTCAGTTGAATCAGATATAAGAATACATCATGTTTTTTATTTTCTATTGGAAACTTTTTCTAACATAGTGACAAAAAATGTGACTTTCCAATGTTTTTTCAAACTAGTCTTTGATTCAGCAATAACCTGAAATTGGAAAAGCATTTATTTTCTTGATTACTTAAAGCAATAGATACAAGTGGAATCTTGTCAATTATACATATGTAAAGCTAGTCAATAGGCATTTGAGAATTATATGAGGTCTTAAAATGTTGTGAATTTGTGTGGAAGGGGGTTAGGTGAAGATGGCTGTAATGAGTCGCTGTACCTTCTTGGTGCTGTTTCATAATGACAGGAATCTGTTCAGTGTGAGAGAGTTTATTTGTGTAGGGAGTCTGGAAGAAAGAGATCTCAGTAACATGATGTGGTTTAAAATTTGGGAAAGGGGGTACTTTGAAACATTTTGATAGAATAACATCATTGGTTCATAAAAATCCTTATTGGTTCATTAATTGAAATCATTCTGACAACACATCATGTATAACTATTTATATCATTTCAAAATGTTTCAGCTGAAAATCCATGTAAAAGGTACACTTCAGAACTTTGCTCATTTTGGAAGTATAAAGCAATAATGAATAATAAATAATGGTATTTTTGAGAATCTGTTGTCCTACTTTGTGTGACTATCTCTGAAGTATATGAATTGCCTTCTTGTTTTACACCTGTACTGATCAGTAGTTGATACGTGTGAGGTTTGGTTTCTTGATAGGTCAGTAGACTCTCCCTAACTTAGCATTCAGTTTTGTGTTAGTCAGTGAAGCATAGTAAATCAATCTTATTGCTTAATTTTCCTGATTTATCATGTCTCTCATGGATACCTGGTACACATCCACCTGGTAATAAATATTTCATTTCTTTTTGGATTTTTTATCAAAGATAATTTTGATGTGTGAATTTGGTTATACAATATATAATCGGTTCAGAATTTTACAGTTCTGACTTCACAGCATTACACATCAGGCCTAAATAGATTGCTATTTATCAACTCTGTTTTGGCATATACATACTTGTGTATAAACTGTTTTAAAGGTGTTCATTGGTAAATCTTGAAACATTTTAATTGGCAAACCCTGAAACATTTTTTGAACTACTTTTGCCAGTAAATATTAGATACTGGTCAGTAGTGCTAAATCATATAAAATTTGAGTTCTTTTTGACTGGATATACTTCATGGTACAACGTGTCTTAACAGACTGTGCTAAATTCACATAGTGTTTATACTTTTAGACTTTTGATAAATTTCTTTTGTATTTAAAAACAGAAGCTTGTTACAGTTGAATAACACTGTTCAATAGTCAAAAATAATGTAAAAATCTAAGATTTATACATCAGTAGTATTGCAGCATTTCTAACATCCTGTTTGGGATATTTTGTACTGTTGTGTAATACCGTGTGATGGATATACAAGGGATGGATTGCCAGTATGATGTCTTCCAATCAGTGTATGAATCATGTTACTGAAAATTGCCTCATGTCTGTTCTTTTGATCTATGATGAACAATAGCCTATGCTAAAGGATAAAGTAAACGAATTGGAAAGTATTTCAAGTGAAATACATCAGGTACAATTGTATCTGATCATTAAATTAACACCAGTTTAATTAGAATGCCAGAACATTACCCCTTATGGGATGTCAGATCCTAAAGCGCAGAATAACGTAGTGAGAAATAGAATTTACATTTAAGTCAAATTGAACCAAAAACAGCATTGATTAACTGTGTTTAGTTGGTAATAGTTGCCAGTCTTACATGCCAGACATGGAGGAGGAACCTATTAGAAATCCATGTCGTACAACTGCCTTTTATACTCTGATATTTGATAGGTCGCCAAAAGGTCATTCAAAAACAAGAACATATACCAATTAAAAATCAGTGATAATAGAAAAAATTATATACTGCATGATGTTGTTGAAGTAAAAAATGATATTTCACGACTTCCCATTACGCATGCATATGCTTATGCAACTTAGTTTAATTTTGGTGTTTGTGATAGTAGCCACATCATAAGAAGATTTTACTCTCACCTTCATGATATTGTTACATATATATATGTAAAAGATTTCTCTAAATCATAACAAAAACATCATTAGACATTTGTCTATAGGAGCCAACCTTTGAGAAATTGAACTGTGACTGGTATCTTTGTTCCAAATGTTTCATTGATAAACTTGCTCAGAAAGCATTCTCATTTAAACATTTGGTTGTGCCTTTTAGCTGTTTGTGTCCTGACTGTATCTTGCTTATTGGTATTTGACAGGAGTGGTTATTGACAGTAATGATTCATCATTGTGATGACATTTATTTCAAATATACACACCTTGGTCATTCATTAATGTTCTAACTTTGTAGTCAGCGTTAGCTGTGTTCTTGCCAGTTAGATGTCAGAGTTCAAATGACACTGAAAGATTCTTATCAAATTGACATTGAAAGATTTGTATCATTCATTATTCTATACAAGACACATTATGAAAATCTAGTGTTTGTTTCTGCAAGTATGAAATTTCTCATATAAATGTCACTATATATATATATATATAGCTATCAGCAATATCCTGTATACCAGGATTGGATTGGTTCAGAAATATCCTTATTCTCAAATTTGGTGTCGATACTCTGTATTCTCATTTGTAGAGCCGGTAGTGTACATGGATATAGGCATATACAACTGTGTATGTATTCTGGGAAAAAATATCTGTATTTTGAAGTTTTGAATGAAAGGAGCTTGATATTTATATTTGAATATTCAAAATCTATAAGTACATGTTCACCATTGATTGATATTAAGATTACTGATGAGCTGTATTATTTTGTATCTACTTGGCCATATCATTTGTTTTGTTATATTGTCAATCAGTATTATCTGTATATATTGGCATTGTTTTTATTTTTCTGTACTTGATGTATCTATATTGTGTTGACTTGGGCTGAGAGAATGCACTTTATCTGCATCTACAGCTACTATGGATCAAGTTTCAGTGATCATAGTTGTAGTTACTCTGCCCATTACATTTTGTCTTCCTTCCCAGAATAGTCTTTTCCTCTTAGATATTACATAGAGATAATTGTTCCTCCCCTTTTTCTGCTACGTAATGACACAATAGCAGTATGGAAGTATTTTTTTGTTGAGAATTATCTGTGATGTAAGAAGTTAATTATATCTTTATGTAGCTCAACATTTCATTCAATGAAAAATTTTACATGTTTTTTCTACTGAGACAAACTTTTGTTCAGATATTCATGTTTTGAAGATACAATTTTAATAAATGATTTCTATATATTCTTAATCCAAACCTTGAATTTCGTTTGGTGTGACCAAACATTCTTAATGGTAGAGAAAGTGCAGTTGACTGTGTATTGGGAAACATTAAACAAGACTTAGTAGTTTGGTGTTTATTTGTAAATTGCCTTCAGTGGTTGTGCCTGTGCTTTTTGTGGATTATTTAAGTGTACATGTATTATGTAAATTTGCTATAGAAGGTGCTATATTTTGTATGTTAAGTTACATTACTGTTTTTGTGTATGCTAGAGAACTATGTTGCCTCTTAATCAGATTTCTCACATTTTTTCTTTATCAGAGTGTAAACTATTCCCACTGAAATTTAACAATTTTGATGATATATGTGTTTATGCCTAGAGACTGTAAATTTGCCTGATTCAGTAGCAATTAGTTTTTGATCAAGGGAAAACAATAAGGTATCTATATAGTGTTTTGGTTATATATTTTACCTAAAGTTAAAAAAATGCACTATATATTCAGTCTGGTTTATGAAAGAGAGATGCAAAAGGCTTTGCAATTAAAACAATTCATTTGACAACAATGTAAATACAATTTACAGATTTTATATTTCCAGCACTGATGAAAAGATTACTGCCAAGTCATCTTTATAAACAGGATGTCTCCATTGTATAGTGGTTGACTGTTTTCCTCTTGGTTGACATATTTGTTTCCACTTCTTATTAAAGGACATTATCTGTTTATAAATGTATCTTGTAGCACTTAGAGTTTTTAAATTAATTGAACTTTAAAAGAAAAAATATGAAAAATTGTATTAAAAAGGCACACAATGTCATTGCATAATGTTTGTTTTATGTTTTTGTCACAATGTTAAAATGTCACATCCTGAGTAGCTGGTAATGTCACATGTGATAGTCATGTTTCATCTATTTTATCAAACATTTCACCCACTCAAAATTATTTGGAAATCAATTTGTTGAATTAAATTGAAAACATAATTGAATTATTTGTACAAGATTATCAGTCACATTTGTGATAGTTTAGTCAGGTTTCTTTCTTAATGCATACAACTTGTCAATATTTGAATCTCTTTTTATTTAATTACAATATATACATTGAGTAATATTCATTTTGTATATATTCAAGCAAATGGATCAGATCTTTCAAGGGGACAGTTTTCTGGTTGTTTTTTTTATTTGCTGAATCAATTACTTCATCAGACTTCTTGTAAGTGGTTTTATGATATTTCCTTCAAGTCTTCTATTTGTGATTTGATTTAATTCTCTAAAACAATAGTCAGTTATTGTATTATACTTTCTGTAAGTCTGTTGTCAGTGATAGTAGGCTTTCTGTTCAACAGACAATATTCAAAACTTGTATCTTGTTTCCTGTAAGTCTGTAGTCAATGACAATCTCATACTTCCTTTAAGTCTGAAGTCACTATTGTCAATGATTGTATCATATATTGATCAATAAGATTATAGTCTTCAGTCTTTTTCTACATTAATGCAATTGGTTGTCTTTTATGCTGTGGAATACTAGTCCCCTTAAAAAAGGATCTGTTTATTCATTTGCAGAATAATTACAAATTGTATGAGATCAACATAGTGATATGAAGATCTGTTGTATATACAGCTGTAATATTTATTAAGGGATGCTTGGTTACCTGCCATCCCTGTATGATACATCCCACTTGGGAACTTTGGCTGCTCACAGATTAGTGAGCTTATTGTTAGTTACCTTTATCTATATAACCATGATGTTGTTTAATACAGTTTCAATAAGAGTTATTCCTTGTGTTGCTTTATTTATTTCAAAAGTTAACTGGACATTTGATACTTATCCTTAGAAGATTATAGTGATTTACTGACAAAATGACAAACCATTTGACCTGTGACAACCTATATTTCTTCATTACATGTTAATGATGTCTTTGTGATAAAATGTATGAAGTTTGGTGATTACTCTCAGAAAAGAAAAGGCTGTTTCAGTAAGGAAACGCTTTATGAAATATGACCTTATAGTCACTTTGACCTCCAGACTCCAGAAAACAAACCCGATCAAGCACTTTCAAAATGATTCATAGTAAATATACGAAGTGTATTTTTGTTGAAACACTTCAAGTAAAGCTTGGGACATTAATGTTGACAAATGATTTCATATTTAATGGCTTGCTTTTAATACACAGCATTCAAATTTTAACTACATTGCAATTGTTTCATAAAAAGCTGTTGACAGCCTCATCAGGAAGTAGAAGTTAAGTTATTTAAATGGATTGATCCACCAAGAAACTTTTGAGTTGGTATCAAAATTTGCATTTGTATTCACATGGTCTTAATTGCTAATTCAGGAGAAGTACTCATTCTCAAATTTCTTATGTATGCTCTCAAATGTGCATTGTCCAATTTGGGACCAATTGAAAAGTAAAAAAAAAAAAAAATTGAGAGACTACCATCATGGATTTCGACAGAGTTTGTTATTGTCGTTTCTGAGTATGGGTCCCAATAAAATTGGCATGAAAGAACTAAATCAACTTATTCTGCCAGTGAGTCGTATTGTGATAAGCTTGACAGCCGATGGAGGCTGAAAGTTATCAAAGTTGAGGTTTGGGTCACTCATATTCAATGTCAAATGGTTAAAACTGTCAAAACCTTCAAACGACTTCTCAGTGATGGAAAAGCCTGAATCCATATTACATTTAGCTTGTACTTGGTTAAATTGTGGTTGGGATCAAGTCCGACTTCGTTTCCGAAAAGAAATTACCTTGACCATATTCAAAGTCTCAGAGGTCAATTTATTTCCCTCCCTCTCTCTCTCTCTCTCTCTCTCTCTCTCTTTTAGACAATGTCAGTGGTGTGAAATGTAATGTAGCCAAGTGAGTAACGCAGACCCATTGGTCCCCATGTTGGTAAAAATTAATTTGACGTTAGAAATACTGTGCTTAATGTATATTGGCCACACAAGGCTTTAGAAACTGTTAGACATGATATTAAAACATTGATACGAACACACCTCTTCGAACGCGCCGACGTAGCGGAAGTTGTAGGTCACGTGATACATACATAAACCCCGGCGAAAATGGCAACTTTAGAAGATAAAGCGATTTGGGATGACGGAGAGGTAGACTTTATCTAAATTGTAGTGAATTTTGCATATATATTGATACTTTTTTATGAAATATTTGTATATCTTTATTGAAACGAATTGAGAGATGTTGTAAATGGATTGTATATTTGGTGTGAAGTTATAATTTTTAGGTCAGGCTTTCAATTCCACATTGTCATCATAGAGTTAACGTTTGCTATATTTTGTTATGTTTTCTGCTGTTGAGGTGTTATTGCCAAAATGATCTGACAGTGACTCTGTGTATTTGCCAAAGATGTTAATATCAGAGCTGTGCAGGCGTAAAAAATAGGGGGTTGGGTGGTTGTTGACAATGTTGTATCAACCCCCCAACCCCCCCCCCCCCCTCACAACAACACGATGTAGCCTTTTACACGCCTTTTACTTCTTTTAACTCTTTTACTAATTCCATTTCATTTTATCTCTTTTAATTTATAATGACATAACAGTTACCGAATCAGAAAAAAAACACGAATTTGCCTAATATACATTGTACGCCAATATGGAGTATGGATTTGTTCTGAAAATAACTGAAATTATTTTAACAGTTATTTTTGCTATATATTATTAAAAGTCGCATTAATTTATGACATAGTAAACAATATTTTATTTAAAGATGTTGGCTGAAAGTGCTGAAACTTAATGTGACTATCATTGCCACAGTAATTGTACTATCGTAACATCTGCCATATAGTCTGGAAGCACTGCATCTATATTCGTTACTTTCCCATCTGCATATGAATTTTTGATTTCAGCTACTTTTTGTAACAAATCCATACCCCAGTTGGCATATAATAGACCAGTTTGCATATAATACAAAAATTTGTTGATTTCTCCGACCTAGTTCACATTATAGCAACATAACAATGTATTGTTATATCCTGAACTGTCATCATATTATTCAGATGAATTTACATTTTTTTGTTTTAGGAAAGTCTAGGAGAAGAAATATTGAGACTTTCGACAGATGAAATAGTCACAAGAACAAAGCTATTAGAAAATGAAATTAAAGTAAGTAATAGAAATAAGAAATATACACCTTGTGTTAAATTGAAATTATTAGATTGCATTACAATTAAGCATCAAATATTATCTTTTGATTTAAATGAAATTGATAATCATATATTCAACTTACACAAGTTTTGTCAAGCTGATTTACAATACTACAATGCTCATGCAACTGTCTGTTTTTTTTTTTTTTTTTGTGTGATTTCCATTCATTTATGCATTTAAAGCAAAAAATGTAATGACTTATTTTCAAAGATTATGAAAAGTGAAATTCTCCGCATCAACCATGACTTAACAGCGACCAAAGAAAAGATAAAAGAAAATACAGAGAAAATCAAAGTCAACAAGACTCTGCCTTATTTAGTTTCCAATGTCATAGAGGTAAGTGCAGTTATTAAAAGGTCATTGAAAAGTTAGAAATGAAGAATGATGCATACAAAGGATCTGGTCACTTTCAGGGGTCTTCAAAAGGTTTTGATGGCTGACAATGTTTTTAAAATGCTTTTAAGATAGATGAATTTTATGCGTAAATTCCCAACAAAAAAAAATTGATAAAGAGTAAAAAACTATGCAAAGCATAATTTTGTAACAACCCTCCAGTTTCAAGCACTTTATGTTTTCCCAAACTTTGAGGTCATTTACTACAGTCAACAAATTGGATGTAGTTAAGTTGTAACTCTCATGCTAAAAGGTGATTTACCAATGCCTGATGAAAAAGAAATTTTGTGTCTTGTGTCATTATCACTGTGATAGAACTTGTGACTTGCAGTTACTTGACATGGATCCTCAAGAGACTGGTGAGGAGGATGGGGCCAACATTGATCTGGATGCACAGAGAAAGGGCAAGTGTGCTGTGATCAAAACTTCTACTCGACAGGTAACACTACTTACATTATTTGTGTATCCTCACACTCCACACATAGTATAGGTAATGCGATCTACTGTAAAACTTTTTGCGGTAGTTCTGTTTGTTATTTTGATATTTTCCGAATGTATTGTTGAAAAACGTAAAACAAAATATTTTTATTTCAGACCTATTTTCTACCTGTCATAGGCCTGGTGGATCCTGAGAAATTAAATCCTGGTGACTTGGTGGTAAGTATGTGATGTTCTTTGTGTTAGGGTGTTACATCATTGCACACATTGTTGAACCACCTCAAACTCAGTTTGTTCATCCTGCTTGATAAAATTAAATGACTAAACAACATATATTTTCTAGTAAGAACCATTAACGGTAATATAAAAGACTTGAGGAATGTCATGTATGATTCTTGAATTTACTGTGTCTGAAATGTTTTCAGAGAATCTTTTTTTTTTTCAGTATGATGTTTTGACAAATTATTATCCTAACCAGATTTTGATGTGGTACAGATAGTTTTCTGGGTGCTTCAAAGTGATTGATCATTACAACTCCATCAAAATAAATTACAGTAAATAAAAGATAAGGCCATTGTTATGTAGAATGATTATTCATCAACTGCTGATTTCTATTGAATGAGCATTACTTGTTTCAGGGTGTCAACAAAGACTCATACTTAGTACTTGAGACCCTTCCTCAGGAGTAAGTATACATACACAAACATAACTTGAAAGATGAAAGAAGTAGCTTTTAGTAAAATAAAGCCTAAAATAAAATCTCATCTGTGACAAAAAGTTGTATTTAAGTAAATTTTGAGAATCAAAGAATTAACTTTTTGTTTCACATTTTGCAATACACCAATATCAAAATGTAACAATTTGTGTACTTTGTTTTTTGGATGTTTTTTTCTTTGGATATACAGGGCTCTCGATCTGCCAGATTTGGGGCCGATATTTGGCCCCATTCCCAATGCAAAATAGTATCTTTTTTTCCCAATTTAGACCCCAAGTTCTCCCAATTCTAAGGAAAACACCATTATTTTTCCCAATTCTAAGGGCTCCGGGCCCCAGTCCCAAAATGGGGTGTGAGAGCCCTGATATATTACAATTGATATCTTAAAGTCGTATTCATAGAAATTTACTAATGAAATAGTTGAGGGGGGAGTGTAACCAAATTCATGTGTCTTTTTTTGGAGTGATTTATATGCATGACTGAAGATTTGACTTTTCAAATATAATAAAAAAAGCTCCTTAATGGTTCAAATGGGAACAATTTTTTAAATGAAGTCCTGTGGAGGAAGACAAATTTTTATCTATACATTGACAATTTTTTCCCCTTCTTTTATTACAGATTTGACTCTCGTGTAAAGGCTATGGAAGTAGACGAGAGACCAACAGAGCAGTACTCAGATATTGGTGGACTGGACAAACAGATACAAGAAGTAAGTGAATCCAATGTTGGATTTTGTGATAGTAAAAATGTTTGCATGTTATCAATTATTCAACAAATCAACTTTACTTTGACATTTCCTTCATGTTACAATATTTATATTGATGCATAGTGGTGCTGATTTTAATACTCTTCAAATTTCTTTGTTTATTTCAGTTAATAGAAGCTGTAGTTTTGCCAATGACTCACAGAGAACGATTTGAAGCCCTTGGTGTACAGCCACCCAAAGGTTAGTACATGGAATGTATACTGAGACAGGATTAAATAGAAGTCTACGTTTGGTTGGAAAATTCACATGTCATCTATCTAATATATTTTCTGCTAGTACGATTCTGTGTTGGAAAATTCACATGTTGTTTACCGGTTGCCATGTGTCAGATTATTATTTGTATATAATGCAAAAAGAACGTGTCTGAAACTTGCCACACATTATCATATTTCATTAACTATTGCATAAGGTTGTACCTGAAAGAAAAAATGCTAGGTATAGATTGAAACAGAGGCTGGTTTGTGGAATATTCGGTATGTGCAGTTTGAGGGGTTCAGCCATACCTATCCAAAACAAACTTGCTGGATATCATGAGTTTCATAGAATTTTACCGTAAAGCAGGATTGTTGCACACACACATATATCAAAATGTTATACTATATTTTGCAAGTTAAAATAAGATATATTTTATTTTTTGTTAGTTTTTTATGTTTGACAGGAATTTTTAACCTACATTTTTGAGTTTTACATTTATCAATTCCAGCTTCTGGTACAAGTGCATTCATCTATTGTAGAAATAGTTCTTGCCCACCTGAACTGTTTTTACTAGGTTATACGAAAGTGGCCATATACTTGTTAATAGAACTAGTTAGGCCACGCATGTGTGTTTAAAATATTTGTCAAAGTTTATAGGTAGACTGCTAAAATTCACTTATGTGTATGTAATTTCCTGTATACCTTCCACACCTTTGGATAGCCAGTGAGATTCCAGTGAGAGAATGTTTTTAGCAGTTTTTAAAAATAATTCCAGATGCTAAATCTACTCACCATACAGTCTGCAAAATCACTTCCAGAAATAAAAAATTATTGTCTTTAGGTCTTTATAAATGCAAAGTATTATAGTATGTCCTGTACAGTACATGTAATTTGAATGCCTGCAGGTGTGTTGTTGTATGGTGCCCCTGGTACAGGTAAGACATTGCTGGCCAGAGCATGTGCTGCACAAACTAAGTCCACCTTCTTGAAGCTAGCTGGACCGCAGTTGGTACAGATGTTCATTGGAGATGGAGCCAAGCTTGTGAGGGATGCCTTCGCACTCGCCAAAGAGAAACAGCCAGCAATTATCTTCATTGATGAGTTAGATGCCATTGGTAAGCCAGCTGTTAAAAAAAGTTCTATGGCAACTTTACATCAGGGCTTGTAAATGGATGCTTTTTTGTGATTGGACAATGAATATACTTATAGCTTTATTGTAAACAAATATTGGTTCAGAGATATATATCTTCCGTAAATTAAAACCTACAATTAGTTTGAATAGCAGGGTAGTTTGAATGTGTAATTCAGACAGGTCCATATTTATTTATGTTTGTTCAGACTGATCAAAAGTTTACCACATATATGTGTTACATAGCTACCTTTATAAGTGTCACAACACCAATGAAAAACAGCTGTAGTATTTTTGGTATGAATACATTTTGAATAATACGTAGAGCAGCTAGTGAAACTTCATAATATCTCAATCATAAATGGCATAACGATGTCACTAAAAATAAAGATATCATGGCTGGAGAAGAAAAAGCAGATTTCACAATAATTTGCAGCAGACATTTTTTATGTTAGCAGAACCTGTAATATTGTATTGCACTTGTTAAAGAACCATTAGTTAAAATAATAATATATCTGCAGAAGTGTTAATAATGTTATTACAATCACTACTACAAGTAGTTAAAGATTGAGTAAGGACAGATACAGGTCTGGATTAGTATTCAGTTCAAATTTTTATAAATTCTTTTCTGGATGATCAACATTGAAAAGAAATTCCTTACTTGTTTTGGAAGGTGGGTGGAGGGTTGAGGTCAAGGTCACCTTTACTGATTTAGTGATGAAGCATAATTCTTTTTTATTGAATATGCCCAATTGTTGGTGTCAGCTTAGTGGTTAGTGAAACTGATCAGGGTTGTTTTGTGAAATTTTCACGTTTTTCTCTTTAAAGTTATCAGGCCATTTAGTTTATCTCTCATACCTTCTACAGGTACCAAGCGTTTTGACTCTGAGAAAGCTGGAGATAGGGAAGTACAAAGAACCATGTTGGAACTCCTCAACCAGATGGATGGATTTCAACCCAATGCACAAATCAAGGTATCTGAGTGTAGTTGAGTAATAGATTAGTTTTAAACAGCAAGTAACAGAAAATGACCAATGTTTATATGGATTCTAAAGAGTTGTAGAATATTTGAATTTAAACATGTATTTTGTCAGTTAACCTTATCTCTTAGTTGTAAGACAGTAAAATTACTAGATATATGATGTAGAACAGGGAGATTTTGAATACTGCATTGATGATTACATGTTGTATTACAGGTTATTGCTGCCACAAACAGAGTTGATATCCTTGACCCAGCCCTCCTCCGTTCTGGCCGCTTAGACAGAAAGATTGAGTTTCCACACCCCAATGAGGAGGCCAGGGCACGCATTCTGCAAATCCATTCCAGGAAAATGAATGTCAGGTAGCAAAGACACTTTTGTACATCAAGTGATCTTTACATTTCAAGATTTATCTCAATACTTCTAAAAAAAAAGTTTTGGTTGGATTTTACTGGTGATTGATATGGTTCTTTTATGATAAAGTCACTTAAAACCTCATTTCAACTTCCTGTATCACTCATCAAACTGTTTTGTTATGTTTCTGGCTTTCAGCAAAGAGGTGAACTATGAGGAACTGTCAAGATGTACTGATGACTTCAATGGAGCTCAGCTGAAGGCTGTGTGTGTTGAGGCAGTAAGTACCAGCCCAATACAGACATTGTTTAAATCATTGAGTGTCCATTGAAAAGGTCTACTTCATTGAAGAATTCACTTTAAACTTTGATTGGAAAATCCTCGTAAAATCTATAAAAATACACTTCATTATTCTTTCAATATTGCATTCTTCCATAAACATAAGAAAGGTATGTTTATTTAGTCATTTTTATGCATCAAAAAAAGCAAGGACATTTAGTGTTGCCCTTCATCGTCATTCAGTCATAATATCATTTCCACTCTTGTTTGTAGCCTTTGCAGATAAAGATAATTGTACTGTAATCAGGAATATACAATATAGTTGTAAAATGTAGATCAACTTATGATTTTTGTGATGATCCATCTATTTATTCTAAAGTCTAGGCTGTTTAAGTTAATTTTTTTAACAAAAAAGACATGACCCAAATGGGAGAGCCTTGTTTAGCTCAGTGGGAATGTCTTTCTTTACTTTGGTTATAATGAGCTTTGATGTTCCTATTGCACTGACAAATCTTCTTCTATTCTTCTATTCAATTAATTGATTTTTCATAATCTCTCGTGATGGCGAATGAGTTTATGTGGTGTTTTGTTTGGATTCTTCAGGGTATGATTGCTTTGAGGAGAGGAGCTACAGAGCTAGCCCATGAAGATTACATGGATGCCATAATAGAAGTACAAGCTAAAAAGAAGGCCAACTTACAATATTATGCATAGTGCTACATAATTAGAGACTTGAAGACCTTGATAAGATCAAGGATTTGTGATCCACACACATCCAGTGCTTGTTTATCGCATGTTATTGTGTGGAAAACACAAGACAGAATCTTTAATTTACATGAGATTCTGCTTAACAAGTGTTCAATGATTGTGACGTGGAGATCTGAGAAATATGTATTATAAAGACATTTTGTGACGTCATTTACAATTTCCATGGTTTTATAATAATGTCATGTTGATTGTAATAAACTTCAAGGAATAGATTCATTTCATCATAATTTTTTCTTTTTGAAAAAATACATCAACAAGAAACCGAAACTAAAAGGGCTTTTATCACTCACCAGTATACTTAAGTAATTTTGGAAAAGCCTTTTCATTAAAATTGATGGTTGAAAATAGAGTTCCATTATGAGGACTAGATTCCAGTAACATCTACACATCTCTTCCTGACCAGTAAACACATAACATTATTAGATGGGATTTGAATAGTTTCCATATATCCATGAGCTATTAACCTGACAGCTCTAATATCATGGATATATGAGGGTACATCAACTGTTTTAAAAAGGCCTTTATAACTCACCTGGATACTTACATAATTATGGAAAAGACATTAAGATAAAGAAGTAGCTCAAAGTGACAAGGGGATGAAGTCCCTATAAGCACCATGGACTTTGGGGCTGTGCGTGATATAGAAATCTATCTATGAAACTAAGCAATGCTATACATGGTTACAGAGTAGAAATCTTGGAATCCCTGATACTGCAGGGGTTACAATCACTTTTGCTCTCTGCACCCCTGGAACATGTCCTTGATACTGCAGGGGTTACAATCACTTTCACTCTCTGCACCCCTGGAACATGTCCTTGATACTGCAGGGGTTACAATCACTTTCGCTCTCTGCACCCCTGGAACATGTCCTTGATACTGCAGGGGTTACAATCACTTTCACTCTCTGCACCCCTGGAACATGTCCTTGATACTGCAGGGGTTACAATCACTTTCGCTCTCTGCACCCCTGGAACATGTCCTTGATACTGCAGGGGTTACAATCACTTTCGCTCTCTGCACCCCTGGAACATGTCCTTGATACTGCAGGGGTTACAATCACTTTCGCTCTCTGCACCCCTGGAACATGTCCTTGATACTGCAGGGGTTACAATCACTTTCGCTCTCTGCACCCCTGGAACATGTCCTTGATACTGCAGGGGTTACAATCACTTTCGCTCTCTGCACCCCTGGAACATGTCCTTGATACTGCAGGGGTTACAATCACTTTCGCTCTCTGCACCCCTGGATCATTTAATGGCAAAATTGAATGTTCCAGGTGTGATACCTTGTGGACAATACGAAAAGACTAGTTTGATCTTTTGATGTACATCAAACCAATCTTGAGGTCACATGATGTGATATTGTAATGGCATTGAAGTTTGGCATTACTCCTTTGTAATCTTCGAAAGGAGCATATTAGCCAGTGATTGGTTATTTTTTCTCCTGGAACCAATTTGATCACTTTGCTTGTGCCTTCAATTTTGTCATGACATATTCTAGAGGTGCAGAGAGCGAAAGTAATCGTGATCCCAGGAGTATCGAGGATGATATCTTGGCTAGTTTTAAGTTATTGCTCTGTAACTAGGATGGATCATATTCCAGAAACAGATTCCTAGTTATTTAGCATGATGGTTCTCAACTCTTCATGTCAAGTAATAGCGTTTCTTGGTATCATTGGGTCAGCATTTTGATGGTATGACTCGGACAAAAATCCCCTGTTGCAAGGTTGTATTCTAACCAGTTACTGATTCCTCATATCAATCTCATAACTGTTACAAGATGTAGATGATCCCAACTGTTTCTTCCACATCCTACATTTGTACATTTGTTCTGACAGGGTGAACTGAAAATTCTATAATTACTTTCAGGAATAACAAAATCTATTCACTCGTAATACAATGTATAACAAAAACTACTGTTTAAGAATTTAAACAATTTTTTATTATAACAACCAAAAAACACAAAAAAAACTGAGTAAAAATATTTGTAAACATTCCAGTAAAAAGCAACACAAATTCACAATGAAATGTTGTTAAATGATTTTTCTACAGATGTCTCGTACAAAATATTGAATTTTGATTTCAAAAAAGGTAAAACAAACACGGCAAAAATAAACTGTCTGGTTAACCTTGAATTCAGTCAACTTTTCACCATTGATGTATTTCTTAAACCTAGTACTGTATAATGGGAAGCTTGGATGGCATTGCAACTTTGCCCAACTGCCGATAGGGCCAAAAAGTTTTATGTTGAAGCCGAAATAAGGTAAATTTTATGTACATAATACTTCAGGGCAATTGAAGACTTGACAAAATGGGGGATAAAGAAAATATTTAGCAAATATTTCCCAAAAAAAACGTATTTCTAGGCCTCTAGTACTGATAGTAAAAATCTGTTTCCTTTATTTACATTCACTAAAGTGAATCATTCAAATATGGCACTTTTTACAGAAAATTTGAGGAAAAACAACAATAGAAAACAAAAAATACAATACATATCAATATTAAATTAACATCAAATGCAATATACAATTATATAAACACTACCAGTGGGCAATTTTTATACTAATTGAAATATCTGCAAAAAATATTACTTTCGTAGTTTATCATGTTAAAAAAGAATTATGCAAGTATAAAAATACATATGCTTGAATATGAAAATTTTCTTTAAATATATCTATAAAGATTAAAGATAAACTGTAAGTAAAATTTGAGGCTGCTGGAAGTCAAGTACACCTGTACTGTATAAACCACAGACATTTAAGTCTATACATTTTGTGTAATTACATATGTCAGGCAGAAGATATGTTTTTATTACTGTTTTTATGGATCTGACTGAACAGTATATTGCATACCCAACAGTTACATTAAAATGTTTTCAAACTGAAGAAATGCTACTGATAATTTGAGAGAATAACACAGCCAATTTGGTAAAAATGGAGAAAGATATAAAGTGTCTTGTTTATTTTTCATAAGACAAACCTGTTATTTGGAGATACATTTTGATCACCAGTGTTTTATTTAACACTCTCATTTACTCAGGATTTTAATCTTTTTTATTTTCATTAGGAACAGAAACATCTTTTGCAAAACACAACACCCAGATAACTATTACATTACATGATTATCAGACTTATCAACAACAACATGAAATACACAAAGGTGAACCTCCTAATTATTACAGGTTACAATAATTTATAGTCAAGATTCTTTTGATATTCAGTTTTTAAAGCCTTTTGTAGGACTAGTAACTCTTGATATAAAAAAATAAGCATAAAAACTGGAAAGATATATAAAACATTTATGCAAACTGCGACAATCAATTCATTTCATCAAACTTTACATTGTGATTGAATATTACTTGTACACAATGGCAAACGATATGTTTTTGAAAACACATCAGTATATATGGCTGACACTCTAAAATATTGAGGAGTGCAATATGTAATAGCATACATTTGAAAGTTTAAAAAAAAATCAACTGAAAGAAACTGAATATTTACTAATATCTGATAAATATTTTTTTAAATTTAAACAAATTGCATGAATATCATATATCAGAATTTTTCCAAAATATACCGCCAAAATATTTTATCCTAATACATCATACCATATTAAAAAAAAAATGTACAGTCTTAAATTATCTTTCCAATATTTATGAGCGACATATATATTATTCTGATTATAAAAAATAAAAATGTCAGTGAGTATTAAACTTAACATTAGTAATACCTACATATATATACGTAAATGATGAGTCAACATACAAAGTATACTTAGTCTAGATTGTGCTCTGAAATATGAATGGTAGGCTAGTAACTAAAGCACCAGGCTATATACACATACCACATGTAATCATATATAAACTGTAAATAATTGTCACTATAAAAACCATCTATGGCTGTAACTGATTAAAACAGTAAATAGAATTCTGACTAGTCAATAAGGGTCCCACTGGGTGCCTGGCAGTATCTCTTCCCCAAAAGTAACTATCTTGGTTTGAAGGATATTGGTAGTATGGCCTTGTTCACATATGCTATCTTGAAGAAAACCATAGTAATAAACAAAGTATCCCTCACATGTGTCACCAGTGATTTCAAAGTCTTTACAATTTTGTATTGTCATATCATACAATATCATATGCACAACAAGAAGTCTACATGTGCAAAATGTATTTTTAGTCAGTATGACCTAGACTTTAGGACCTTTCTAAACCTGTATTGAATATTGTACATATCACAATATTTGCATTCTGTTGGGGCCTTGCATGATATGTTTTAAACGTGTATTCCTGGTTCTATTTTTAGTATCAGTGACTTTAAACTTTACAACTGCAAATCACAGTGTATTATTACGTGAAATTCAGAAACTTTGACCTTCTGGATTCTGAGGTGATATGGGCCACAGTGACTGAATGGTAAAGGCATCTAACCATCTTTATCACAAGCTATCCACCTATGGGTCGTGAGTTTGAGGCCTATGTGGGGCAGCTGCCAGGTACTAAATGCAGTCTTTTTTCTTTGAGAACTCCAGTTTTCCTCCACCAAACAATCGTGGCATGTGCTTAAATGACCATGGCTGTTAATTGGACGTAGAGCAACAGTATCTGAGATAATATCACAAATAAATGAACACAATGATATGTTTGAGGAAATTACTGTCTTACATCTCTATGCCTGATGTTCCAGTATCCTTCAGGCTTTCATCCCTGGACCCTTGATGGTTGAATTTAGACAAACTGTATTCCCATACAGGAGCAATCATCATGATACCTCCACCAACCAAGGTGACGGACCCTGCCATGTAGAATGCCAAAGTGCAGGAGCCTGTCACATCCTTTATCCAGCCTGAAAAGTGAAATAACTTTAAAGTAAAAAAAACACAGCAGTCCTAATCTGATTCAACTCAATTCATCCACACATACCCTCTATCAAAAATTTAACAAAAAAATTAGTGAAAGAAGCTGTTCGAAATAGACTGATTAATGAATACTCTGCATTAATGACACTGATGATATTAAATCCAATACAATAACAAATGTTTTTTGAACAATCCAGTTGCATGCTTACAATCTATCTTAAGAAATAAGATGAAATAAAATACATGTATAAACATGTTGGCCTTGTGGTATTATTTCATTTCTGACTGAAACAGAAAATAAACAACTATATCAATACCTCCAATAGGTGGTCCAACAGTATTACCAATTCCGTTTGCAAAGAGGAGATAACCCATGCCATCTCCAAGTGCCTGCGCCCCCAATATGTCTGCTGTAACAACAACCAGCAATCCAAGAATGATACCAAACACCATGCCCATGCTAAGCATGTCCAAACATACTCCAAGGAATGTGTGCGTAAATGGTAATGCAAGCAACAATATGAACACACCTGTGCTGAAGTTGGCTGTTATGTATAAGGCCATCCTGCTGACACAACGCAGATTACCAACACCCCCTCCAAAAACCCCACCAACTATGATAGTAGCATTGAAGCACATTAGACAAATGGTAGACTCCTTTACAGTAAGCCCAAATTCTGTAAAGTATTCAGGACCAAGCACAAAAACCAATGATAAACCCATGTTCCAGAATATATTGTTGATGCAATAAATCAAGAAAACAAAGTTACATAAAACATAACAATTTTTCACTTCCTTGTCTGTTTCTCTTTCACACTGTTCTGTATTGGTCTTCAAATTTTTCTCCAGTGAGTCTGTCCTCAGAAGTTCCGAGTGTGTCATAGAGTTGGTCCTCAAATTTTGCTCAGAGGTAGTCCTCAAATTTTCATCAGAGTTTTTTCTCAAATTATGCTCCAGTGAGTTTATCTTTAAATTGGGCTCAAGAGAGTTTCTTCTCAAATATCCATCTAGAGAGTTTGCCCTAAAATTTTCATTGGAGTTTGACGTAGGCTCTATTTCAACTGAAGTATGATTTATATTACCAGTTTTATTTTGCGTACTTCTATTTTGCCTTGACACTTGTGCTTCATCAGCTGTGCAAGTCAACATGACTACCAACTCATCTCTTTGTACAGCATCTTTAGGTTTTCTAGAAACAGGAACAGGAAGAAGTAATGCAGCAAATACAAAATTGTTCATATTGATGGCAGAAATGATAAACATTGACCCCATCCATCCATATTCAGTAATAAGGAAGTGGCTGATGTAAGGGAAGACAACTCCTCCCAGGCCTGATCCACTGGTTACCAACCCAGTAGCCAGGCTTCTGTGCTTGTCAAAATAAAGACCAGAGAGTGTATGTGATGGCACATATACCAGACAGAATCCAATACCTGAAAATAGTTACAGACATAATAATTTATTATTCAAAACATAAAATGCTTTAAACTATACATAGGTAAATCCTTTACAACATAAATGCTACATGTTGTAAGGAAAAACATATAGACACCCATTACTTATAAAACCGTCCTAGAGCTGAAATAATATGGGCTATTGTATTATGTTGCAGAAAACTGTTAAAGAACATCTCTATTTTTGCACGATTTCTAGATGAACAGATCCATGGTGCATGTTTTTACTAGTAAATGATTATGAGAATAAACATACAATATCAGAAGAAAAAACTTACTACCTAGTCATATACTTAAAATTGTCTATTGTATTCCTAGGCATATGAATTAAATCGTCTATAGTATATCTCTTTTCATATACTTAAAATTGTCTATAGAATAACTAGGTATATACATAAAATTGTCAAGAGTATACCTAAGCATATCTTAAAATTGTCTATTGTTTACCATGGTATATACTTAAAATTGTCTATTGTTTACCACGGTATATACTTAAAATTGTCTATTGTATACCTCGGTATATACTTAAAATTGTCTATTGTATACCTCGGTATATACTTAAAATTGTCTATTGTTTACCATGGTATATACTTAAAATTGTCTATTGTTTACCACGGTATATACTTAAAATTGTCTATTGTATACCACGGTATATACTTATAATTGTCTATTGTTTACCATGGTATATACTTATAATTGTCTATTGTATACCTCGGTATTTGCTTAAAATTATAAATTGTATTAAAGATTGTATTGCATTTTTACCTGTTACAACACCATAAAATACATCAAGATAGATAATGTTTGGTGCAAATGGACAGAGGAGTAGACCGACACTGCTGAGGAAAGATCCAAGGAAAGACACCTTCCTGTAACTCATCTTTCTCATCAGATAACTGGCTAGAGGTCCTGTACAAATTAACACAATATCCTTATAAGAGATTATACAGGATCAGCTGATCATGCAGTATTTCTAGGCATTTATTTCATTAAACAAGGCATTGCACACAATACAAATACCCTCACACCTCAGATTTGTATGACATGATAAGAGTAAATGGAAACCTATACCTGTTCACAAACATCACCTCTTGTAAGAGCTTGTATTTGTACTTTCTGTAGTACAAATGTAGGTTACGGTTACTATAGATAATTAAAATTGTGTACATTTTATCTAATTGCTGCATAAATGACTGTGTGGTCTGTAAAAGAGAAGATGGTGTCCCATTTGATGACATGATGGACCTCATCACAAAGGTATAATAAATTAACTACAAGACCCTTTTATATTTGTCAGAAAACAGGCATTAGAATTACCTCCTCCTAGTAGCAATCCAATGTTTAAAGCACCAATCATGGATGTGGCAGCAACAGAAGACTGGAAGTGCTCAAGCAATGCAATGTTGTACACCCCAAAAGACACTGCAATGCCAAAGACGACAAACTGGACCATAAAGGCAGCCACACACACAACATAACCCCATGACCCATCCACATTACTGGTAACAACAGGAGCCATTATGTCATGCTCATTGTGTGTAACTCAAATCATCATATTTCAATCTGAAAGTAAAAGATATACCACAAAATAGCCTTGTTTCAGGTAAGTACTAATCATCACTTACATCAAAAACAACTAGACATGTGTGTGTATGTGATGGTTCATATCTATGTATTACCGACAGAAGCTCTATACATAGTATGATTTTCTCTAAATGACATTCTCAGTGTATTTTTTTTTCTTCATATTTTCATTCTCTTCAAGGAAATTAGTGAAAAAATAAACCCCAACTGAAAATAACAGCCTTTATGTTAGGTAACAGAGATCAGGTGAACACCATTATTTTCAAAAGAGATCAACCTTTATGGCATCCTTGAAACTCCAAGGGTTGCAATCATTGTCACTCTCTGCACCCTTCTAACATGTCATGGAAAAATTGAAGATCACAGAGATCAGGTGAACACCATTTTGATCAATAGAGATCAACCTTTAGGATAGGTGAGAGAGATCAGGTGAATGCCATTGTGATTAATAGAGATCAAACTTTAGGATAGGTGAGAGAGATCAGGTGAACACCATTCTGATTAAGAGATCAACCTTTAGGATAGGTGAGAGAGATCAGGTGAACACCATTCTGATTAAGAGATCAACCTTTGGGATAGGTGAGAGAGATCAGGTAAACACCATTCTGATTAATAGAGATAAACTTTTAGGATAGGTGAGAGAGATCAGGTGAACACCATGGTAATTAATAGAGATCAACCTTTAGGATATGTGAGAGATCAGGTGAACGCCATTCTGATTAAGAGATCAACCTTTAGGATAGGTGAGAGAGATCAGGTGAACACCATTATGATTAATAGAGATCAACCTTTAGGATAGGTGAGAGAGATCAGGTGAACACCATTATGATTAATAGAGATCAACCTTTAGGATAGGTGAGAGAGATCAGGTGAATGCCATTGTGATTAATAGAGGCCAACCTTTAGGATAGGTGAGAGAGATCAGGTGAATGCCATTGTGATCAATAGAGATCAACCTTTAGGATAGGTGAGAGCGCTCAGGTGAATGCCATTGTGATCAATAGAGATCAACCTTTATCGTAGGTGAGAGAGATCAGGTGAACACCATGGAGAGATCAACCTTTAGGATTGGTAAGAGAGATCAGGTGAACACCATTTTGATCAATAGAGATCAACCTTTAGGATAGGTGAGAGAGATCAGGTGAATGCCATTGTGATTAATAGAGATCAAACTTTAGGATAGGTGAGAGAGATCAGGTGAACACCATTCTGATAAGAGATCTGATTAAGAGATCAACCTTTAGGATAGGTGAGAGAGATCAGGTAAACACCATTCTGATTAATAGAGATAAACTTTTAGGATAGGTGAGAGAGATCAGGTGAACACCATGGTAATTAATAGAGATCAACCTTTAGGATATGTGAGAGATCAACCTTTAGGACAGGTGAGAGAGATCAGGTGAACACCATTATGATTAATAGAGATCAACCTTTAGGATAGGTGAGAGAGATCAGGTGAATGCCATTGTGATTAATAGAGGCCAACCTTTAGGATAGGTGAGAGAGATCAGGTGAATGCCATTGTGATCAATAGAGATCAACCTTTAGGATAGGTGAGAGCGCTCAGGTGAATGCCATTGTGATCAATAGAGATCAACCTTTATCGTAGGTGAGAGAGATCAGGTGAACACCATGGTAATTAATAGAGATCAACCTTTAGGATTGGTAAGAGAGATCAGGTGAACACCATTTTGATCAATAGAGATCAACCTTTAGGATATGTGACAGAGATCAGGTGAACAACCATTATGATAAAGTGAGATCAACTGAAATCTTTGTCCTCGCTTACATTCAGTTCAGGATCTCTTGCATGATTATTAGTTCAAAAAAAAAAAAAAAACAAGAAACAAAGTAAATCCAGGTATGGACTGAAAACATTCTGTGATGCCATCTGAATGTGTTGGTCTGCCAACCCATCTGAGGGATGGATGGATGTGATCATGTTCAAGTACTGTGATTAGTTCTGGTTTTTACAAATGCCAGGAAACTGTTCTTTTGTTTAGTCACTTGTGCATATGTATTTTCTGTTTCAAGTTATAGATATGTACTCAACAACTGACCAGTATGATTGTTATAAGTTCTTCTATCATTCACCATTATTACAATACAACCAGCAACATAATTGCCTAACACAGTGTTTTTAAAACTTGATCATACTCACAAAACCTTAATCTTTTTTTCAAGTTAACCAATTTAATTATCATTTTAGCTTCAATTTCCACTATCTTAGTGTAAGTTTATTTTTACTTTTTGCAAAAATATTTTTCAAGTACATTTTGTGCATGTATATTTCACTGTATTGATATATAGTGATTTAATAGAGTTTACAAATGTTGCATTAATTAAATTATATGAAATCAATTAATTCTTGTAACAACAGTTCAGTTTTTATCACTGTCTCAGTAAGAAATGTTACATAACTTTTCTTAATCACAATGCACTTAATTATGCTTCTGATAATATTGTGCTTTGGGAACATTGTTTTCTATGACCAATTTTTCAGTGAATCAATTCATCAATATGTGAACTGTTAAAACATCATGCACTTATTAATAAGTGGTTTTTTCACAGGGGCTTGCTGCTTTATGAATCAAATCACAAAAAGAAGATGAAACTCTGAGCAGCTCAGAAAGAGATTCTCTAAGTTTGAACCTCAGAGCTTTTATCTGCTTGTTGCCATTTTATTCTGGTGTGTTTTTATGCAAAACTCCTGTATGTAAAAAATACAATGTATTCATCTTAAAACATTAAAGTTCACATTATGATATCCTAGAATTTGCTTGTGCTTTGTTCAGTTAACGTTCGGACATTTTGCATATATTTCAAGAAGATGAAGTGATAGAGGGGTCAATAATGGGAACAATTGTAGGCAGATGCAACAGTTGGTACTTAGCATGGGATACTCTGTTAGTGAAATCAGGGACATATAATACATATAATGTATTATACATCCCTGGTGTAATAGTCCGACAAAATGTACAAATATGAGTTACAAACCCATCTGGGTGTATTTTACCTTTTGTCATTGTGATGTTGAAAGTAACAGCGAACGGAGATAAACGGTAAAACTTATGTTAATTTTAGTAAATATCATGTTTTAGGTGATGGAAGGGAGATAACTCTTATGCATTAATTAATCAACAATTTATTTTCTGTTTTGGAAAAACATCAGCAATAACAGTACATGTGAAGACTGTTTTTCATTCTATTTCTTATCGATTGCATAATATTTGGGCGATCTGGGTAAACACGGAAACGTCTGTTTCAAGGTTCCATGACGTACAGTAGTGATTAGGCCTACAGGAGTGAGTAGACGTACTGTCTTAAGTCTCAGCAATCGGCTGCTGCTGTATCTCATTCAACTAAACTTAGCACACCAATGTCTATTTCAAAGAGTTGGATACTACCTGTTGATGGGGATTCAGAACTACAAATGTTTTCTGAGTCAATACCTTTACTAACCAAGTCTTCTTCGCCTGTCTCATAAAATATCGTCTGCTGCGGCATTCTTCCCTCTTCCTCATGGCTTGTCTTTGGTAATGTCACAGCGACGCTTTAAAACCAGAGTTGGCACACGTGCGCATGACATGCATCCAGTGGTGTTTGTTAAATGCCGAAACCAGAGTGCAGACCAGTTGAAATCTAACTAACTCGCATATCGTATTTTAATCAATATTTGAAGAGGTAATTGAGAAATGAGGTATCTTGAGTAACTTATTGTTTTTGGTAAACATGAGGACCTTGGGCATTAACAGTCATCAGACTACAAAAACTTTCAGCATGGAGAAGAGTTAATTTTGCTACTTTGAATGAATTCTTACTAAGAAGATGTTTTCCATGATGCAGATTGTAGTTTTGGTAAGGGTAATGTAACGTTAAGAAGTGTTACCCGTTTTTTTGACAGTAAAGTTGGAGCTCAATCTAACAGGTGAAACTTGAGAAGTTTGAATTAGGTGTTGCACAGGAAAACCATGATTGTGCAATCATGTTACAAAATGGCCTCCCTGACTGCCTTGTCAAAGTTTCAACAAGGTCAAAAAATAACACTTTGTTGGCTACCATTCCTTAACATTCCACTAATTTTTAGCTCAATGGCATGAGTGGTACGGGAGAAGAAGTTCAAAATATTTTTTTTTCAAGATGGCAGCCATCTTGAATTTCAGACCAACCTGAAAAATATCAACACATGGTCAGGATCATTTCAGACAAGTTGAAGAGGAGAAGTTTAAAATATGCTTTTCAAGATGGTGGCCATCTTGGATTTCCAGCATACTCGAAAAATTAACAACACTTGGTCAGGATCATCTCAGAATCATTTCATAAAAGTTGGTGCTCAATCCCACTGGTGGAACTTGTGGAAATGTTTAAAATGTCAAAAGTTTACACATGACAGACGGCGCATTGCAGATGACGATGGGTGAATCACAATTGCTATAAGTCATCATGACTCTTGGGGTCAGATGACATAAAAATTTAATCATGTTCATTTGCATGGCATTTGTGGGCATTATGAATGACAACTAAATAAGGACAAATTAAATGTAGTACTTAAATGTTATAATCATCTTCATCCAGTTATTCAGAATGCACAGGAATACCAACTAAAACAAATTCAATGATTATATTAATCATGTTTACCTTGTTTGCATACATATACAGCTCATCACAGACAAAAGTCCACCCAAACTTCTTTCAGTCAAGAAACTATAACCTCATTTCCAAACAGTGAACGAGCAACTTACCGTTGATAAAAATAATGGGTAAATATTTTTTCAAAACCTCACTTCTCTTCGTAACATCCGATCACCATACGCAGGAATTACACTGTTTCATTACAAAAAAAATGTTAACTTTGTATGGCTCTTAATTTTTCTCACCATGTTAACCTAATGTCACGCTCGTCAGAGAAAGCTATTGAAGACCATCGGCAAAGGCTAATGATGTTGTTTCATCATGTATTGGATTAACAAGAGCATGTCTTCTTACATGGACTAATTGGTCTAGTTTTATGGTCGCCATTGAAAAGAATTATACAAATTACACATTTCAAATTAATAAGACCTTCACATGTATACAGCTTAGTTAATTATTTAATGCACAGTATTGCTAATGAAACAACGAGCAAGAGACAGCTCCATTTCATGCTAACAATCTGGGTAAAATGACAGAACGCGCTTAGCGTAAGGAAGGGACACTGCACAAGTTATTTTTTACTTCTAGATGGTAAACTCTGCCAGTAATTCATACAGTCCTTTTAAATATTAATTTTGAAAATTACCAAATTTACGTTGTATATCTACCTAGCATATAAACATTTATTCCAACCAATTTCAATTTTCCAATGTCACCTCCTGAAGATTGAACAATTTAGATCCCAAACATCACTGACTTGTCCTAAAATTATGAAACAGCTGTATGACACAGTTTATTCACCAACTAAGCTGTATATGGAAAGGTGTTTTTCACTTCAGCGTCTTTAAAATAATCTTACATATCAAACAGCCAATTTTTCCACTTAGTTTCATTTCATTGCTCCATTTAACATCAGTTGATAATAATGATAGGAGAAATTGATGTGTTTTGCCACATACTCATACATATCTGTCATTGTCATATGAGCACAATTTCTGAGAAGATGAATATATTTTGGTAGAAAATTTTAACTTCAGATATACGCAATTTTAACCAAAAAACTAAGGAAAATTATTCTATATTTATATTAAAAAAAATAACTTATCTGAGAAATATTGTGCATTGGTATTGATATGAAAGCTTTGACTTTGTAAAAGTGCCTCCATTTACGATCATTGCCAAATGGCATTTTACCTGTTAGATAACATCACTAAAAGCGCCAGTAATAAATTGAAATGTTTCTCCATACACAGGCAAAAACTTACAGCTTCAACATATGCTTGATGGATCCTATATTGGCAAACCAATCCTATTGTGCCCCCTTTGAAAAATGAGGGAAATGAGAAAAACACAGATGATAGAACTTCAATGCCCCCATTAATGGTCTGATGGAAATGGCTTCAAGAGGATTTCCCTCTTTAATAGATTATTAAGATCACCGGGTCCAATGGATTGGTGAGCTCATGCCAAGATGCAATGACCATCCATTTACATTTTTTTCTAAACATCGCTACTAGTCATGAACTATAGGAGCAATTTTGCAAATTCTTTGAAATCCTTCTTCTGTAGAAATGCCAGGATTCTGTGCCAATAGGGAAGTTGAGAAAACTGTTTAAAATCCTTCTGATATGGAAGTGCCTTGATTCCATCCTGATTTGACTTGAATCATACCTGGTTGAAAGATACCAAATTTTGTATAAACCAGAAGTCTGACCTCTCAAATGCCCCAGTTGTGGGATGTAATAGGTGCTTCAAAAATCTTTGTTCTTACATTGATAATGTCCTAGTTTGGTCTAAAGCAACCATGGATGAATGGGATTGAATTAATTATGAACAATGGAACTGATTTTTGTTTGACCACAAGGCTGACAGAATAGGTGAATTAGTCATGTGAGTGATGCAGACCCCATGGGTCTCTTGTCTTATTGGCCATCACCCAAATTCCTGTTTTCCCTTCATTGATACTTTTAAGAAGGTTATAAGTTTTCTTATTCTCTGTGTACAGTATAACCTGTAGAAAAAAAATTGAAGTACATGTATCCCATGAGAAATAACCACACATTTTTTTTCCGAATTTCATTTAATTTTGTATTAACAATCAACCATCATGTTTCTTTGCACAAATAAATCATTAACAATGTAATTAGGTAAAGCACTTTGTAGCTAGATAACATTATATTGAGAATTAGTTACAACATAGAAGCTAGTCCCCACATCATGTAGCTAGTCCCAGCACTATGTAGCTAGAAAATACTTGCAACATAGTGAGCAGTCCCTGGCATTATATAGCTACTCCTTGCACTATGTAACCAGTCCCATCACCATGTAGCAAGTCACAGCACTATGTGGCCAGTCCCTGCACCATGTGACCAGTCATAGCACTATGTGGCCAGTCCCTACACCATGTGACCAGTTCCAGCAGTATGTGGCTAGTTCTAGCACTATATGCTAATCCCAACACCATGTAGCAAGTCACAGCGCTATGTGGCCAGTTCCAGCACTACATAAATGATGGTGGTCTGTTCCACCATCATGAGACTGGCTCCAGTACTAGATGACTATTCTCAGCACTATGCACCTAGTCCCAGCACAATATGGCCAGTCGCAGCACTATGTGGCTAGTCCTAGCACTATGTAGCTAGTCCCAGCATCATGTGGCTACAAAATACAACATAGTGGCCACTCTCAGTACTAAGAGGCTAGTCCCAGCACTGTGTGGCTCCTCCTAATGCTATGTAGCTAGAAAATACAACACAGTTGTCAGTTCCAGCACTAGGTAGCTAGACAATACAACACATTTGTCAGTTCCAGCACTAGGTAGCTAGAAAATAAAACACAGTTGTCAGTTCCAGCACTAGGTAGCTAGAAAATACAACACATTTGTCAGTTCCAGCACTAGGTAGCTAGAAAATACAACACAGTTGTCAGTTCCAGCACTAGGTAGCCAGAAAATACAACACAGTTGTCAGTTCCAGCACTAGGTAGCTAGAAAATACAAAACAGTAGCAAGTCCTAACATAATGTGGTTAGTCCCAACACTATATACCTAGAACATACTGAAGATTTTATAGTAACCAACTTTCAACAGAAAATGTTATGTTCTCGACTAATGACATCAAATGGGGAATTGAAATAAATCTATCAGCAGAATATATCTGTATAACTGACATGTGAAGAGACTGTTTCCGTGGTAATATATATAATGTGACTTGCGTGACAATCAGACCTGAGATATGGTCCTGTAAGAAGAGATAAATTGGCCCTGACAATGACACACAGCAAGACAGTAATTTCAAGGACATGAAATATAGGGGTTCATATAGTCATCTTGCAAATGTTTAAATCATTCCTGCTTTACAATGTTGTGGCTACATGTTACAAATTTATCTGTAACAAAAATGTTACAAGTAAATCATAGAAAATTTTCCAGACTAATAAGGTAAAGTGATCAATGACAATTTCTTGCTGTGTCATGGCCAAGATATATATAAAATGATTCTAAAAATTGCATACATGTACTATTCTGTATAATAAACGGTAATAATACATTACAAAAGTATTTACCAGCATGAATTCATCTAAAGTAGCCACATGTGAAAATCAATTTGCATCTAATATATTTTCAGTCTCACATATTCCTGGGTCTGGTACACACAGTACATTACTGTCCAGTATCACAAGGCCTGTGCCACCACACAGTACATCACTGTCCAGTATCACAAGGCCTGGCTCACCGCACATCGCTGTCCAGTGTCAAAAGGCCTGGCTCACCACACAGCACATTACTGTCCAGTGTCAAAAGGCCTGGGTCACCATGCAGCATATCACTGTCACGTGTCACAAGACTTTGACAACATGCCCACATCTGCACATTGTACTGCAGGTTATGCTCAATGTCTTGGTGAACATGCAAACATCTCAATACACACCAGATATTGCTGATTTTCACAATGAACATCTGCTCATTGTGCACAGATAATTCTCACTGTTACAAGAAACATGTCCATGTCTGTACCATGTAGAGCAGATAGTGATGGCTAATGTCTGCCATCTCAATGAATTTATCAACATATACTCAAAACACAGCAGATAACGGTCACTGCACAGGAAACATGCCAACATCTGCTCAGTGTACAGCAGAGAACGGTCACTGCAAAGGAAACATGCCAACATCTGCTCAATGTACAGCAGATAATGGTCACTGCACAAGAAACATGCCAACATCTGCTTAATGTACAGCAGATAATGGTCACAGTACAGGAAACATGTCCACATCTGCTCAATGCACAGCAGATAATGGTCATTTCGAAGGAAACATGCCATATCTTTTCACTATACATCAAATTATGCTCAATGTACAGCAGATAATGGTCACTGCACAGGAAACATGCCAATATCTTTTCACTATACATCAAATTATGCTCAATGCACAGGGAACATGCCAACATCTGTTCACCATACAGAAGATAATGCCCACTGTGTTGGGGAACTTGCCAACATCTGCTCACTGTTTCATGGAACTTGCCCACATTTGCTCCTCAGTTCACTGGCCAATGTCATGATCATTATCCCGACAACTGTCGAATAGAATACAACTACTTCTCAAATGACAGATTCCATTGTAACAAGATGTCATTTTGAGAAGGAATGATTAAATGGAAAATGTTTTGAAATCTATGCACATATAGTGAAACTGTTCAAAATATTACATACCAAATTCTGACATAAAATGTGTCCATTACATTACACTACTACATGTAATTTGATAAAACTTCATCTTTCTCTCTAGGAGAAAGAAATTAATCTGCATGCAATTTTTTTATATCAAGTCAGTAGACAAGTAGTATCACAATGACTGTGATTAAAAAAATTCCTTGTTTTGAACTGCAAGTTGCATAGCAAATTCTTGTAATATGCTTCTATGTTGAAACGTGAATTTCCCGTGACAATATGTGCATCACTTAGTAACAGGTTTTATTGATAAATCTGGTGCTAACAGGTATCCTAAGTATTATTTGAATGATAATGTATTCCATCTAACATCAATTTAACATTTCTTTATAGCAATATAATCAATTAAATCATTGTGCTTATAATAAACATTATTATGTTTTTGTTGCCTTCTGTACAAAAAGACAGTAGTCTATATATACTGTTACAGCTGGGAAATTTCTCTGGTCTTCTATTGCACATAAATACCTAGTTTACAAAGTATGAAATCTATTGAAATTCTGAAGTAAAAACCTTAAAAATGGATATTTATCATGCAACATTGAAAATGTTAATTACCACAAGAATATCAAAGTAAATGTTGATCCAATTCAGATCTAAAATTGTGTGAATAACACAATACAACTTCCGACTAAAGGAAAAACATACATGTCTCATTTATTGTAGATTTATCCATCAATACTTTGAATGTCTCCAAAATAAATAGGTTATCTGTGTACTAGTATATACTGCCATCCCTGTGGTGTAACCTTAAACTAGAGCTGTGTACTAACTAAAACTGTGTCAGCTGTGTAACATAACATACTGCTTTCTCTGTGATGCTAGATCAGTTGTATACTGACCTTTCTGTAGTATAACCTCTAACTAGGTCAGCTGTGTACTGTTATACACTGACCTCTCTGTAGTATAACCTCTAACTAGGTCAGCTGTGTACTGTTATACACTGACCTTTCTGTAGTATAACCTCTAACTAGGTCAGCTGTGTACTGTTATACACTGACCTCTCTGTAGTATAACCTCTAACTAGGTCAGCTGTGTACTGTTGTATACTGACCTCCCTGTGGTATAACCTCTAACTAGGCAAGCTGTGTACTGTTATATACTGACCTCTCTGTAGTATAACCTCTAACTAGGTCAGCTGTGTACTGTTGTATACTGACCTCTCTGTAGTATAACCTCTAACTAGGCAAGCTGTGTACTGTTATATACTGACTTCTCTGTAGTATAACCTCTAACTAGGTCAGCTGTGTCCTGTTGTATACTGACCTCTCTGTAGTATAATCTCTAACTAGGTCAGCTGTGTCCTGTTGTATACTGGCCTCTCTGTAGTATAATCTCTAACTAGGTCAGCTGTGTACTGTTGTATACTGACCTCTCTGTAGTATAACCTCTAACTAGGCAAGCTGTGTACTGTTATATACTGACTTCTCTGTAGTATAACCTCTAACTAGGTCAGCTGTGTCCTGTTGTATACTGACCTCTCTGTAGTATAATCTCTAACTAGGTCAGCTGTGTCCTGTTGTATACTGGCCTCTCTGTAGTATAATCTCTAACTAGGCAAGCTGTGTACTGTTATATACTGACCTCTCTGTAGTATAACCTCAAACTAGGTCAGCTGTGTCCTGTTGTATACTGACCTTTCTATAGTATACCCTCTAACTAGGTCTGTTGTGTACTGTTATATAATGCATTCCCTGAAGTATAACCTCTAACCAGGTCAGCTGTGTACTGTTATATAATGCCCTCCCTGTAGTATAACCTCTAACTAGGTCAGCTGTGTACTGTTATATAATGCCCTCCCTGTAGTATAACCTCTAACTAGGTCAGCTGTGTACTGTTATATAATGCCCTCCCTGTAGTATAACCTCTAACTAGGTCAGCTGTGTACTGTTATATAATGCCCTCCCTGTAGTATAACCTCTAACTAGGTCTGTTGTGTACTGTTATATCTCCCTGTGGTATAACCTCTAACTAGGTCAGCTGTGTACTGTTATATAATGCCCTCCCTGTAGTATAACCTCTAACTAGGTCTGTTTTGTACTGTTATATAATGCCCTCCCTGTAGTATAACCTCTAACTAGGTCTGTTGTGTACTGTTATATCTCCCTGTGGTATAACCTCTAACTAGGTCAGCTGTGTACTGTTATATAATGCCCTCCCTGTAGTATAACCTCTAACTAGGTAACTGTTGTGTACTGTTATAAATGCCCTCCCTGTAGTATAACCTCTAACTAGGTCTGTTTTGTACTGTTATATAATGCCCTCCCTGTAGTATAACCTCTAACTAGGTCTGTTGTGTACTGTTATATAATGCCCTCCCTGTAGTATAACCTCTAACTAGGTCTGTTGTGTACTGTTATATAATGCCCTCCCTGTAGTATAACCTCTAACTAGGTCTGTTGTGTACTGTTATATAATGCCCTCCCTGTAGTATAACCTCTAACTAGGTCTGTTGTGTACTGTTATATCTCCCTGTGGTATAACCTCTAACTAGGTCAGCTGTGTACTGTTATATAATGCCCTCCCTGTAGTATAACCTCTAACTAGGTCAGCTGTGTACTGTTATATAATGCCCTCCCTGTAGTATAACCTCTAACTAGGTCTGTTGTGTACTGTTATATAATGCCCTCCCTGTAGTATAACCTCTAACTAGGTCTGTTGTGTACTGTTATATAATGCCCTCCCTGTAGTATAACCTCTAACTAGGTCTGTTGTGTACTGTTATATAATGCCCTCCCTGTAGTATAACCTCTAACTAGGTCTGTTGTGTACTGTTATATAATGCCCTCCCTGTGATACAACCTAAATTTGGTCAGCTGTGTACTGTTCAGCTGTCCTTGTTGTGTCACCTTAACCAGATCAGGTGTGAACAGGTGTAACGTAACCTTAAACTATGTCAGCTTCGTACAATAACATGCTGCCCTCCATGTAATGTAACCCTAAACTAGATAAATGTGTATTGTCATACAAACCTTCCCTTTAGTTTCCCCTATGAAATTCTACAATAAATTATATGAATGTACAACATAGGTATTTTGTAACAGTTTCACACAATTACTCCTATGGCATCAATCTTCCATATATTGCTGTCTATCAATAGTAAAGAATATCACGCAGTACTTCAAAAAGTGGAGCTTACCCACTATCCTCCACAATGCTAGTGCAAAACCCAAACACAAGTACACGCTGATGCTCACACGCACACCGATACACATATTCATAGCAACACAACACAATAACCCTATCACCACATGTCCAATGGATTTAGGCTTCTGTGAAACATGGAGCCAACAATGGCATAATGACGAAAAGATCGAAAATACTGCAATTACAGTTCATGCACACATAATGACATTTTCTAGGACTCCTCAGTTGTATTATCTCACTCATATCAACTCTGCAAATAAACAAGATGATTCTGTTGCTCTCAATTACATGAAAGCTAATTGTATTTTTCTGTCTCGCTTAACTAACAATACAACAATTGCATTTTTTAGCTCAACAATCAGCATATATTGGAAGCCATCTCCAATTCTCATACTTGCTTTGACATACAGTAAATTGTATTGATGGAAATTTTCTACAGATCTACAATTCTGTAAAAACTGTGTGACTGCTTACACAAAAATCCTTCATCTTAAAGATGTTAAAACTACATTTGATATAAGGCTGTATACCAGAACAATGTGATTCCGGGTGATATCCTACAGTAGCAGTCACACTTAAACTCATCTTGAGAGGTATACAGGTAACTAAAAGAACACCATGAAGATTTTAAAGAGATATGTGTATGAACGGTGGACCTTGTGCAGAGAACTATCAGATAGGATAAACAAGTAATGTGAAAGAACAGTCTGTCCTGACAATGGTAAGAGAGTTCAAAGTCTGTAAATCAACAGTGTCTCCTATCATACGAAATTTATAATTAAGAGCAATGCATGGTGTGTGGAGGAAAAGAATCGCCTAATTCTGCAATTTGTTGTAAAAAAATCTGCATAGGTGATCATGTATTCACTCTCTCACTGACTGATGTCACAAGTTTATCATCACACCAACTTCCAGTCTGTCTGTCCACCCAAACAGCCACAGCTAGAAAAACATACATGTCTACTGGGAGTCATCACGGTTAGGCAGACACAGATGACTGGTTGACTGTGTGTATATGTAGGGTGTACATCAGAACTGTGCACACCCTGCAAGTCCAAGAGTCTGTGTGTCCCAGGGCTAGGCCCAGTATCACGAGGAAGACAATGCATACTGTTGTTCTGTTTCATGAGCGCTATCGTTCATTTGGTCTTGTATACTACAAACATAACTTGCTACATCAACTTCTAACTCCTCGTAACGTTTTATAAACGGGTGCTCCTGCAAATGAATAAAAATATCAGAAATTATCTTTATAACAATAAAGCTTTTATTTTAAGTATAGAAGTAAACATGATTCATACTTATAGGAGAAATACAGCAAAGCTTATTTACATTATCAAGTCTCTTAATATAAAATTATAAAAATTCCACCAGAGAGAACACCTGTTTGTCCAGTTTAATAGAATGAGAATGTAGAATATGAGAATACTGGTGAAGGACATCAATATTTTCAAATAAACAATCTAAATACTCACAATTAATTTGTTGTATTTTGGTCGCTCCTTTTCATCCTTGGTTAAACTACAAAAAATAAGACAATACTATTAGCATAAGGTATACAATATCTTATTTACTATGAAAAGGCAATATTCCACAACACTGGCTGTAGTCAGTCATGTTTTTTAAACAGAAATGAAATTATTCAGACTTTTGTGACCATTCTGTTTGGGTAAGAGACAGGCATGAAGAGAATGGAATGAAAAATTTTGGTCTGCCGGAATATTAGACAACAAGTGGTCTATAGGGCCTGTATTGCTTACCTGTCTTTACTTGGCTGAAATTACTTCATCACAACTAAATGAAAATAAATTCTAAATTTCTAAGTGCACAAAATACAGTATATTTCCTGATTGGGCTCCAACCCTATGTCAGGGGGTCTGATAAAGAAAAATAGATGTATCAATACTGTAAATGTAGTAATATCCACTATACGCTTTTGCGCAAAGCTCTGGACAAAATTTAAATATGAAAAATACCAAAGGGCCGTAATTCCTAAATTAAGCAAAAGAGAGTGATGGTTCTTGTGCACTGTACCTCTCCTTGTTGAGATTTATCTACCTATGAAGTTTCATGTTAATACCTCTTATACTGATTGTGTTATGCTCCTGACAAAATTATGATGGACAGACGGAAAAACAGAAAGATGCAAGGACAGACTGACTAAGCAGCGACTATAAGCTCTCCCTTCAGCGAACATAATAAAATATGATTTTTTTTATAAATATCTGTCTTTTATGTTGATTTTGTATGGAACTGAAATGGAAGTCATTCCGTACATTAGGAAAAGGATAAAATATCTATCAGGAGATATATTTCCTTGTGAAATAGAAGAAAACCATAATTACCATGTGTTGAGGAAGTTTACAAAATCCTCTGAGAACCTGCCCTCTGTGCCTTTGAGTTGGGGAGGAGGACCTTGCACCACCTGTGTTAACTGGTCAAATACACTGTTCCACTTTGGGTACGGAAACTTCCCAGTAGCCAGCTCCATCTAATAATACAGTAATTATATAAATAGAAAAACAATATTTCAGCACTTACTCAGTTTCGTGGGATGATTTAGACAGCTGGCAGTGTTCAGCTTTTTTAAACTTTGCAAGACACTTACAATAAGAAGTGACTACATGCTTAATTAGATTCAAGACATATCATTTATGATCAAATTAATTCAACCAAAAAATAACAAAAAACATCAGCTGCAATGAAGAACATTAATGTTTGACCATGAAGATTATAATAACCAAGGACAAACTACTATCTTTCTGTATATGTAAGCAGTCAACTTACCAGTGTGATTCCTAGACTCCAAACATCTGAGCGAATGTCGTAACCTTTACTGGAGGCACGTGGATCTATTCTCTCTGGCTGTGATATGAAAATTACATAATTAGCTTTATTCTTTCAAAATACACAAATATTGATTTTTTTTAATAAGTTCATAAATGAGAATGATATTAACAAATTTTCATGGGTGAGATCTGTTTCAAATCATTGATCTTCTTTTTTTTTCTTCACAAAATTGTAAAATTAAGTATTAATGTCAACCTTTGTAGAAATAGGTATGGGTATATGAGTAATTTAACACTTCATAATAAAAAGTTCTGCTCAGTAGCAGTTGTTTGGATTTTAGAAAATTTTTAGAAAGAGTGTCCAGTGAACATGGAAACACAATCTCTACTCACTGCCATGTATGGCCGACAGCCAGCGTCTCGACTCTTGGCTATAGAGTCCACCAGCTGTCCACTGATACCAAAATCACAGAGTTTGATGTTGCCTTTACGATCTAACATTATGTTAGAAGGTTTTACATCTGTAAAATCAGGTTAGATAACAACATCAGCATAGTTTCTAAAATGATGAAATCTCTGTGCTTGAATAAACTACAGATACACGTGATATTCAATACATATCAGCTATCTAATGATAGTCATAAAACTATACACATGTTGATTGATTTTAAACAAATGGCCAATAGGTATCACATTACTAACTGTATATTTGGCTATGAAAACAGTTCCAATTGCTTGGGAAATCCAGAACCTTATGAAAGTTAGCCCTGTAATTTCAAGAACTATTATAGACAATTAAATACTTTTGGAGGTATCATACAGTTCCTCAAGGACAAGCCAAATAAATACTTATTTTTTTATCATCACAGAGTATTCCTAAAAATTGATTCCCGCAAAATCTCCCAAGCAAGCAATTTACTGGTGATATAGGCAGACGGTTGACAAAGCACTAAAATACAAGCTGTGGTAATTACCAGACAAGTTCATAATTATAAAAAGACACTGTTTCATCACGATATTTTACACAAAGTTTATTGTCAACTCATTTCAAAATGTTTTTGTATTATTTTATAAAGGTTTAGAAAAGGAAAGACAAATAGGTTTTCAATTTCTTCTGCAAAAAATGTTTGAAATGCAATGTCGGATATATCACACATTAAATATGCAAACTTACCTCTATGTATAATCTTCAAATTTTCTTTTAAATAATTCAATGCTTTCACAGTCTGAAAATAAAACACAATTGTAAAGTATAAAGAAGATGCTGTGAGGCCTAGAGAGTACACTGTTCTACTATTAGGTATACTGTTGTCACAAAGGCACAGAAGTAAGAAAAGATGAATAAGAATTATTATGAACTGTTGTAATCACAGTAATGAAAGTTTCTAATGAATTTACTTTGTAATAGATCTTAAATACTTTACACTTATAACCAGTTATTCACATTTAGTGAGGAATATTGGATAATTAATCTGTAGTCAAAACCATAGAGTTTTTCCGGACTAGTAGCATTATGTTAACTGAACAATGGGCAAAAGATGCTGCATGATTGCATGAAATTGATACATTATTAGATAATTCTACCCTAAACTCATCTAAAACCATAATGAAAAGACAGGAAACAACTTGTTACTATTTCATGTTTATGTCAGCATACATATTTATACAACATTGAAGATACAGCTATTCTGATCAATGAATTTCAGCACATATACTTACTGCTACTGTAATTTTTCCTAAGATGTCCTCTGGTATTGAACTGAATACGACACAGTAAATGTATTTATAAAATTTGTCTAAGGAAATATCCATCACTTCCATACATATCCAACAATCACCCTGCAAAAACAACAAAATAAAACAATTTATATTATCCTGTAAAACCTCAAAACAATATAATTTAAATTATCCTGTAAAATACCAAAATAATACAATTTATATTATCCTGTAAAACATCAAAATAATATAATTTATATTATCTTCTAAAACCTCAAAATAATATAATTTATATTATCTTCTAAAACCTCAAAATAATATAATTTATATTATCTTCTAAAACCTCAAAATAATACAAAATAATACAATTTATATTATCTTCTAAAACACCAAAATAATACAATTTATGTTATCTTCTAAAACACCAAAATAATACAATTTATATTATCTTCTAAAACCTCAAAATAATATAATTTATATTATCCTGTAAAATACCAAAATAATACAATTTATATTATCCTGTAAAACATCAAAATAATATAATTTATATTATCTTCTAAAACCTCAAAATAATATAATTTATATTATCTTCTAAAACCTCAAAATAATACAATTTATATTATCTTCTAAAACACCAAAATAATACAATTTATATTATCTTCTAAAACACCAAAATAATACAATTTATATTATCTTCTAAAACCTCAAAATAATACAATTTATATTATCTTCTAAAACCTCAAAATAATATAATTTATATTATCCTGTAAAATACCAAAATAAAACAATTTATATCAATCTGTTAATATCACAATACAATTACGCCTCTGGAATGATTAAGTAAAACCAACAAGTAGATGGAATACTACATTGGGTCATGATACAAAAGTAGAGCACAATTTGATGTCTATATCATCACACTTTATGCACATCAATTGTTGCCAACCTCTCATAGCAAAATATCTGGTCATGACCTTCTACAACAAGGGTGAAGGGTCAAAACATCCTTTTTTCACATTATTTTCCAGACATTTTTTCACTCAAACATGAAGATATAAAGCTGTACACAAATAATAGAACCACTTTTTATAATAATATAATTTACAGTACTTCATTTATTACATCTTGAATATACCATGTCTAGAGAAATAAACATATGAGACAGTTTATTATATGAAAGAATCATCATAAAAAAAATAAAAAAAGAAGCACTTTGTTCTGCCACACCTGGTTCTAATCTCATTCTCAAATATTTTTTCAATAAAAATGCTCTGAAACTGAAGATAAAAAATACTGGATATTTCTTGTGGGAAACGTTCAAAACATTTTGTACATATTTTCCCAATTCAGCAATGATCTGTTACTTACATGGCATTATCTCACAAGACAAACTATCAACATGTGTTGCCATAATCTTATAAACTACATATTTTGATAAATCTTAGTCTGTAATGAAGATTTCCATACACTACATAAGTCACTTCATTTTAGCTACTCCAAAATATCTTTACATGAACTTGAACTATCTTATTTCTTCAAATTGCTAACTTCAGAAGGCTCACAATGTGATCATTCACAACTGGAAATGTCGACATCTACAATATGCATCAAACTAACAATTAACTCACCAAATATAAATATCTTTTAACTCAGTTTATGCTGTTGTATGTAGCCTGATCATACACTAGACATACTGTTCACAGCATGGTATATAGACTTGCTCTATGTACTTTCCTTTGTAACAATAATATACTTGTCTTGCTCAATCACACAACTGATCACTACCTTTTTACATGCACAGACAACAAGAGTTTAGTTGATGTCCAAGTGTCTTTCTGTAATGTTTTTAAGTGTAAATCTTTAAGTGTTCAAAAGCAAGTTCTCTTTAAAGAAAAACATAGGTTACTATAAAACCTGACCAGGATAAATGAGTTGGTTAACCTGGCTAGTGTAAATAACAGGTTGGCCCATGATATCAGGTGCATTGGTAATGCTGCATATGTTGTGTGTGTGCTTTCATCAATTAAATACAATATTATAAAGACAAGCAGACTAATCTAACTGTCCTTACATCTTTAGCTAGAATTAAGAAATTATGACCATATCATAAACTAAATTTTGTACTTGCAAATACAGGGGACCCTGATTAATATCATGTTCCATTTGTCAGGGGGAATGTGATATTAAGCAGAACATGACATTAACTACTGATATGTTTTCTTCTAAATCTGAAAATTAGTTTTATTATATGTTTGCAGACACTTTACTTGTAATTTGATTTTGTTTTTCCCATAAAAACAGTGATTGTTCTTGACCTTTCCTTGTTTATTCTTCGAAACATCTAATCTCCTATCATAAATTATTGTGACCCATCATATGGCACAATTTACCCGTGGTCAAATTTGTGACACTACAGTGTCATCAGCTCATGTTTTGTTCATCCATTATTGTATAGACTTTATAAAAGACCATCCTTGCAAAGTTGATATATATACAGCGTGCATCTCTGCGACTTTGATAAACTGTGGAGTTCTGAGGATCGCTACTTGAGCATTGCCGACAAATATAGCCAAACTGTTTACATTTGAAATGCTATGTTTTCATTGTTACATTAGTGGTTATTTTAAACTGCCAATCAGATGTCATGAAACATGGCATAGGGAAAACCCAATTTCAGAACATTTTACAGTCACTTTACCGGTGTCAGTGATTAGGCCTAATCTAGACCGTATTTTGTGAAACTTCAAGTTCAAATCAATTAACTAAGCATCTCAAACTTTGTATCAGAAATGTGTTTTTCTCATAAATTCAAAGATGGCGACATTCCTAATAACAACATTGACATGCCATGATTTGGTGTCCCATGGGTCATTGTACAAAGAAACAAAACAAACAAAAGTTATCATGAATTACTCTTCATGGTTGATTATTTTCTGAAATGTCTTCAGTAAAAAGACCTTTTTTTGTTTGGAAATTGAGCCTGGTTTGTTCATTTTAAAGAAGTTTCTACAGCATGTCAGACATGTCGGATAACTTAGTAGCATGGTGCCCACTACAACATTTATTGTTATACTGTGACAAGTGACAAAATGAAAATAAGTGATATTATCAGATGTTAGGTTACACAGAATATATAGGAAAAAAAATTTTTTTCATGAAAATGTGATATTAACAGGAAAGTGACATTAACAAATGTGACATTAAGTGGGTTCCACTGTACATTAATGTATAACAAACCTCTTTAAACAGGGCTCCATAAAACTGTACAATAAAGGGACAGTCGTTACTCCGCATAACAACCTCCAGATCCATCAGCAGTTGTTTCTGTTCCCGTTCATCTACAGTGGAGCGTATCCGCTAGCAAAAAAAAACACATTCATCAGTTCAATGTAAATCTTTTTCAAATATTTGATAAATCATAGAAGCATATATTCTACCAAACATCAGCTGTATACAGTGCCAGCAGGTTTGGAACATGCTATGGTAACACTGTCATTGTTACCTCATGATTCCAACAAATATGTTTACCTATACTGGTACAGGTATTTTGGCACCACGGCAGAATTTCACTCATTTTCCCCAAGGCGCTACCCCACAAATTGATAACAATAGTGTGCTGTTGTTTACTCCATATTACAAGATTAATTAATGACTGGACACAGATTTAAGTTCAATTGTGTACTTACAAGCCATGATATTTAATCAACAGCAATAATAAAATGTTAACTTATGTTCATTATCGCCTTTGCAGTAACAGTATATAGTGAATGGTATAATTCATGAAATTTTTATTCTTCTAAAACACTTGTAATATTACTCTTATCACTCTTTTTACAATGACTATAACATGTGACGACCACTTCACTGCTGTGCTGTGTTTCATTTAAAACTGATTTGTCAAAAAATTTTTACATGGAAGTACATGTACAAGTATGCATGCTCTATTTCTGGTTAATTTCTGTTTAAGAATCATTTTTTCTTTCATGAATGAGAACATTTTGTATTTATTAACAGAAATTTTTCTTCGCACTTTTTAGTACTTGCTGTGTTTATTGAGGTAAAAATATGTAATAGTAATGAACTTAAATATAACTTATGATTCAAAGTATGGGTTTTTTGCCTGTCCTTTGAACTGTGAAACATCAAAGTTTGACTGTATTCTTGTCCTTAATTATAATATCCTTTATGTCACATGGTACATGATATCTCATACGAAAAAGAATCAGTATTATTCTACCAATAAACATATATGAAATTTTAAAAGCTGTAAACACATTTTAAAAATGGCTGAACAATCACACTTCCACACACACACTGATACTCACCTTGACAGCCATCACAGTACTGCTAACTTCGTGGACCATTTTTGTGACGTAACCATAATTTCCTCTTCCTATTTCAACTAATTCTTTTAAATCATCGGCGGTAAAATCATATGTCTGCGAAAAAGGACATCATTATTGGAAAACCTGACATGCCACCAAAATAAAATATACAAACTTTTGCCAGAAAAAAAAATAAAATGAGAAAAGCTACACTCAACATAAAAAGAGTTATTTTTTTCTGTCCCAATGTACACAATACACTTTTTCAAACATATTATAAAATTCCCTCACAAAAATATAGTTTGATACTCCTTATGAACAATTCACGCTGAAATTCAAACAAATGTGACAACTTTCTTGGCATTTACTACAACCATTGTAATGAGTAAAAACTCCATCTTGTTATACTTGATGAAAATCTTACAATTACTTGTACCATCTTATGTAAACATTAAAGTAAAATTTGCAGGATTTTTCAGTACCCCAATTTTTATTTCAATGGCACCAGGAAATCTTGAGAAGTTTCAAATGTGTTTTTCAAAATGGCAGCCATATAATACCAAGCACTGACTGAAAAAGAATAACACTTTTTCAGGACTCTCTCAGAATCAGTTCCGGCAATTTTCAACTCAATCCCACAGGTGGAACTTAAAAAGTTGAAAATGGAAAAAGTTTATGCATGAAAGGCAGCAGAAAGAGGACAGCACATGACGACAGATCAGGTGACCTAAATAAAAAATCACATTGACCAATATGTTGGAAGTTCCTACTGACCTTATCTCCTATTTGTAATTTTCCTGTTGTCTGTAGCATGTGTGATCTTACATTCATCCTTTCCCTGAAATAAAGACAATACTTTTCTGTACAGTTCTGCTAAGTTACAAATGTAATTTTACATGAAAAAATAATCATCATATTTATCAAGTAACAATGCCATGCCTGGTAATATACCCATTCAACAGCTTTTACTGTTCGGTAAATATTCCATTTCATTGCCCAGCAATAGACCTACCCCCTTAGTAAAGGATAAATAAAGTAGTTTTGCATAATATTTGTCAGGTAAGTAAATGTTAATTATATATAGTGTTGTATGTGTACCTAACTTTGATACCTAGGTTCTTTTTTAAATTGAACCAAATAAATCAGAACTCTATTCCGTTTTAAGTAAAAGCATCTATATTATCATATACAATGTATAGACTAGCGAAAAAACCCTTAAGAGATGAAAAACATTTTTTCACTGGATTTACAAATGTATATAATGTTTATGCCATGTACCTTATCCCCAACGTTTAGTAGCTGGGCAAGTGCCTAATACAACAAAAATATATGTGGCAGGTGTATTCAGAAAATGGCAGTGCCAGTTGCAGGATAAATATATATCTATGTCTGGTACCCTAATAGGTAGTAGAGAGTTGCTTCCTCTCCGTGTTTACATACCTCTGTGTTTGGTAACCTAACAGATCCAACTGGGATATTGGATTCTGTACCTGTGGCTGTTGTGGTCTGTTGTTTTCTGGTGTAAAACTGATCAGCAGCTTTTTTCGTAGCTCTGAAATAACAACAAGTATTTTGAATTCATCACTTATAAAACAGTTAAAACAGCACAGTTTTACTATTGATGGTTATAAATTTGAAGTGTGTAATAATTGCTCATCAACACAGATAAATTTACAGATGTAGATTGAATGAAAAAGCAAGGTGTGTCGAGTATAGTTGTAAAGCTTTACATTCAGATCTCCCAGAGTTATTTCTTTTCATTCAGCTGATGGGGGCTGACAAAGCTATTTATAGCACTTCGGTAAGTTTTAACTATGCATTTTACAATAGTACATATGCAATGTGTGTTATACCATTATCAAAACCCTGTGCGAACATTTTCCATATCATCATATTAATTCCTTGTATTGGAATTTCAGATTCTAATAAGACTTAAGATTAACGTAGCTGTTACTACAACAGTATATCTAACATGGCCTTCTAAATGTAATGACCTGTATAGAAAACTTCACAATCTTTAATAAATAACAAATTCCTAATGGATTCAGTCATAGTCATAATACCTAACATTATACACTAGAACTCCATCAAGGAAGGTAAAGACAAATTAAAAGAAATAGAAAATGGAGCATCAACATCTGGATTCCATGGTTTGATTATTAGTTTACATGTTTCGGCTAGCTCGACTTGTCATCATCAAAGCAATGGTATTAATATTTACATAGCTAAGATTAAAATCACATCTTAGTCGTGACATAATTATAATATTAGGTATGAACATAGTCACACAAGGATAGTCCGAAATACATAGAGGAAATCCCATAGCAGTTTTTATTGGCTCTGCTGCAAAACACTTTCACAAAGAAACTGATCATATCACTGAAACTTAAACCTGACATGTTACATACATGGGAGAGAAAATGCAACAGATGAGGATTCATGATCTTATACCAAATTCAGATAATCGTAAAAACAATGAGCTACTTGGTAACTGGAATCATCTACTCATGTCCAGTTATATGTTTCTCTTCTGTTACCTCCCTCTTTTTCTCATCCAAGTCTTTGCTCCCCCAAAAAATGTTGTATGTCTGCTGCCAAGATTGATTGATATTCTGTACTTAATGTTGGTTAAAACATCACTGGGAAACAGGATTGAACCAGACTAGATTAAGACAGAATAAATGCTCTGACTAAGTACATGATGATATATACCAGGTCAATGATATATTCAGGTCCTAGATCTGGCCTAGCCCAATGACAATATCTTTTCAATTTTAAGTACATGATGATATGTACCAGTCAATGATATATTCAGGTCCTAGATTTGGCCTAGCCCAATGACAATATCTTTTTGATTTTAAGTACATGATGATATGTACTAAGTCAACAGTATATCCAAGCCCTAGATCTAACTTAGCCCTATAGCAATATCTTTTTTAATTTTGGTAAAAATGATTCAAAATATATAAATATTCATGTATAACAATCAAATGCAAGTACACAATTATCACTTATTTGTAAAAACCTGCTCCTTTAGATCTCTACAAACTCTGGGAAGATTCTTTAAAATGATTAGCGGAGTCAAACATAGTACTACACATATGTAACTTTTTAAAAAAATTATGATCCATTGATTAAGACAGAGATTTATTTACAATCACAGACAAGTTATAAACATCTGCATATGTTACATGAACAACACTGAAATTGAAAATTTGATAAGACAATAAGAATAAATTCTGTGTATTTTGATCAGTTTACAAGCTTCTATTCTGTGACAAGGTGATGATTTTTGTATGTTGGTATAGTCAATCAGGGTTCATGTAAGCACTAATATGTTTAAAACATGTATGTTTATTTGTTCTTTTTAATGAAGAAAAAGATTCTTATAAGTGACCTCTACTATCATTGCACTGATACCTTATACCTTGCTTCTATTATCTCTGTTACTTACTAAAGCTTTTATTTGTGATCTCATATCTGTGCATTAGTATTGGATATTAAGTCTGCAGTGAAAGACATAAAACTATGTTATTTATCAGTATTGTGTATGACTATGTGACATCGTGTCCAACATGGTTTTATAGATGTGACACTCCGCCTATAGAGTGACTGGGTACAAATAAAATATTTTACTATTAAATTCAAAGTAACTTGAACTCAGTTCTAGAACCAACATATAATATCCACTTTACTGAAACTGATAACGACTGTGACATTTCTATAAAAAGAATATTGCATCGTGTTCTTTACTTCTGAATGTTTACAGAGATGTTTCGTATTCCTACTTTTTATTATTCGAACTTCCTTGTAGAATATCAAGACCAGTACAAGCCTAATTACGATTTGTCACCGACTTCATTCATAAAATGTGTGTGTATAAAGTAGTAACATTAGTTGAGTAACATTGCTGTGAAGTCATACATCTCAATGAGTCACAGATCTTAAAATAGCGATCCCAATTCAACGGATTCCCAGTTGTTTTTCTATGTACCTTGATTACCACTTGGCTTTTCAGGAGCCGCCATCTTGAAAAGTGGCCGAAATCGTTTGGCCCTTCCCTCTCCTCTCTCACGGTTGTTTACGGGTGGTCCTTCTAGTATCAGATCCCTCAGATTGAGTCCACTGAACAGCAATCAACGCGGGCTTATAGGAAATCGTATTCGGTACTGATGTTCATTGCTTCTGGATGACTCATCTATATGAGAAACCTACTCGGAAAATCCCTGTGACGTCATTATTTTTGGACGAGTTCATCGACGTGATTTCCGGAAACAGCCGAATGCCACGCACCTGCTTGTATTTTTAACCTGTTTTACCCTAACGCAATCAACGTTGTCATTACTTAACCACAGATGCGTGCTTCGTTCAAGTTACGTGTTCATTCGGTTGATTCCGTCGAACGCCCACCACCACAGCTATACAAAGTAATTTAAGTGTGTTATTTTTTTGCCAACTAAGTAATGTGTAATGTAACAGAATAACAAAAGGGCAGATATTGTTGGTAAAACATCCATATGTTCATGCCTTCATTTTTTTCACACGAGTACGGGTAGTCCAGTTCATGCTTTTCAAAACAAATGAAATTCAATAATGGTTTAAGCAGGGACGTATAATACGTCCCTGGTTTAAGTCATGCATTTATACACAGATTCACAAACATCATATATCAGAGACACACGCTGATTATTACGCAGATACAACAATACGGTTTTTGATAATTTGTTTTACAGAAAGTTGACATATCATTATTGAAGCTTTCACCTTGTTTTAATTCCCAATACAAATTGTTTAACAATTAGTGTAAAAATATTTTGAAATAAAATACTGTTTATACTAAATATAATATAATGTACATTGATTACGATGAAGACAGTCGAGTGTCGCACATTTTATATCTTACAACACTTGTTGTGGTTGGGGAAAAATCAAGGCTGATTTTCTGAAGACAGTCTTGAACTTAATTGACCCTACAATTTTAAAACTCGAACTTGTTCGAAATTGTCCTTTATAAGTGTGTGAATTTGATCAAAATCCTTCCAAGAACGGAGCCGCTTCTAAACAGAGTAACGATGACCTTGGCCTTCAACCTAGAACCCTGAAAATCGAAATACAGGTATAATAACCCTTGACCACAATTACCCAGAAGAACTCAAATGATATATCATTGTAAATCATAAATGTATGAAATTTAATATTTAAAAAAAAAGTCGAGGAATGATGATGCGTGAGTATACTTACATGGATAAGTGTTATGTTACAACGTATGTTCGGGCAACGTCCCGATGTCTCCAACATTTGTCGGGAAGGGATAATGTTGGAAATATTGATATAGGTATATTAATGTTAATCATTGTATATGTCTACTCTTACGAAGATAAAAAGAAAAAGTAACAAATACGAATGATAAACAAACACACAAGTACAAAATTAAAAATAGAGTTGGACATTTAGATACAGATACAGATAGCGCAGCTGCATTGCTGGCCATCACACCGGATACTCGATAGCCTCCAGAAAGTTCTGTTGTTTTCAGCGCATCTCATCGTTATACAGATTATTCAATCCCCGAGGGCCTTTTTTCAAAGCGAAAAGATATTGAAACAAAAATAGTTCATTCCTATTTCTCCGCAATAGTAATGACCTAATAAACGCTATCTTATTTAAAGTCTTGCATTTGTTTAGTAAAAATCTTTAGTCTTATTACGAAAAAATTTAAATAGTGATTTTGCCCCCTTTTTATGTGAGACTTATTCCAGTTCTTTCTCACAATGGGGTAACTTGGGCTTTACATGATTTTCAGTTTTTTGTTGTTGACAAGGACATCAGTTTGAACAAGGAAAATATCAAATTATCCCCACCCCTATCCTAACCCTTCCCATGCCTTCACAACGTCTCCCTTCTTTTTAGCCATTATTGTACTATAATAACATAAAAGTGGGAAATACGACAGAGGAATATATTTCATCAAATAATGTTTTTTGTCTTTTGAAGGATTCAAGGCAAAATATCATTCAACTCTCGTGGTATTAATGCATTTTAAGCGTATTACAATCTTATTAGGGATAATATTGGAAATATTGATATAGGTATATAAATGTTAATCATTGTACATGTCTACTCTTACGAAGTATTGTTTTTCGGATATCTTAATATGAATCGGTAAAATGAAGGTTAACCAATAACTAGTCAGATGAAATGTCAGGAACAACGACAGAAAAAAAACCACAAGAAACACAGGAGAATGTTATGGTGTATGCGGAAGTGTTACAAGTCAGATAAAATTATAAAACTCTCAATGATTACAACCCAATCAAATGGTTTTTTTTAGAAATTCAATGAAATATAGCCCGGAAAATACATATCTCCTTGTTTATAATGGAAATGAATTTGATATCAAGTTCTTCAAATTCAATTTCTTTTATTACATTGAACTTTACCGCTCACCTGTATACACGCAAATGATAAAACCGGGCACGCGCGAACACAATAAAACTATATATAGATGATAAGCAAGCGTTGAAGGGGTCTGTGAGAGGAAACATTGTAGTCGCAACTATTGCGGACAATACCGCCATTATTCGGTTTAAAGTTTTGGACTTTTTTGATAAATGTATTCTCTGCATTAGTTACTCATATATATCTTAATTATGTATTAACAAAATCTTGACACAAGTTCGATTGTATTGGATTGAAATGTACAAACAAATAACAACCGAAAACCAATCCATTGTTAGCGAGTGACTGTCGATGCAGATGCTGCCTTAAGGGAGATAACTCCTCTACAACTACGTTGGAAACTGTTCTTCTTATTAAAAATGTGTGTGTACTGTTCGATATTAGTAGTTTTTGCGTCCTCATAATGTGTCGCAATAGATATACAAATGTACTTACAGGTATGCAATATCGACGGTATGGTACAGTTTTGGTACTGAATCCTAACAAGCAAATGTTCGTTGGATGCGCATAACTAGAATTGATATTATCATTGAAGTAATAACGACAGTACGGACGAGTAAATAGTCAAATTTGGAGGCAATCTGCCCTATTATTAAGAAAAAAATATATCACACAAGATACTTCATATACATAGATCATGAAACAAAGACAAAGTTATAGACTATAGAGGACGGTAGTTTAAATCTTCTATTTGATGATCACAATCTTTAATACAACAGCTTCAGATGGTGTTTTTGCTCCTCATAAGGGGTCCTAGTGTATCTGGTTTCATGGATATGACTTGAAAGATAATTCGATCTTATATAAAGGACTTTATTTGTGTGTAATTCACTGTATGTATAACTTCCAAAATATGTCACACAAAGAAGATTTGGTGTTCATTGAAAAATTGAAAATATGACTGGTATGACTGCATTCTAAATCCGAAACGGAATACTGTCATGACCCAATCATGAAGAAATTGGGGATGTTTCATCCATTCCGCTTGTCTCCGTAATGGAAATTCGCCGCCATCTCTCTATGTGCAAACCAAATTACGCACGATGCATGCCAAATACTGTAACCATCATCTGTAGCAGGTACTTGTAAAAAATCAATAATACGAAAAAAAAATCACTTCAAACAACCACTGGTAAGTAGGTAGCACATGGGATATCGTCCAACTTACCAAGACTACAGCTAGATATAGTCAGAAGTTACATAGGTTAATTAATCGATTTTTATTTTGTTTGTACAATTTCAGGTGTACTCATATTTTTCATTTGCAACTGAACCCGCGGTATGTAACCATTCAAAGCTATTATCACACATCATAGGCATACACACACATAAATATGTATACATACATACATATACATACATACATGTCACATTTAAATATCCAAATATCCACTCATAGTTTATTATTAGCGGGCTTCAGGTTTGTGTGCTTAGTTCATAGTTAAGTTCATCCTTTCATCCGTTGGATTTTATTATCATTCACTTATCGGCGTTTGTTTTCGTGATCAACGAATCACACTACCATTTCAGATCGTGACATTATCCTGTCGCTTGTATTGTCTACCTGTATCAGGTGAAAATTTCACAGGTATATCAGGGCGGTTCCGTGTGACGTCATCCTTTTATACATATTCCGGAAGAAAAATGCTAGAGGTCAAAGGTTAATACGTAGGATTTGTAACACCGCGAAGAGTGACGATAACGACGATCGCTGAAGTTGTGATTTAAATACACACGTACTGTCGATCAGAAAGGACAAACATAGTTTTCGAGTTACGTTGTTAAAGTGATCAAAAAACAAGATGGCTAGGAGAACGTTTATGATTGTGATCACATGTGTTTCCATTTTACTCACAATGACAATGGCTGAGTCTAATGATACGTCGAGCTCGGCTCAACAGGACAATACAGTTTCAGATTCAGGGGCTGATGAAAAATCATCTTTAGAAAAAGGCGTATCAACATTGTACGATGATATAATGCATGGATTTATTGACGCAACAATGCCTGGTCAGTTCTTCTCTGATGCTGACCCGGGACCGATTAGTGAGTATTTTACCTGAACAGTTGAACTTCTGACCCCCAGGGCTAGTCAGTTTGTATACACTAGTTGTACATTTACGACTAATTGACTTATTAATTGTCATTGTCTGGTGTGTCCAAACAGACTTAAACACCTCAATTAGAAATAGGAAATGGTCTTTATCAACAGGTAGATAATGCGATCCATGTACAAACTAGAATACCATATACATAAGTTATATAGGAAGTAGATCGGTCTAGACATACCTGGACTGAGATAAGTATATTGACTCTCTGTGTAGTAGAAATCAAATTAGCGTATATCAATGTAAGCAATTTTCTCCATAAAAGGTGGGACAAAGTACTCTGTACAGGATGTAATTAAGTTGACCAGGTTACCAGTTTCTGGTGACCACACCTTTACCTATGTATCAGTATTTTACCTTTATTTAATGCGTAATTATGTTTCCTTGTGCATGTAATATTCACTGTTTCTATGAACTACAACATAAAGTTTCCTTTTATTTGTTATTATCATTGAACCTTTATGTAGTAAAATGGAGAATCTCAAAAATAAATAAATAACTTAATAAAATTAATATGCCGAATCACACGGTACAGCCCCACTTGCCTCTCATTATGAATCTTCATCAACGTTTATATTAATTAATCACAGAGACACTGATCTTTTAAAAAAAGTTGTTAAGTTTTACAAAGAATTTTATTTAACCTTCACAACATCAGTGGTGTCTTCATAGTGTCATTACTGTGAATTGTCCAAATCATGGTAACACGACCCCATCAATTGCTATGTTAATCTTAATTTTAAGTACTACACTAAGTAACACTGCTAGAAATAAAGTGAAGGGTGAAGAGAAAGATGCAGTTTCAAAGTGTAACAAGGTCAGACTAGAGTGCCATAGGTTAAAAAAATTGCCACTAGGTTTTATTTAAAATGTAAAAGTGTTAAAAACAGGCTTATACAATAAATTCTTGTAATTGTTGCAGCAAATAATCAGAGATATAATATGTTGAGTTGAACATTTCATAGATTGTCATAAATGTCATCGCTGTCAACATAATTCATGTACTCAGTGTTGGTAAAATATGTTGATAGAATTAATGTATGCCTGTTAAACTGTATGTGTACATAATGTACCTACACAGTACAAGATGTAATGTAAGATAAATTTTTGTATATATCTGGGAGTTGTATGGTGATAGAGTAGGTTTACAGTCACTAAGTAGTTCATTATGTATGTGTTTTATGTCGATATATATATATTTTTTATAATGGATTATTAGAATCCTCAAAAAGGCGAGGTTATTATCATTAAGTGGTCATAATTGATAGACAAAGAGAGAATGTTTACCTATATGAGAGTTCAGCTCAAGCTATGCCAGAGTTCCCCAGGGTTATAACATATGGCAAGTTGGCCAGACATTGTGATAAGAAAATGCAAGTATGATACAAATCAATACCGTAAAGCCAGGGGCTGTTTTGAACACTATTATCTGGTAGTTTTGAGAGTTAACTTGAATGTCTACATTGATTTATGCTGCATCATATTGAACTAAGAAACATTGGGATTGATGCTTCACCCAAATCATTGATGTTTTGCATAATATTGTTACATGTAGCACGAAGATATTTAACATCAATACCAGGATGCAGCAAACTCAGGATTAGGGATATGATACAGCTAAATTAGGATCACTGATAGGATGATACAGCTAAATTAGGATCACTGATAGGATGATACAGCTAAATTAGGATCACTGATAGGATGATACAGCTAAATTAGGATCACTGATAGGATGATACAGCTAAATTAGGATCACTGATAGGATGATACAGCTAAATTAGGATCACTGATAGGATGATACAGCTAAATTAGGATCACTGATAGGATGATACAGCTAAATTAAACTGATAGGATACAGCTAAATTAGGATCACTGATAGGATGATACAGCTAAATTAGGATCACTGATAGGATGATACAGCTAAATTAGGATCACTGATAGGATGATACAGCTAAATTAGGATCACTGATAGGATGATACAGCTAAATTAGGATCACTGATAGGATGATACAGCTAAATTAGGATCACTGATAGGATGATACAGCTAAATTAGGATCACTGATAGGATGATACAGCTAAATTAGGATCACTGATACGATGATACAGCTAAATTAGGGTCACTGTCTTCTGTATAGAAACAAAGCACCTTTGATTTTTCAGTCTTCCAATTTAAATCATTTGTTTCTTAAGCCTATCAGTGCCCAATACCCCGATCAGACAAAAATTCTATATGTCTGACAATATTGTTTTGTTTTATTCTTTTTTATTTTTTTTTAATACTTAAGTTTCCTCTTGATTTAAGACTTACTGAAATGAATGTTTTATGATGTCGTGTTGAAATTCAAGGTGTTGGGGAAAAAAAAAAATCTACAAAACTAACAACTTGTATCCCTGGTAGTCCTTGAAACAGCATGGTTACTGAATTACAGACTTTGAACTTCCGAACAAGTCATTGGTTATCACCTGATCTACAAAATATCTTTTACAGACATTCACAAGAAACTAGATTACTCAATAAATTCATTCAGGATTCATGTTTACATTAATAATATGAGACACTTGTCACCACAACCTTCTTAGAAATAAAATCTTTACTACCAGTAATAATGGTAAAATGATGTAAAGTCAATACCTTTACATTTAAAGTGTTTGTAAGCAATACTGAGAGTTTTATTAATTTTTTTTCTCACAAATAAAATTTTATTCAAAATTCCATCCCTTTTAACAACTCTTAACTTTTATCATCTTTTATTTATACTCTCCTAATTTTCCATTCACATTTTAATCATTATCAAGTTTACAGGAAATATTGTATTTATTCAATCTTGTCATATGTACACTTGTATACGTACTGATCTTCACATGCATCCGTATATACCAACATGCACACGTACATTATAATACAGGATTGACATACTTTTACATGTATTGCAATTGTATTGTGATAAAACTTGTGATACACTAGATTGATGAAGGAAGTAAATTGTACAGAATCTATAGCAACAGTAACAGCTGTGATTGTATACTGGCTATAGGTATTCATGTCTGTGTTGGTCTTTGTTCTAGTAGGAAGCCAAATCCTATATCCTAGTATCTCAGGCATGATATACTTAACATAGACATCAGCAGTTAAACTATAACTTAATAAAATAGATATATACTGCTACCTATTATCAGACATCTGTTATAAGTGAAAAGCAGACTATTAAGTAAAATTTTGAAATTCTAACATGCTCAATGATGCATAATAATTACCCACATCACCACAAATGATATATTTGATCCTTGTAAGTCAATATTTAAGCATGTCTGGTAATTCTAAATCAGGCAACTCACAGTGGTTTTAAATATCATACAGTGCACCTTTAATTTATTAAAATGGGTTTGACATCACAGTCACACTTAAGTTTAACTTCGTGATGTTTACTTTCATAGCAATTCTTTCTGAAACTATGAAGCTTTATTTATTCAACAAGGGTAAAACAAATTATGTCACCTTATTTATATTCTCTTGTGTGCCAGTTCAGGAAGGACAGGGGGCTCTTACTATGGAAGGAAATAACAGTGTCACATGTCATTGTGGAGCATGAAGAAATGAACCGGGGTTAAAATACCATTAATGGTGAAATGAACCCCCCTCTCCCCTCCCCATGGTAAAGTGAAGCCACTTTATATTTTGTCTTCAATCAATCACTTAAGTTTTTATCCCTTCACCATGGCTGTGGTAAAGAGAAGCATTTCACTATTTTCTTGCTAAATAGTTTTTTTTTTTACTTTTTGTTATTTTTGTGTTTATATGAATGAATCAGGGTGATTAAGAAAAAAAAGTTAAGAAAAAATTATTTAGTAAGAAAATAGTAACATAAAACCCCTGCCCCATCCTATATTTCCCCACCCTTGTTGTTATTTTTTTGTCTTATTATGTATTGAGGAACATAATTAAGTTAACTGATCAAAACATCAGTTGAAAACAAATTATAAAGCGGCTTAACTTTACCAAAGGTGGAGGGAGGTGTTCATTTCACCATAATGGTGAAATGAACTACAGTTCCTGTTAATGGACAAGTGACCTCACCATGTCTAATTAAGGAATAAAACCCCAGGTCATGCTAAAGGTGAAAGACAAGATGTTAAAGGCTTAAGAGACAGGAAAGAATAGAGTGCAGGTGTAATACAACTGATTGGGATAACAGCAAGGTAGGATAAATGCTAGAAATGGAAGAGGGTATAGGGTAGAAGGGGCAATATTGTAGGTCAGAAAGAGAGGGGTACGTTGTTTTTGATTGATAGGTAAATTAGACGACAGTGTACAGGTAACAAAAGAGGAAAGGTTCATCATAATGAGGGAGGGGTAGGACAGAGGGAGGAATGAGACTGGAAGGATGTCAGCTAAATGTAGAAGAAGGACAGAAGGAGGATGTAGGAAAGAGGATAGGTCACAATGATGTAGCAAGAGACAGAAAAGATTGAGGAATAGGACAGAGGGTGGGGTAAGGACAGGGGAAGGTGTAGTTTGATGAATAATTCAGAGAAAAGAATGAGGACAAAGGAGTGAATAGAACAGATGGGGAATAGGGAGGGTAATGAAAGATTTAGGATTGGAACAGAGGGAGGAAGGAGGGTGAAGAAAGATAGAGGAATAGGACAGATGAGGAGGGAAGGTGAAGAAAATTTAAGGAACAGGATTGAGGGAGGAACTAAGAGTGAAGAAAGATTGAGGGATAGGACAAAGTGAGAAGGGAGGGTGAAGAAAGATGCAGGAGTAGGAGAGGGAAAAGAGAGAGTGAGGAAGATTGAGGGTTAGGATAGAGAGAGAAGGAAGGGTGAAGAAAGATTGAGGGTTAGGATAGAAAGAGAAGGGAGGGTGAGGAAGATTGAGGGTTAGGATAGAGAGAGAAGGGAGGGTGAGGAAAGATTGAGGGTTAGGATAGAGAGAGA